GGGTCATACAGTCATACAACAGTAAGTTGATGTGTATATATTGGGGTCATACAGTAAAACAACAGTAAGTTGATGTGTATATATTGGGACCATACAGTAAAACAGCAGTAAGTTGATGTGTATTTATTGGGGTCATACAGTAAAACAACAGTAGGTTGATGTGTATATATCGAGGTCATAGAGTCAAACAACAGTAGGTTGATGTGTATATATTGGGGTCATACAGACAAACAACAGTAAGTTGATGTGTATATATATACGGGTCATACAGATAAACAACATTAAGTTGATGTGTATATATTGAGATCATATAGTCAAACAACAGTAAGTTGATGTTTATATATATACGGGTCATACAGACAAACAACATTCAGTTGATGTGTATATATTGGGGTAATACAGTAAAACAACAGTAAGTTGATGTGTAAATATTGGGATCATACAGTAAAACAGCAGTAAGTTGATGGGTATATATTGGGGTCATACAGTCATACAACAGTAAGTTGATGTGTATATATTGAGGTCAGGCAGTCAAACAACAGTAAGTTGATGTGTATATATATACGGGTCATACAGACAAACAACATTAAGTTGATGTGTATATATTGGGGTCATACAGTAAAACAACAGTAAGTTGATGCGTATATATTGAGATCATACAGTAAAACAACAGTTAGTTGATGGGTATATATTGGGGTCATACAGTCATACAACATTAAGTTGATATGTATATATTGAGGTCATACAGTCATACAACATTAGGTTGATGTGTATATATTTGGATCATACAGTAAAACAACAGTAAGTTGTTGTGTTTATATTTGGGTCATACAGCAAAACAACAGTAAGTTGAGGTTTATATATTGAGGTCATACAGTCAAACAACAATAAATTGATGTGTGTATATTGGGGTCATACAGTCAAACAACAGTAAGTTGATGTGTATATATTGGGGTCATACAGTCAAACAACATTATGTTGATGTGTATATATTGAGGTCATATAGTTAAACAACAGTAAGTTGATGTGTATATATTGAGGTCATACAGTAAAACAACAGTAAGTTGATGTGTATATATTGAGGTCATACAGTTAAACAACAGTAAGTTGATGTGTATATATTGAGGTCATACAGTAAAACAACAGTAAGTTGATGTGTATATATTGGGGTCATACAGTCAAACAACAGTAAGTTGATGTGTATATATTGGGGTCATACAGTCAAACAACAGTAAGTTGATGTGTATATATTGGGGTCATACAGTCAAACAACAGTAAGTTGATGTGTATATATTGGGGTCATACAGTCAAACAACAGTAAGTTGATGTGTATATATTGGGGTCATACAGTCAAACAACAGTAAGTTGATGTGTATATATTGGGGTCATACAGTCAAACAACAGTAAGTTGATGTGTATATATTGGGGTCATACAGTCAAACAACAGTAAGTTGATGTGTATATATTGGGGTCATACAGTCAAACAACAGTAAGTTGATGTGTATATATTGGGGTCATACAGTCAAACAACAGTAAGTTGATGTGTATATATTGGGGTCATACAGTCAAACAACAGTAAGTTGATGTGTATATATTGGGGTCATACAGTCAAACAACAGTAAGTTGATGTGTATATATTGGGGTCATACAGTCAAACAACAGTAAGTTGATGTGTATATATTGGGGTCATACAGTCAAACAACAGTAAGTTGATGTGTATATATTGGGGTCATACAGTCAAACAACAGTAAGTTGATGTGTATATATTGGGGTCATACAGTCAAACAACAGTAAGTTGATGTGTATATATTGGGGTCATACAGTCAAACAACAGTAAGTTGATGTGTATATATTGGGGTCATACAGTCAAACAACAGTAAGTTGATGTGTATATATTGGGGTCATACAGTCAAACAACAGTAAGTTGATGTGTATATATTGGGGTCATACAGTCAAACAACAGTAAGTTGATGTGTATATATTGGGGTCATACAGTCAAACAACAGTAAGTTGATGTGTATATATTGGGGTCATACAGTCAAACAACAGTAAGTTGATGTGTATATATTGGGGTCATACAGTCAAACAACAGTAAGTTGATGTGTATATATTGGGGTCATACAGTCAAACAACAGTAAGTTGATGTGTATATATTGGGGTCATACAGTCAAACAACAGTAAGTTGATGTGTATATATTGGGGTCATACAGTCAAACAACAGTAAGTTGATGTGTATATATTGGGGTCATACAGTCAAACAACAGTAAGTTGATGTGTATATATTGGGGTCATACAGTCAAACAACAGTAAGTTGATGTGTATATATTGGGGTCATACAGTCATACAACAGTAAGTTGATGTGTATATATTGGGATCATACAGTCATACAACAGTAAGTTGATGTGTATATATTGGGATCATACAGTCAAACAACAGTAAGTTGATGTGTATATATTGAGGTCATACAGTAAAACAACAGTAAGTTGATGTGTATATATTGGGGTCATACAGCCAAACAACAGTAAGTTGATGTGTATATATTGGGATCATACAGTAAAACAGCAGTAAGTTGATGTGTATATATTGGGGTCATACAGTAAAACAACAGTAGGTTGATGTGTATATATTGGGGTCATACAGTCATACAACAGTAAGTTGATGTGTATATATTGAGGTCATACAGTTAAACAACAGTATTGTATGCACAATTACGTTACATAGTGGAACATCGAAAATTGTGATACATAAATAATTACCTACGGACGTTAGTACTGATTCCCCAATCATCACTATGAAATATCTTTTGTAATTGTGCATGTTAATTGATATGTATAAAATACTGTTTAAACAAACAGTATGTAAATGTATACAAAATTAAGTCTAATAGGGTAAAACAACAGTATGCAGGTCTATAAACAAGTACATCATATTTTTACCAGTGAAATATCGAAAATTATTCGTTAAAAAGAAGGGATTTTCCCCTATAATGAGAAATACAAAAAATTTGATGAGTTCACTATCAATGTAATGTTTTCTCAGATTTTAACCGATGTCAAAACAGAGCATAAAACCATTGAATGTAATAACCAATATCTAAATAATAACATTTCCTCTGTAGTGCCACTTTATGGTCCGACCAAAGACTGTTATTGTTTACGATACCATAAATCTTGAGTCTGGGTCGTGACGTCACATTGATTAAACTGGAGAAAACTGGCCGACACTGGCTGTTTGCCGTTTCATTATTGAAAATCAACCTTTAATTCAAAATAGAATAATCATCAATTATTTTTAAAATGAATTGAAAATAAAAATGTAAGAATTGGTCGGCATTATTTTTAGAAAAATGTTCAATAATTCAGAATTATAGGACTACAACGACTTTCTCTGACTAACTCTTCTTTAATACCTTCTACTCTTCATTTTTAGAATAACTCAGAAAACTCTGTTCGATCCTTGCCCTCTATAAATTCATTCAATTTAATTCCACCTATCTACTTTAAATCCGGAAATCGTAAACAAAATATTTTGCATACTAAGCGGCTCAGACACCGGTGCAGTTCCCTCAATTATGACCTCTTTAGAGTGAAGCTTGTTGAGAGTGAAGCTTGTTGAGAGTGAAACTTGTAGTTGTGGTCATCCTTGTGAGAGTGTCTTACACTTCTTTTTGGAATGTCACCGTTTTGCAAACGAAAGGCGCGGTATTCTGGTTCAAAATTTGATTAATTTGAAATTCGGAATAAGATTCATCAGTTTGGTATGAAAAGCTTAGTTTGTTTGGAACATTGTTGTAAGAATTTAAATGATTTGAATGCTGCGTTAAATTTAGAAATATATTTGTTTGGCAATTCACATTTGTCCATGACCTTAACACAAACATTATTAGATATGTGCAAAACTTGATTAAATCCTGAATGATATTTGAGTTCCAGTTGTACGTACAATTGCATATATTTGTTATCACTATGGTAATGTCATTGACAATGTAGATTGGGAGAAGGCTTTGATCAGCTGTAATAACGTGTGCCTTATCCCTTTGTCTGCTTTTGGCAATAAAATATATGTTTAAATGTAGTTCATTGATTAATTATTGCGCACATAATGAGGTCACACGTGGTCAAACAGCGGTTTTCATATTGACTATGAAAGCGACCTGAAAATAGTTAAATAGTCACCACTCTGTGGCATTGTTTCTCTGTAATCCTACTTTATTCTGGTGACCTTCTATTTGAAATGCATCTTTTTTACTTTTATGATTGCATGTGCCGGTGTTCACATGGGCAAATAGTGTCAAACAAAAGCAAAATTATCTAGTTGGTATGCATGCATACATTCAGACTCCTCTGATACATAGTGTACAAAGACCAGCTTACAGGTTATTTGTTCGACAGATACATTTTACTCTCATTGATCACATACATAATTTTTTTAATATTACAAATGAACTTGTGATATATATTCCAAAAATGCATTTCAAAATTATGCTATTGTAAATGTTGTCATGATGTTCATGTCTGGTGTCGTTACTTGTAAACATCTCGTTCTGGATGCAATGGTGATAAGTTTGGCAGATTGATCTCCCCTGGTGAATTACACGCAACCCTCATATTTGAGGTGAGTTTAAGAAAAAAATCATTTTTTTTCTTCACGTTCAATAATAGTTTTACTATAAATTCTCATAATATTTCTATTAAATATTTTATTTAAATGTATACAAGCTATTTTTGATCAATAAAAATTAAATAGGTTATTTAAAATACATCGTAAGTGAAAAGTAATACCACAAAATGGTAAAAATATCCGGATCCTTTTTATGTTTTATTTACTAGTAGTTCCATTTTCGTATTAATTAAATTGTATATCATATTATTGAAATTAAATATGCAAATTTAAACATTTAGAATTATTTGTATTAGATTACAACATGAAATCGGAAATTTTGTTTCCGATCCGAAATTCTTAACCTTAGTTCCATATTGGTTATTAGAAAATCCCCAAAACAAATATGGCGGACGCGCGGTAGGAAGACAATTTTATATTAAAAAATGTCAAATATGGGGTTAAAACTGTATTAGATAAACATCATTGGTAAGTAACTTACTTCGTTATAAAATAAAAAAGGCGTATATATCTAAACATTAGCTATGTGCATGCTTTGTTTCAAATTCTGATCACTTTTTGAATGCACATGGAAGGGGGGGGGGGGTACTGTTTCTTTCTCTATTGAATTTTGTAAACATTTTTTAAACGATCTAATGAAATACATGCAGACTTATTGATAAAGTATTGACATTTTATCAAACACATATGGAGCCAACGTCAACGCTGTTGCAATTTTTGATCAACGACTTACCCTAGATTTGTATTGCCATAACTTAGTTATCATGATCACTGTAGCCCACCCCGGTAGCCACAGCATTTTATACACTATGGCTACATTCGCGTATCCCGGTTGAAACGGTACGTGTGGCGCAGAAATTTTCCACGATAAACGAACACACTTGGACCGTTCTATAAGCAGAGCTAAAAATCCACAGTTTCGGAGAATAAAAAACAGTGTTTCAAGAATATTATGACCTTCTTTCATTCGTCCAGTGAATTACATAACGTATCTTAAAAACTACATGTGGCTTGACATTGTTTTAGAAAGAAATAACGCAAATTGGCAATAGTCACTCAGTATTTTAGTTTCGGTCAGGCACGTCTGGACCCCTCAATCTAAACGTGCCAAATTTTCCTGAGGTCAGCCTCGGTCCAGATCTGTACTGTACCTGTCGTTTTCTTTACAGGTTCAACCGTTTCAACCGGTAACGCGAATGTACCCTATATGTTTGTTTATTTTAATGCGATACTGTCTGGTGAAGTTGCATGCTTATGATTTCAACTACAGATTCAGTTTGTTTAAGGAATAGTGTGGGATTTAAAGTTTATTATCTTTAAAAATTAAAAAAAAAAAAATGAATTTGTATGGTGTAAAACAAGAACAGAACTACTCTTAACATCTCTTTTTTGTGTTTACATTTGCAGTTAGCGATGTTTTGTGGACTTGCACCGTATTAAACTCATGTTTTTAAAAATGTCAATGAATATCATGACATGATTGAACAAATGATCAAAGTTAATAAAAAAAATAATCAATGCATACATATTTTTCACACAAACTATTACCCTTAGTTGCCTCTGGATCAGAGTATCTGAAAATTCATCGGCTATGCAACTTCACTAAACACAGCTGTTCAATACTGGTCAATAAAACTGTTAGATCATAGTTCTGTACAAGTTTGTTCAGAATACTGACTGTTGATGATTTTTTAGTTATATTCTGAAATAGATACCATAATATGCTGTTTCACATTTGATACAGTTTGCTCATTTGAAGGTAACGTGAGAGATCGGCAAAATGATGGTGGCATCACCTCTGAGTCCCCATGATGCGTCGGCGCAGCTTACAACATTCAAGTCATATGTAGCACTGATTGATGATCCAACACCAGGAAGTAAGTTCTACAGTGTTGGTCAATCCATTACAGCCGTGTATATATATAGCTGTGTTGTGGGTGCATGGTACAGGGATAATGAAGTGCAGAACTGTATGTAGAGGCATGAACATTCAAGATAAAGGAATATATAATATCAAAGTTTTACTTTATGCTCAAACAATGCACATATTTAAACTCGGTAATGCATACATTGTTTGTGTAAAACTTAGACATTACATAATGCCAATATGATTCCTACTAAAGATAAATGAACATGCCTATTGCATTAGTAGTTGGAAAAAAACGACTACGGTAGTATTATATGGTATTGTTTATTCTTCATAACTGGCACGCATAAATGAATAAAATGAATCAATATGTCAACCATTGCATTAGAAATAAGTAAATCTAATGTTCAAGTCCATATATTTTCAATCATAAAAGTGATTTATTAGTAAGTACATGTATATGCATAATATTATAAGACTCCTTCATGCACAGGGTCGTAGGATAGGGAAATTCCACACCAGGAGTTTTCAAATTTGGTATAGCCTGAGGCTTTGCCGAGGGTTTTGCCAAATTTGAAAACCCCGTGGGTGGAATTTCCCTATCTTACACTCCTGTGCATGAAAGAGTATTCTCTCTCATTCCAACCACCTTGTTTAAATAAATGTGTGATAGGAGGAGTTAATGTTTCAGTAATGTTAAAGAAATAATTTATATTAAATTAGTGTTAGATCATTAAAGAAAATCTTTCAAGTATTAGTTCGTTTTTTAATGTAATATTTACATGTGTGATCTAATGTTAAAGAGGTGGACAAGAACAGGATGATGACACTGCAACTTTGATCTGACTCCTGTGTGTTACAGTAGAGACAGAGTGATCACTGGAATAAAAGCTGATAAGATCTGACTGTTCATTACCATCAAACATTTGTGATTATACATTGTGTACTTCAGAACTTCATCAACAGTCAGATGTAATCCATTCATTGTATTTTTCTATATTAGTTGTGGAGAAAAAACTCAAAGCTGCACAGGAACTTAGTGAGAACTTTGAGGTCCGAGGCTTCTGGCAGGTATGTACCATTATTGTCTCGCCGCCGCAAAGTGAAATCGACACTTAGGTGTTGCTTTTTCGACAACGGCTTCAACATAAAGTTTTTGTTTTTAAGTATAAGTGCTACACCAACCAAACTTTGACCATAGATGCATATTAGGTAGTACATCTCAGCCCATGCATCAAATGCTGGATGCGGCCTACCTTTCATGGTCCATTGACTTTGTCAGCATCTCCATCAACATAAAGTTTTTGCATTTAAGTTAGTTTCTCTGATGTGTGCATTGATGGTCAAAGCGGGGCATAGGCGAGACATATCAATCCGAATGGCTTGTTCTAAATATGATGATCGCAGAATAATGATCTTGCTCAGATATTGTGTGTTTTTGTTAAAAATCTCTGAATCAAGGGTATATTTTGTACATGAATTGACATGATAGGTATATAATGTGATCTGATTAGGTAGGAAATAGCTTGTTAAATTGACTTTTCATTAGATTTTGTACTTATAAATAAAAAATATAAATAATGCATAAATGCATGTTTTGATAACAGACAAAGCTACTGACTAACATGGTCACTATGTGCCCATTCAGTACCAACACTGTATATATCTATGTAATCACATTGTTTTGTAGATCTAGTCCATCCTTTAACAAGGAGGTGTATGTTGATTTCATAGCGTTTAACTTAGTTTCTCTGATATGTGCATTGATGGTCAAAGCGGGGTATAGGCGACACATATCAATCTGAATGGCTTGTTTTGTGTCCTATGTCCTATTAACAGCTATGGTCATTAAAGGACGTGACAGGTTTTGGTCTTGGAGGTAAACTGGACTTCACGGAGAAAAACCACTGACCTGCGGCCAGTACCTGGCATCTGTCCCATGTAGGCCTCAACCCCACAACCCAGTGATGGAGGGCTAGTTATTGTAGAGGGTGATCAGGACCACCGTGACCCTTTTATCCATAACATATACATACCCATGTTTCATCCTTCCATCATATATAGGTACCCGTATCACATGAACATACCCATGTTAAAATATATTTGATATTTTATATCTACCCTTGTATGTTTCCAGAGTGTGGTGCTGTCTCCACAGTACCCACAATTCCTAGCCGATGCCTTACGAGTTTTCCTCAAAATCCTAGAGGAGGGAGAACCTCAGTTTATAGCAGAACAAAATATGCAGGTAACTTGAGACAGATTAGTCCCAAAAAAGGGACTTTAATCTTAAATCTTCTAGGTTTTGGGGAATTTAAAAAAAAATCAGCTCTGGGGATTTTATATTTTGGGTTATTTTTTCTTGGAGATAGTGTACTTTGTAGTTAATAGCAATATGTGGAAATGTCAGTCTACTTCTTACTTAAGTCATTGGGAAGGAACATAAAAATTAGTGTATTTACAAACAGTATGTAATTCTAAGTGCATTCTGTTCCCAATGTGCCTTACTATTTCCCATTTATAGTGTCTACATGAGGCCATTGTGAATCATCAAGTAATCGACCATCCATGAACAAACTATTTTAATCGTTGTCGTAGATTCAGTTATGTATTTTTACATTTTGTATCCTTTCATCGTTCACAGCAATTGAGAAAGTTACTACTTGAGATCATACACCGGATTCCCAGTAATGACCACCTCAAGAAGTTCGTCCAACAGATCCTCTCACTCATGTTTAAACTACTCAAGGTGAATACAGGTGTCCTAGAGGGACAATCTTATTTACGTGTTGTTGACTTATTAATAATGTACTTTATAATGTAAGACATTTTTTGAAGAATAATAACCTCAGCCAGTCCTTATTCCTCTATTATACATTACTTCCACATAGTATTAAAATCATGAAAAATACCAGACTTGCTGAAGAATTATCAAGAACAGAATAGCCTATTTTGAGCAGAATAGCGTTTTTCCAATCTTGTTCTGATATTATGTGCACGTATATGAAGATAACCAAACACAGTTTAATATAAACTGTTTGTAATTCAGAATGCTCAGAACGTATTGGTTTATGTTTAATTTGAGAATGAGAAAAAAGTGTTTCCTTGTGTTTTAATTTGAGAATGAGAAAAAAGTGTTTCCTTGTGTTTTAATTTGAGAATGAGAAAAAAGTGTTTCCTTGTGTTTTAATTTGAGAATGAGGTGAAATTTCTGGTTTTTGTTTGCGAATCATCAATGATCAGAATGTGTTTGTTTTAGATTGAGAATGAGGAGAATGTTCTGGTTTGTCTACGGATCATTATAGAGCTACACAAACAGTACAGACCACAGATGAATGAAGAGGTAATGAACGCAGGCCCTAGGGGCCTTTTGTTAGCCTAGTCAGTGACATCTCTACAGACATGGGTAAATCTTTACACAAGTAATTATTATCCTGATGATTACCACAGCCAACAGTCATCACTTGATAACAAAAACAAATCTACAAAACTCCACTTGTCTTTATCTATTGAAATCAACACATCTTTCTTAATAAAATCTTTATTCACTAAACTGCGGTTATTTTGTAGTAGTGTTGATAAAATTTCAAATTCACCATCAGCATGTAACTTATATGGTCACTTATATCTTGAGTGTTGTTTTTTCCAGATAAAAGATTTCCTGACATTTGTAAAGAGTATCTACAATGCGATACCCAACCACCTGCCAAAGATCTTTGAGCCTCACAATCAAGTGAAAGTGAAGGATGTGATGGAGATCAATGTAGACGCTCTGCTCCAGGAGACTTTCACCGTCACCACCATCATGACTGATAAGAAAAACGCTGACAACCAAAATATTTCTGTGAGTGCAAATAGAGGAGTAAAAGGCACAATTTTGTTAACAATAAAATTATGTCTTTATCTATAACATAAAAACAGTTTATGGTGGGGAGAAGGTCAAACACAAAAGTCAAAATATTTTTTGTTACCCATAGTTTAAGTGTTGGTAAAAGGATCAAATCATTTAAATAATTTGAAATATTATTATCTATAGATATAAAAAGACACTGATGCGATTTTTTTAATTTTTGTTTGTTTAATTCAAACATTAATTTGATGTTACTTAGAATCCTGGCAACAAGGTAATCTGATACAGAATGCAAAATAACAAGCAATGTTTGGCAAGCCTGATGTTGTATCTCTCTGAAGTCTTCTCCTAATTTTTCCGGTACAGTATTCCCTGCTGGACCCATTCTCGATATCCAGGGGTTACGCCATCCTCGATATCCAGGGGTTACGCCATCCTCGATATCCAGGGGTTACGCCATCCTCGGTATCCAGGGGTAACGCCATCCTCAATATCTAGGAGTTACGCCATCCTCGATATCCAGGGGTTACGCCATCCTCGATATCCAGGGGTTACGCTCACTTTTGCTCTCTACACCCCTGGAATATGTCATAGCAAAATTGAAGGCACGAAGATAGCTGTTTGATTGGTCTCCGGTAAAAATACCCTGACCAATCGCTAGGCTGATACCTGTCCTTTGAAGTTTACAAAGAGGTGACACTCAACTTCAGAGCCTGTCCGTTTTTACCGTTACGTGACTGCGAGATTCTTTTGATGTACATTAAAGGATCAAACTAGTCTTGTCTCATCAACAAGGTGGCGCACACCAAGTCTTCAATTTTGCTATGACATATTCTAGGGGTGCAGGGAGAGAAAGTGAGTGTAACCCCTGGATATCGAGGATGTGCTGGACTATACCTTTCAGGAACTTGCCTAGGTTTCGGTCGTTATACCAAGTATGTTTTATTTTCCAGTATAACATCATCCCTCGTGGTATCCTGTCCCTGAAGGTACTAGCCTAGGTGTTGGTTGTTATACTGAGTGTGTTTTATTTTCCAGTATAACATCATCCCTCGTGGTATCCTGTCCCTGAAGTTGCTAGCCTAGGTGTTGGTTGTTATACTGAGTGTGTTTTATTTTCCAGTATAACATCATCCCTCGTGGTATCCTGTCCCTGAAGTTGCTAGCCTAGGTGTTGGTTGTTATACTGAGTGTGTTTTGTTTTCCAGTAAAACATCATTCCTCGTGGTATCCTGTCCCTGAAGGTACTAGCCTAGGTGTTGGTTGTTATACTGAGTGTGTTTTGTTTTCCAGTATAACATCATCCCTCGTGGTATCCTGTCCCTGAAGGTGCTGGCTGAGCTCCCCATCATTGTAGTACTGATGTACCAGCTGTACAAGCAGAACGTCCATCAGGAGGTCGCCGACTTTATCCCCCTCATCATGAACACCATTATACTACAACCATCTAGTGTCCACAGGTCGGTCACTAACATGTAGACTACTAGGTCACTAACATGTAGACTACTAAAACAGGAAATGTGTTTTATAGAGATTTTTTTTTTATCTTATACAACAGAGTGTGTACATTTAGTTAAGACATCTATTTCCATTCATTATCTCATCCTAGGTCATTTTATTGTCTCGCCGCCACGAAGTGGAAGCGAGACATAGGTGTTGCTTTTCTGGTGAGGGTGGCGTCAACATTAAGTTTTTGTGTTTAAGTTAGTTTCTCTGAAAGTATAAGTAGTACAACAACCAAGGTTGGACCATAGATGCATATTAGGTAGTACATCTCAACCCATGCATCAAATGCTGGATGTGGCCAACCTTTCATGGTCCATCAACTTTGTCAGCATCTCCGTCACCATTAAGTTTTTGCATTTAAGTTAGTTTCTCTGATATGTGCATTGATGGTCAAAGCGGGGCATAGGCGAGACATATCAATCCGAATGGCTTGTTCTAAATATGATTATTGCAGAATAATGATCTTGCTCAGATATTGTGTGTTTTTGTTAAAAATCTCTGTATCAAGCGTGTATTTTGTAAATGAATTGACATAATAGGTATATAATGTGATCTGATTAGGTAGGAAATAGCTTGTTAAATTGACTTTTCATTAGATTTTGTATTTGCAGAAAAAATAAAAATAATACATAAATGCATGTTTTGATAACAGACACAGCTACTGACTAACATGGTCACTATGTGCCCATTCAGTACCAACACTGTATATATCTGTGTAATCACATTGTTTTGTAGATCTAGTCCATCCTTTAACAAGGAGGTGTATGTTGATTTCATAGCGGCCCAGATCAAGACTCTGTCCTTCCTGGCCTACATCATCAGATTTTATCAGGTAACAAAAAATACCTGTAGTGGTAGCATAGCCACGAACAGTGAAATATGTTGTAGGCTATCATATACTGGTAATGTGTGGTAGCCTGTTAGCCCAAGTTAATTTCAGGAACAAGTGGATTAGTGGTAACCATAGAGTCACACTTTAATCAGAGTTGTTGGGCTGTGATATTGTAAGCAGTATCCTGATGACCCTTATACTGTGATATTGTAAGCAGTATCCTGATGACCCTTATACTGTGATATTGTAAGCAGTATCCTGATGACCCTTATACTGTGATATTGTAGGCAGTATCCTGATGACCCTTATACTGTGATATTGTAGGCAGTATCCTGATGACCCTTATACTGTGATATTGTAAGCAGTATCCTGATGACCCTTATACTGTGATATTGTAAGCAGTATCCTGATGACCCTTATACTGTGATATTGTAAGCAGTATCCTGATGACCCTTATACTGTGATATTGTAAGCAGTATCCTGATGACCCTTATACTGTGATATTGTAAGCAGTATCCTGATGACCCTTATACTGTGATATTGTAAGCAGTATCCTGATGACCCTTATACTGTGATATTGTAAGCAGTATCCTGATGACCCTTATACTGTGATATTGTAAGCAGTATCCTGATGACCCTTATACTGTGATATTGTAAGCAGTATCCTGATGACCCTTATACTGTGATATTGTAAGCAGTATCCTGATGACCCTTATACTGTGATATTGTAAGCAGTATCCTGATGACCCTTATACTGTGATATTGTAAGCAGTATCCTGATGACCCTTATACTGTGATATTGTAAGCAGTATCCTGATGACCCTTATACTGTGATATTGTAAGCAGTATCCTGATGACCCTTATACTGTGATATTGTAAGCAGTATCCTGATGACCCTTATACTGTGATATTGTAAGCAGTATCCTGATGACCCTTATACTGTGATATTGTAAGCAGTATCCTGATGACCCTTATACTGTGATATTGTAAGCAGTATCCTGATGACCCTTATACTGTGATATTGTAAGCAGTATCCTGATGACCCTTATACTGTGATATTGTAAGCAGTATTCTGATGACCCTTATACTGTGATATTGTAAGCAGTATTCTGATGAACCTTATATTGTGATAAATTGGCAGGTTATAACAGAGTATTACATTTTGACTTGATTTAATTGAAAAAAAATATATAAAAAATTGACAATGAGACAAATTATCATGTATGGTATTTTTTTTTATTTTTTTATTTTTTATTGAGACACATGCAATTACAATATAGTGATTTTTTACTGATTTTTTTCTAACTTCAGGAACAAGTTCAGGTTCATGCGACCCCAATGATGAAAGGTCTTCTGGGACTGCTGACATACTGCCCACAGGAAGTGGCTCACCTCCGCAAAGATCTGCTTATTGCTGCTCGACACATTCTGGCTACTGATCTTAGAAACAGTATGTACCAATATTCTAAATGTCTGATCAAGCTCTGATCAAGCTTCTGTTAAATTATGTATTGGATGAATCAAAGATCAATAATGTAAAGAATGTTTTGCTTGCAATAAGAACTGAAGCTATCGGAGTCGACCATTAAGTATTGGTCAGTGTTGAATTCCTAAGTTTATATTTACAACAGTAACATGTCCCAAGAGTATGTTTGACAGGTTCATCTGTCAGTCTAAGAGCAATGGTCTGCGGTAAATTTAGGATAGATAATATTTTCAGTCATTTGTTGTGTGCTGTTTTCATGTTATTTATGGTCAAATAATTCATTTTCTACAAATCAGTCAAATATCATCAGATACTCCAAATACATATATCAATAAAAACTGATGGTGTTATATGTTTGAATTAACAGAATTTGTCCACTGTATTGACAAGCTGTTTGATGAGAATGTCCTTATTGGTTCTGGCTGGACAACATATGAGTCGCTGCGTCCCCTTGCTTACAGCACTCTTGCTGATCTTGTTCACCATGTACGACAGGCCTTGCCACTGAACGAACTCTCCCTAGCCGTGAACCTATTCAGTAAGAATGTTCACGATGAGTCCTTGCCGAGCTCCATTCAGACAATGTCCTGTAAACTTCTGTTGAACCTTGTCGAGTGCATTCGTGCTAAGAGTGAACAGGAGAATGGAAACGTAAGTCACATACAAAATGCTAACATTACCTTGGTTTTCTCCTGTCTGTATTTATAGTCTATGTATGTTGTTTTCGCATTCAATTTAATGCTTAGTTAAAACTAATGAATCAGCAGAATTTTTGGCATTTCCTGTATTTTTGTCCTTGAAAATGATTTCAAATGTTTAGATAAAATAGTATGAAATTAGACCAAATGAAATTTGTGTGTTGAGAAGTGGCTGTCTTTATGTCATTAAACCTCTAACCGTCTCAGTAAAATGTACTATTTGAACTGTTTTTCAGGGGAGAGAACTCTTGATGAGGATGCTGGAGGTGTTTGTTCTCAAGTTTAAAACCATTGCCAAGATACAGCTCCCTCAGATCCTACAGAAATGGTACTGAGGATGACCAATGAACAGCCGTGATTGACATCAGACTACTAAATTCCATATGCTTTACAAAAAACTTGTGATAAATTCCATAAAAACTGTCAAAATTTTACTAAATACAAGAACAGTCCTTCAGATTTACCACTGAGTTTCATTGCATGCAACAAATTAAAAGTAGACCCTGTTGTAAAAGAAAAATCATTGAAATTGCTGGTCTATTTTTTTTATAGATACTGTAAACATGTCTTCAGCACTTTCATCTCTTCACGGAAATTCCAGTCTGAAGAATCTTCCTGAAGAGATGAAAGTGCTAAGGATGTGTTGTCAATATTTTTTCATTTAAAGTTATTTCTTCATGCATAATGATCGTTCACTTCTGTAACATTATATATAAAATTGTCTGTTTCTAAAGTTTATCTTATCTGTGTTTTCTTGTAGCTTTATTGCTCATTTTAATACAAGCAGACCTGTATTCCAGTTTTGTTTGGTTTTGTTTAACGTGAACTTAGTATAAATTTTATGCTTAAAGTCAAGTTGATTAGTTTAGACAAGTTCTGCCATGTCTTGTTACAGTAAACAACAGCCCCAAGTCCCTAACAACAACCACCAGCAACCCATTGATCCCAAAACACCTGCAGCTGATGTAAAGCCGACACTAGAGCTAACAAAAGTTGCTGCAGATGGGATGAAGTCGGGGCTTGATGTTTCCAAACCCCCCGGAGATTCTTTGAAAGATGACAACAAACTGCCTTCTCAAGGTCTGATGTCCGACAGTGTTAAAGATAAAGAGGACAAACCTTGGGCAGAGAAGGGACCAGGGGAGGTAAATCTATCATCAAATATTTCATTTGAAAAGATTTTACAGTATAAATTTCAATTGTCAACAAATTTTGAATATGAAGAGTGGATCAGTATGCTTGTAGCCTATTGGATATAGCATATCATGTTAAAATAAACTGGTGGAATCAACTCATCAGAATGACAATGAAATGCTGCTTTTGTTCTTGTGTTTTTTCTTTATTCAATATTGTCAAACCTTACATTGAGTTCAGAATCGTTTTGGTGTGACACCCAGTCAGTATACAACCTATTCGGTGACGGACTGTCGCGGTCTGGTGAAGACACTGGTCTGTGGTGTGAAGACCATCACATGGGGCATTGTGTCCTGTAAAGCAGCAGGTGTTGGTCAGTATACAGTCTTGTTTGCACAGAAAAAAAACCTCAGGAAGAAACATTTTAATTGACATATTACATGCTAGTCAACATACACTCAGGTGTTTTAAATTGTAATAGTATGGCTTATTTATTTTGATGTTTCAATGAAATTCTTTAATTCACATTCTTAGGAACTAAAGCTGTCATTACATTGTCTGAAGTTAACATGAAAGGTTTCTGAGAACATTGACTTATTGGTAACTCTATTTGGGTGTATTGATCATACAGATGCAACGGTAATGCAGAGTAAACAGTTCCTGCCGAAGGAGGCCCTCGTTTACATCCGCCTGGTGAAATACGCACTGCAAGCTCTGGACATCTACACTATCAACGTGTCTCCGTCAGGACAGGCCGTCATTAGGCCTGCGGTGTAAGTCATCGCAGACTGTCGTGTGTAAGATAAAGATCAGTGTCAAGTGTCTTGTAAAAGTTATTGTTGAAGTGTTGTGTAAAAGTTCTTCTGAAAGGTTTTTAAAACCCATTTTGAAGTGTTGTGTATACGTTATCGTTAAAGAGTCATTTAAAGTCATTGTTGATGTGTTTGTAGGGTACAGAGTGTGAGAACCAAGGAAGAGAAGGAGGTTTTGGAACACTTCGCTGGAGTGGTAAGGACTTATAGCTATTAGGAAAAGCAACATTCCTGCTCATAGGGGAAAATCATAGGCCTTGAAATTAAAAAGATATACTGGGACAGTGTTTATTGTTGAGAGTATGCTTTAATCTTTTGTAAAACAAATCCAGTGTATGATGGTTTAATGGTAACTGACACAACATATATTTGTATATTAAGTGACACTAAAGGTTGAGCTACATCACTACATATCAGTCTACTGTTGTATTTGTATGACCATCTGATTATTACTGATTCATCGTACTGTATTCTCCTTTCCAGTTTACTATGATGCACACCCTGACATTCAAGGAGATATTTGCTCAGACAGTCGAGGTGAGATATAAACACATTAACAATGGGTCTTGTATAAAGGTAGATGTTGGACAGTGTGGTAACCTTATCATCTAGAAAGATATGTTTAACTAAAACGTCAGATGTACAGGTTTTGGGTAGATATAAGGAAGTATCATTGTATACTTGAGAAAATTCACTAAAACCTTGATATTTGAGGTACTTGTACTGTGAAGCTTACACTGATTCTTATCAACATCAACGTTTTTGCTTCATACCTGAAATCTACAATGCCAAAGTGGAAAAACTTCGAACTAGATCAGAACAAAAATGCTATTGAAATTATACAGTGTATCATAATGAATGACTTTCTGCAAGCTGCTATGACATGCATAAAATACTTGCGAAGTAACTGATGTGACAAAGGCTCTATTACAGTGATGTTGAAGTAGTGTGTATGAAATGTTTTTTACCTTCGTGTTTTCAGTATATGGTGGACAGAATTCACAACAACTATGCACTTCAGGTAGGTGTCGGTTTTATTTATATGTGTACACAAGTACCTACAAAATAATCATTAGAGCTATTCAGGAAATATAGATGAAAGGAGGGATAGGGGAAATCACATTTTTGAGGCCACCAACATCAATATAATTATTTATCTTGAGGGTCCACGTACAAAAGTTTATATTTTAAACCTCCAATCACCCAACTTATCAGGTGTAAGTGCCCCATACTCTATACATGTCTAGAATTATCAGGTATAAGTGCCCCATACTCTATACATGTCTAGAATTATCAGGTATAACTGCCCCATACTCTATACATGTCTAGAATTACCCAACAAGAGTGAGTTATATATTAAGTTGAAATAACTTGTTTCATTATTGGTGTAAGACAAATATAGCTTACATTTCAATTACCCTTAAATATGGAGGGTATCAACGAAGGAGATAAGAACATTTACATCTCTTTATCACATTAATAGTGTCCATAGCCATGTTTGTTGGGACACTGTTTGATTCTGCTAGACCTACCTATGATAACAGATTTATTGTCAGTTTTATTGGTTATTCCCAGATTGTGGCCAACTCATTTCTGGCCAACCCAACAACCTCTGCTACTTTTGCCACCATTCTGGTTGACTACCTGCTGGCTCGTCTGGAGGAGATGGGCTGTAAGTATCACACAATTTAATTGGTCAAATCATCTTCTGCTGTAACACATCATCTCATTGGTCAGAATGCCTGTGATTGTATGTATCATTCCTCATACCTCAATTGATTAAATCACCTTGTAATACATAATCACGCTGATCAGAATACTTCCCTGTCTGAGACACAATCCTTATTCCACAATGTTGCTATACTTTCTAAATTTAGGGCCAGCACTAGCTAGATTACAAACTAAATTTCCTGAAAAGTGTCACTGAATTGTACATAAACTGTCAGTGATCACCAGGTACTGTACATAAACTGTCTGTGATCACCAGGTACTGTACATAAACTGTCAGTTATCACCAGGTACTGTACATAAACTGTCAGTTATCACCAGGTACATAAACTGTCAGTGATCACCAGGTACTGTACATAAACTGTCAGTGATCACCAGGTACTGTACATAAACTGTCAGTGATCACCAGGTACTGTACATAAACTGTCAGTGATCACCAGGTACTGTACATAAACTGTCAGTGATCACCAGGTACTGTACATAAACTGTCAGTGATCACCAGGTACTGTACATAAACTGTCAGTGATCACCAGGTACTGTACATAAACTGTCAGTGATCACCAGGTACTGTACATAAACTGTCAGTGATCACCAGGTACTGTACATAAACTGTCAGTGATCACCAGGTACTGTACATAAACTGTCAGTGATCACCAGGTACTGTACATAAACTGTCAGTGATCACCAGGTACTGTACATAAACTGTCAGTGATCACCAGGTACTGTACATAAACTGTCAGTGATCACCAGGTACTGTACATAAACTGTCAGTGATCACCAGGTACTGTACATAAACTGTCAGTGATCACCAGGTACTGTACATAAACTGTCAGTGATCACCAGGTACTGTACATAAACTGTCAGTGATCACCAGGTACTGTACATAAACTGTCAGTGATCACCAGGTACTGTACATAAACTGTCAGTGATCACCAGGTACTGTACATAAACTGTCAGTGATCACCAGGTACTGTACATAAACTGTCAGTGATCACCAGGTACTGTACATAAACTGTCAGTGATCACCAGGTACTGTACATAAACTGTCAGTGATCACCAGGTACTGTACATAAACTGTCAGTGATCACCAGGTACTGTACATAAACTGTCAGTGATCACCAGGTACTGTACATAAACTGTCAGTGATCACCAGGTACTGTACATAAACTGTCAGTGATCACCAGGTACTGTACATAAACTGTCAGTGATCACCAGGTACTGTACATAAACTGTCAGTGATCACCAGGTACTGTACATAAACTGTCAGTGATCACCAGGTACTGTACATAAACTGTCAGTGATCACCAGGTACTGTACATAAACTGTCAGTGATCACCAGGTACTGTACATAAACTGTCAGTGATCACCAGGTACTGTACATAAACTGTCAGTGATCACCAGGTACTGTACATAAACTGTCAGTGATCACCAGGTACTGTACATAAACTGTCAGTGATCACCAGGTACTGTACATAAACTGTCAGTGATCACCAGGTACTGTACATAAACTGTCAGTGATCACCAGGTACTGTACATAAACTGTCAGTGATCACCAGGTACTGTACATAAACTGTCAGTGATCACCAGGTACTGTACATAAACTGTCAGTGATCACCAGGTACTGTACATAAACTGTCAGTGATCACCAGGTACTGTACATAAACTGTCAGTGATCACCAGGTACTGTACATAAACTGTCAGTGATCACCAGGTACTGTACATAAACTGTCAGTGATCACCAGGTACTGTACATAAACTGTCAGTGATCACCAGGTACTGTACATAAACTGTCAGTGATCACCAGGTACTGTACATAAACTGTCAGTGATCACCAGGTACTGTACATAAACTGTCAGTGATCACCAGGTACTGTACATAAACTGTCAGTGATCACCAGGTACTGTACATAAACTGTCAGTGATCACCAGGTACTGTACATAAACTGTCAGTGATCACCAGGTACTGTACATAAACTGTCAGTGATCACCAGGTACTGTACATAAACTGTCAGTGATCACCAGGTACTGTACATAAACTGTCAGTGATCACCAGGTACTGTACATAAACTGTCAGTGATCACCAGGTACTGTACATAAACTGTCAGTGATCACCAGGTACTGTACATAAACTGTCAGTGATCACCAGGTACTGTACATAAACTGTCAGTGATCACCAGGTACTGTACATAAACTGTCAGTGATCACCAGGTACTGTACATAAACTGTCAGTGATCACCAGGTACTGTACATAAACTGTCAGTGATCACCAGGTACTGTACATAAACTGTCAGTGATCACCAGGTACTGTACATAAACTGTCAGTGATCACCAGGTACTGTACATAAACTGTCAGTGATCACCAGGTACTGTACATAAACTGTCAGTGATCACCAGGTACTGTACATAAACTGTCAGTGATCACCAGGTACTGTACATAAACTGTCAGTGATCACCAGGTACTGTACATAAACTGTCAGTGATCACCAGGTACTGTACATAAACTGTCAGTGATCACCAGGTACTGTACATAAACTGTCAGTGATCACCAGGTACTGTACATAAACTGTCAGTGATCACCAGGTACTGTACATAAACTGTCAGTGATCACCAGGTACTGTACATAAACTGTCAGTGATCACCAGGTACTGTACATAAACTGTCAGTGATCACCAGGTACTGTACATAAACTGTCAGTGATCACCAGGTACTGTACATAAACTGTCAGTGATCACCAGGTACTGTACATAAACTGTCAGTGATCACCAGGTACTGTACATAAACTGTCAGTGATCACCAGGTACTGTACATAAACTGTCAGTGATCACCAGGTACTGTACATAAACTGTCAGTGATCACCAGGTACTGTACATAAACTGTCAGTGATCACCAGGTACTGTACATAAACTGTCAGTGATCACCAAGTACTGTACATAAGCTGTCAGTGATCATCAGGTACTGTACATAAACTGTCGGTGATCACCAGGTACTGTACATAAACTGTCAGTGATCACCAGGTACATAAACTGTCAGTGATCACCAGGTACTGTACATAAACTGTCAGTGATCACCAGGTACTGTACAAAAAACAATTTTCAGACTATTGTTGTGAAATATACTGTAAGGCAAAATACGTACGTGTGCATTAAAGATGTTGATGGACATGTGATATTGTCTATATATGTTACTGTATGTTTCCTCCTCAGCTACCATGGACAGAGCTAACCTGTACCTGAAACTGTTTGTCTATATATGTTACTGGATGTTTCCTCCTCAGCTACCATGGACAGATCTAACCTGTACCTGAAACTGTTCAAACTCGTGTTCGGATCTGTATCTCTGTTTGCCGCTGAGAATGAGAAAATGTTGAAGGTTTGTTATTTGTTAATTCATTGTTTTATTGTGGTAACTGCTGTTTATCTTTGACATTAAGGTAAGTCAATACAGATGTATAAATAAGTACCTACATCTTTCACAAGTCACTAGAGACAGATACTGCTTTCGTTAATGACTTCTAGGCTTACAAAGAAAGAAATATTTAAGCAGTAATTAGATTTAACTCCTGAAATAAATTCTAATTTCATAAATGACTTCTAGGCTTACAAAGCAATATTTTAGATGTAATTAGATTGAACTCCGGAAGCTAATTCTGCTCCATGGTTTAATTTGACAGCCCCATCTACATACGATTGTGAACCGATCCATGGAGTTGGCGATGAGTGCGAAGGAGCCGTACAACTACTTCCTGTTGCTGCGGGCATTGTTCCGGTCCATTGGAGGTGGGAGTCATGACCTACTGTACCAGGAGTTCCTGCCCCTGCTGCCAAATCTACTGCAAGGTAATGCATCCTATATAATTTGAAATTTCAACAGGTTCAAATCTTCATTTATAAAATCCAAATGATTAAAACTTAAACACCAATCCTATTGCAAAGTAACTGACCACAAGGTAAACTTTTTTGATGTAATTAAATAATTCAAAGGAAATTTTTAACAAGATAAAATCTAGATAGATGTGATGTTGTGTTATTCCCTGTACAGGCCTGAACAGTCTACAGAGTGGTCTCCACCGCCAGCACATGAAGGACCTATTTGTGGAGCTATGTCTCACAGTTCCCGTCCGACTCAGCTCTTTACTGCCCTACTTACCCATGCTGATGGACCCCCTAGTGTCAGCCCTTAATGGGTCACAGACCCTTGTCAGTCAGGTATGTTGGTTTCTCTGTAAATGCAATTAGTGCAGGACTTGAGGCTGAAGGTAGGCCCGATTCTAATAGCAAAACCCTATCTAAAATTAGAAATTCCCAAAATAATGCTGTTTAAATAAATATTGTTATCAAAATCTGACTGGTGCCATCCCATCTTTGTTCTGTTGACTAATCTTTGTTCAAATCTTTTATCATTAGAGAAATAATTCTATAAATGATACTTTTATGATAAAAATTTGCTATCTTTGTATTTCTTTGTTATTACACCTTTGCCCAATTTAACTTTTTGCTGGTGTTTTTTTTGCCCCATCCCAAACCAGGGTAAAGAAGCCCTGGAACGTGTCCTGTTGCCTCCATGCAGCTTGTCATTTGCCTTCCTATACAAGTTTTGGGAATGTTGTTGTTTTTGGTCTATAGAAGAATTCATGTTAATTGATGCACAGATTCTAACTTGCTTGATTAAATTTCTTCATTATACATTTCCTTTAGGTCCAAGAATCGTACCATTTAAGTATATAATATTGTATCCCCTCAGGGTTTGCGGACACTGGAGCTGTGTGTAGATAATCTCCAGCCCGACTTCCTGTACGACCACATACAACCTGTCAGGGCTGAACTAATGCAGGTCAGTGGAGAGGGGTCTGAGCTACAAACATGGTCTTCTAGAAATAAAATAACTTCAATCAATGTTGATGAAACAAAGATAAAAGTAATAAAATGCTGATGTTGTTCTGGTTTTAATTTTAATCTGACTTGTGACTTTAATAATTGTTTATTTTGATGAATTATGAGAAAACACTGCATCCAAGAAAAGTCATCACCATCAAAATGTTTCCGATGTTGATATTCAACCATGAGTAGGAGTGTAATTACAGTATAGAGCATTGATTCGTTAGTGTTTTGTCAAACTATGAGTACCGCTACTCTATGTAACGTAGCATCTCGCCATCGAATTAAACTCTCATGAGCAGAAATAATTAGAAAATTCCAAGGTGTGGTAACATCATTCCCTGGTTAGGGAGTTTGTTAACATGTTCATTTTTTACGGCAGGCCTTGTGGAGAACTCTACGCAGTCCTGTTGACAATGTCGCTCATGTGGCATTCCGGGTCCTTGGAAAGTTTGGGGGAGGTAACAGGAAGATGTTACGGGAGCCACAGAGGGTAGGTCTCTACAGGATGTATACAAGTATGTTAAATAAGGATCTGGTTTTCCTAAGACTTACTTTATACATTTCCCTCAATTTATCACCAAACCACTTTATACATTTCCCTCAATTTATCACCAAACCCCTTTATAATGCCAAAATTTCTCTGGAAATATGGTGGCAATATAACAAGGTTTTACTGTACACAATTTCATTACTAGCTACCATTGTTTCATCTCCACAGCTACAATACAATGACCGGGAGACAGTCGGACCCTGTATCACTATCTACTTCCAGGATGTGAAAACACCAATCACTCTCCCTGTGGAAAAGGTTTGTTTGGTTCACCCTAAATCCTCACAGAAGATATTTTGATAAGATTTAAAAAGACAAATATTTTTACAATCATTGATTACAATGCTGGGAGTTACAATCTAGAAACATATCAGTATGGATACACAAAAAACAAACAAAATGACAGTTAATAAGTTTTTTTATTATTATTTTCATTGTCTGAAATTGATTCAGAAGTAAAAAATGCCAGTATTACCACTTTTTCTGTTACTGTTGGTCTGCTAGGCGATTGATGCTGCCCTCACCACGCTCAAGTGCAGTACATCAGATAACTTTGCGCGACGCCAGGCCTGGGAACTAATCAAGTGTTTCCTGGTATCAGTGATGAACCTGGAGGACGACAAACAGACGCTCACTAACCTATTCACCCACCCGAGGTACTGTCTCATCACAGGAATTCCGAAATTACAGGGATTTAATACAAGTATACCACTGTGGAAACATCTTCATGATAAGTGTCTATAACTGGTTTTTAGACAGTTTTAATATTTCCTTTGGAAAATATTTTGATTATGACTTCCTCTTTTACAAAGTTTTTCCCTCAAAACATATAGTAGCTGCTCATAAAGTACTATCAGGATAAAATGACTGTGACGGTTTGCTGTGATTGAGAAAAATGTGAACATTTTCTTCAACTTTTATTTTCAGCTTTACAGAGAAAGAAATTCCCCTGCAGACAGGACCCCTGTACAAGAACCCCGACTCCCACTCCCGGAGGGTCCATGAACAGGCACTTACGGGAATGTTTGGTAAGATTTAACACCTTTGCAGTTTATAATAATTTTTTGGAAGATGACATTCAGGTTTAATCTGTTTTGGAAGTTTTCATATTGTAAGGAATAACAGTATCTGATATTGCTTGATAATATTTATACAAATTTTTAAATGAAGATACATTATACATCCAGTAGAAAATGAAGAGGAAATAAATGAAAGTAGGGCATTGTTATCAGTGTGTGCATTAACTTTGTGTATCTGTCAGTACTATATCAGGCCTATCTAACAACTGTTTTGTCTATATATTTGACTGTATAATGTAATCTGTCTACCACCAGTCGCTGCTGCCATCAAGGAACTGCGACAGACTGTGCTGACCTTCATGGCTTGTATGGTGCGCCATTACACAATGATCTCAATATCACAGCAGTGTGGTAAGTAAACACCTGCCAATTAATGTCTTTCTCAATAAAAATTGATGTCATGTTGGTTAGCTGTGAAATAAATTTGACGACTAAAATTTGATGCAGACTGACGACCTTAAACAAATCTCTCACCTGAGAGTTGTAAATTTCAAAACAGAATTCATCCTCATTATTCCAGCGGTTACTCTCACCTATGTTCTCTGCACCCGTGAAATGGTGTGACGAAATCGAAGGCTTTGTATATACCACCTTGCTGATGATACAAATAGACTACTTTGATCCTTTGAAGTATATCAAATGAATCGAGCAGCGCCGTAATGCTAAAATTGACTGGCTTTGAAGTCAGGTGTTGCTCCTCTGTAATCTTCTAAGGCTAGGCATGAGCCTAGGGATTGGTCAGATTTTTTCACCTGCAGCCAATCAAATATCTGACCACAAACATTCGATTTTTTCATGACATATTCCAGGGGTGCACAGAACATAAGTGAGTGTAATCTTTGGAATTTCAATGATGAACAGAATTGTGATGGTAAAGACGGCTCACTACTTGTGGCTACAGAATTGTGATGGTAAAGAAGGCTCACTACTTGTGGCTAATAAGATGCATGTTTCTCTGTCAGAAATTCCTGAAGTGTTGTTTGTGTGGTTGACCTGAGTATGTTACAGTACAAACATTAATTTGGCTGACTGAGTGACATTTCATCCTTCACAGTTCTCTACATTTGTATCACTAATGAGCTGCTTATGGATATCTACATGTTGTGTGTGTTCAGGTCCGTTCCCAGTGGGGGAGAAGCAGAACAAGCTACACGGAATGGACACACAGATCCTGATTGATGCCCTGGCTGTCATCATGGGACATGAGGAGAAGGAGCTATGTAAGCCTGGTAACCTGGCCCTCATCCTCATCCTCGATACGGCCACTACCATCCTCGGCAGCAAGGAGAAGGTACTACACATACCGGGTCACACATACACCTACTATTCCATAAAGTCATACTGCTATACTGGACAGTTAGGACAAAATATAGACCTGTATCACATTCCTAACTCATACACCTGTCGTCAATAAACTGATAAACTATACTATGCCACAAAGAACAATTACAGAGCTGCCTCACATACTTTGTCTCGTATACAATTTTCAATTAGTAAGGTGATCATTCAACATACAGATGATGCTTTTATATCCTAAGAATCTCAGAACAAACTTAATGTGATAAGAATTTCTTAGAAAGTACCGTAAATATTCGCGTATAGTGCTCATTTTTTTAAGTGAAGACAAAATTAATGTTTAGTTAATATTTCTTACTTTAAAAGAAAGTTTAAAAAGATTCAGATTAGCTACAGGAATATAGATTATATTGACCATTAAAATGAGCTGAACTTTTGACTGTAACTTAGGTTTTACTGCAAATTGTTTATAGCTATGGATTATGAAAAGTTCTTTTTACACAACCAATAACATTTTCTATGTGACGTTTCGATGACTAGTACCATATGTACACTGTCACCTTCATCAGACAAATGACCAGGCATATAGCTATGGTGATTTACTTTCATTTTACCTATACATTACAGGCATGTCAGCTGCCAATGTTTGACTACCTAGTGGAGAGGATGTGTTCTCTGTGTTATGACCGTGCCTGGTATGCCAAATGTGGAGGGTAAGTGGAATGTTTTACTGTTGATTGTGATCCTTAATCACTGATTATTAGACTGTTACAGCAAAACATGTTTTTAGTGGTTAATATTCACCTGCTAAGGTAATTTCTGTGTTGACTGACATCATGTTGCGTCTGTGTACCCATCAAATTTACATGCAATAGGATATATCTGAAGGTTTTTACAATGTAAGACTGACATTGTGTTTTGTGCCTGTATAGGTATCAGGTTTATGTATACAAGGATGTCTATGTAGTAGGTTACAGTGAAGACTGACGTTGTGTTGTAGGTGTTTAGCCATCAAGTTTATGTACGAGCGGATGTCCCTGAAGTGGGTATTGGAGCACCAGTTTACATTCCTGAAAGCCCTCCTGTTTGTCATGATGGATCTCACTAAGGAGGTAACACAAATATCTCACCAGCTTGCCTGTCACTAAGGAGTTAACACAAACATCTCACTAGCTTGCCTCTCACTAACGAGGTAACACAAATATCTCACCAGCTTGCCTGTCACTAAGGAGGTAACACAAACATCTCACCAGCTTGCCTCTCACTAAGGAGGTAACACAAACATCTCACTAGCTTACCTCTCACTAAGGAGGTAATACAAATATCTCACAAGCTTGCCCCTCACTAAGGAGGTAACACAAACATCTCACTAGCTTGCCCCTCACTAAAGAGGTAACACAAACATCTACTAGCTTACCTCTCACTTAGGAGGTAACACAAATATCTCACTAGCTTGCCCCTCACTAAGGAGGTAACACAAACATCTCACTAGCTTGCCTCTCACTAAGGAGGTAACACAAACATCTCACTAGCTTACCTCTCACTAAGGAGGTAACACAAACATCTCACTAGCTTGCCTCTCACTAAGGAGGTAACACAAACATCTCACTAGCTTGCCTCTCACTAAGGAGGTAACACAAACATCTCACTAGCTTGCCTCTCACTAAGGAGGTAACACAAACATCTCACTAGCTTGCCTCTCACTAAGGAGGTAACACAAACATCTCACTAGCTTGCCTCTCACTAAGGAGGTAACACAAACATCTCACTAGCTTGCCTCTCACTAAGGAGGTAACACAAACATCTCACTAGCTTGCCTCTCACTAAGGAGGTAACACAAACATCTCACTAGCTTGCCTCTCACTAAGGAGGTAACACAAACATCTCACTAGCTTGCCTCTCACTAAGGAGGTAACACAAACATCTCACTAGCTTGCCTCTCACTAAGGAGGTAACACAAACATCTCACTAGCTTGCCTCTCACTAAGGAGGTAACACAAACATCTCACTAGCTTGCCTCTCACTAAGGAGGTAACACAAACATCTCACTAGCTTGCCTCTCACTAAGGAGGTAACACAAACATCTCACTAGCTTGCCTCTCACTAAGGAGGTAACACAAACATCTCACTAGCTTGCCTCTCACTAAGGAGGTAACACAAACATCTCACTAGCTTGCCTCTCACTAAGGAGGTAACACAAACATCTCACTAGCTTGCCTCTCACTAAGGAGGTAACACAAACATCTCACTAGCTTGCCTCTCACTAAGGAGGTAACACAAACATCTCACTAGCTTGCCTCTCACTAAGGAGGTAACACAAACATCTCACTAGCTAACCTCTCACTAAGGAGGTAACACAAATATCTCACTAGCTAACCTCTCACTAAGGAGATAACACAAACATCTCACTAGCTAACCTCTCACTAAGGAGGTAACACAAATATCTCACTAGCTTACCTCTCGCTTAAGAGGTAACACAAATATCTCACTAGCTAACCTCTCGCTAAGGAGGTAACACAAACATCTCACTAGCTTGCCTCTCACTAAGGAGGTAACTCAAATATCTCACTAGCTTACCTCTCGCTTAGGAGGTAATACAAATATCTCACTAGCTTGCCTCTCACTAAGGAGGTAACACAAATATCTCACTAGCTTACCTCTCACTAAGGAGGTAACACAAATATCTCACTAGCTTACCTCTCGCTTAGGAGGTAACACAAATATCTCACTAGCTTGCCTCTCACTAAGGAGGTAACACAAACATCTCACTAGCTAACCTCTCACTAAGGAGGTAACACAAACATCTCACTAGCTAACCTCTCGCTAAGGAGGTAACACAAATATCTCACTAGCTAACCTCTCACTAAGGAGGTAGCACAAATATCTCACTAGCTAACCTCTCACTAAGGAGGTAACACAAACATCTCACTAGCTTGCCTCTCTTTTAATGTTGTTGCACTGTTCTTCTTTTATACTTTCACATTTAATTTTCTTATCTGTATGTTGCACATCATTTGACATCTAATACATTGAGCTCTCAATGTTAATAAAAATTGATCAAATTTTAATTAAGCTATTTCTTTAAAATCAAAAAACATTCCCCATTCTATTTTTCACTTACAGTGCTCCTTCAGTAAAGACCATTTATCATTGTAGGTGTCAAGTGGTGCTGTGGATTTGGCCAAGTACAACTTGGAGAATATGCTGATTAAGTGTGCTCAGGAGATCAAACCAGAGGAAGCCAACGAGGAACTTCTGGCCGTACAGAAAAAATCATTCAATGATGTTACACACGAGCTGGTGCGGCAGATCACATCCCCCAATACCACAGTTAGGGAGCAGGTAATTTGATTTAATATTAATTTTATTATGTCGCCCACAGAGAGTTTACAAAATTTTCAAATTTCTGAATCAACTTCTTGTCTAGTCCATAACTGTATTAAAGCTAGCTATCAGACCCCAGTTTAAGGAACATTCTTAAATTAACGAAATTCCTTTAGTTTTCCATTAAGTGTATAACAGTAGTTACAGAAACTTGACTCCATTAATGCCTTCCTATGGATAAACTGAAGTTCAGAATTTTTCCAATGTTAAGTAACAGCCAGGCCCCAGTTTCACAACAGTTCTAAACTTTGAGAATGTTTTCTGTTGTAAAGATAATAATTTGGTTTAAAAGCTAGATTTTCTCAACTACTAAATGAAATAGTGAATCATTAATTTATTTTATATGATTAGAGAATTATCCCTTGTAATTTGAAACATTGAGTGGAGTGCTTAAAACTAGATATGAAACATTTGAGGAGACTACTAAAATTAAATAAAAATTTAATCAAGATTGGTTAAGACTATTTTGGAAACCCTGACCAGTAACCATGAGAAAAGAAGGTTGTACAACTAGTACCAAACATGCCTAATTAGATATCTCCCCTTGTTAATATTTGTGATGAATATTTGTCAGGCGATGCATTCCCTGGAGGTCCTTGCCAAGACCACCAAAAAGACTGTGACTGAGATAATGGAGCCCCAGAAACAGGTGTTACAAGACATGATACCGCCTAAAAAACACCTGTTACGCCACCAACCCGCTAACGCTCAAATAGGGCTCATGGTAAGTTGACGCCACCAACCCGCTAACGCTCAGATAGGGTTCATGGTAAGTAAATATTACCAACTCTCCAACGCTCAAATAGGACTCATGGTAAGTTAACAACACAACCCGCTAACGCTCAGATAGGGCTCATGGTAAGTAAGCGACACCAGCCCATCAATGCTCAGATAAGACCCATGGTATGTAAACATCACCAGCCATTGAACAGTCAGAGAGGGCTCATTGTAAATAAGTTCCCCACCTACAAATGCTCAGAAAGGGCTCATGTGAGTAAATGTCATCATCCCCCTTACACGCAGGGCTCATGAAAGGCAAACTCCAGACTCATCATATTCCATCATATCCCATATGCTGTGATGAATTGTAAGACTTTTAGAAAATCTTATATCCTGAGGAGGGTATCTCTGAAGAAGCTTAGCAATTTAAATTATAATGGACCTGAACCTGTTATTTTCTTAGGATGGTAACACTTTCTGCACAACTCTGGGGCCACGCCTTTTCACCATCGACCTCGCTGTCATAGAACACAACGTCTTCTTTAACGAGCTGCTGAGTCTGTGTGAGGCTGAGGACGCTGCTCTACAGAAACTGCCCTGTTACAAGTCGGTCACTGATCTAGTCCCTCTCCGCAAGAGTGCGCTGCGTAAGTGGAAAATTGTGTTCATTTTAAAACAGTCAATGTTGTCCTTGAAAGTTTTTATATTTGCTTCAGTGTTCTGAGATTGTGTAATTGTACACCTTTCTGCGAGACAACAAAATAAGAGATAATCATGGTTACCTGTGAGTGTGTATATATGTTGATTTCCTTTTGCTGCAACAGGTGCCCTGGCAGCATGTCACTACATACAGAACCAGAGAGAGAAGCTGTTCTCAGTGCTGGATAAGGCTCTTAATAGTAACAGTGCTGAACTACAGAGGGTTGCCTTCGACTGCATGAAGAAGGTAAGAAAATGTTACAAAGGGTAAGAGTAAAATACTACAAGAAGAGTTATTAGTCTGAATGTGAGCTTGATACAAACCTAAAAGTATGCGGTAAAGTTATTATAATAGAGTAAAACCTACCTATAAGGCTACTCAAGGGAGAAATATAAAACAAGGTCACATGTAGAGGGAGTTTTATGTGTATAGACCACTGAAGGAATTGTTGAACAAGTTGTAATAAAGAGATGGTGTCTAATGCAGGTTCAAATATCCCAAAATATATCTTAATAAGCCTAAGATTGGAAGAAAAAATCAATAAATCTTGTATTTCTTCTCTTAAAGAACTATGGTGGCTTTTCAAAGAACATCTCTCAACCAATAATCTGTTTTAATTTATTTCACATACAGACATGGATAATCAATTATTTCACCTGCAAAATAAACAATATCTACAAATAATTTAAAGATCCTGTTTAGAGGCCCTGCTCAAGTTACACCAGTTCAATCGCAATCAAACGCTCTAGACTTCATGGTCAATCAGCAACAGTAGAGAATCTCGTGTATTAAGAAGAGAGGATCACGAGGATCACCAAAGTTGATCATTTGTCAAATCTTGAATGTCTGAATGTATTCCTCTTTAAGCTACAGTATTAACAATTAGATGTTTGATGGTTTCAGTTTATCTCAGGATGTCAGATAGAGATTGAAATTGTTTACAAGAAGATGCGGCCATTATTGTCGACACTGAGCGACCACAGTAGCCTGAACAGCAACGTGATTCAGCGACTGTCGTACATCACACAACTCTTCCCCAACATCTTTAACGAGAAATTCTGTGAACAGCTACTGGTAAGTATGTCTCATACCTCTAGTAGTGGCAGTTAAAAATTGAATGCTTTGTGAATTGTTGATAAATGATTAATACTTAGGTTAAATGATTGCAATATTTAAACTTTGAGATAGATACGGAGTAGGCTCATTTTTGACATGCTTATTGGTTATTTTTGAAGTGGAAAACTCATCATCAATATTGTATTGTTTCATTAACCATCAGAAACACTTGAAGAAATGGCTGGATGTTGCAGCCACAAGCCAGAAACCACCACAGAATAAATCTAATGGTCAAGTGATCCCACAGGTAAAGTATTCCTAGCCTCATATATCTATTATATTGGAGTCAAAGGTCAGATTCTGTTTAGAGATTGATTGTATCAAAAGTCAGCTTTGGATTATTTTGAGGATCAATTTTGTTTTTTTAATACCCCTTCATTGAAACAGTTTTTTTTTTAATTATTTAACAATTTTGATTTTATTATTTTACCTTGTTACCAGGAGTTGAAGACCTGTGCTTCCATCATTGATATTTTCCACATGATTCCTGCTGCTAGCAACAAACTCATCGAGCCCCTCATACAGATTACTTTACTAGGGGAGAAAACTCTCTTTCTTGAGGTAAGAAATATGGCTAATGATCATTTCACTCAACGAGATTTCAAATATTTGACCCATTCTATAACGCATTTGGCGAGCTACAATTCTTATCATGTTTGGAGACATTTATGAAACTATTAATTTTAAAATGGTATAGATTCATGCATATCAAGTTAATAAGAAATTATGGTTGGTCTCAACAGGATGCCAGTTAATGCGTTTTTTTAATTTTTTTATGTCCCCTCAAACTGGGACCTTCATTCTGTATAGTAAACATTCTACAGTCCAAATGTCAGGTCTAATATTGTTTTTGGTCTGTAGGCTGGCAGTCCATTCCGTGACCCTTTAATCAACTTCCTGAAGCGGTACCCAGAGGTCACAGTGGATTTATTTCTCAACGAGACACGCCTGGGTGATCAACAATGGACAAGGCTCTTCCATGTAAGTTTACACTCCGTTGTGTAATCAGCTAACTTTCACAATGAACAATTGTTGTGTTTGCAATGTTAGGATATTCATATTCTCCAGGAATGTTACATTCTGAGAATGTTATTCCTGGCATATATTTACAACAGCTGTAGTATATAAAGGTCTGTGAACTGAGAATGTTATTCCTGGCATATATTTATAACAGCTGTAGTATGTAAAGGTCTGTGAACTGAGAATGTTAGTCCTGGCATATATTTACAACAGCTGTAGTATGTAAAGGTCTATGAACTGAGAATGTTATTCCTGGCATATATTTATAACAGCTGTAGTATGTAAAGGTCTGTGAACTGAGAATGTTATTCCTGGCATATATTTACAACAGCTGTAATATGTAAAGGTCTGTGAACTGAGAATATTATTCCTGGCATATATTTACAACAGCTGTAGTATATAAAGGTGTGTGAACTGAGAATGTTATTCCTGGCATATATTTACATCAGCTGTAGTATGTAAAGGTCTGTGAACTGAGAATGTTATTCCTGGCATATATTTACATCAGCTGTAGTATGTAAAGGTCTGTGAACTGAAAATGTTATTCCTGGCATATATTTACAACAGCTGTAGTATATAAAGGTGTGTGATAAAGCTAAATTGATGTCTTATCAGTAATGGTTAATAAATCTTGTTCTAAATGAAATGGTTCATTTGCCTTTTGTTATGAAACATTGAATAAAAAACTTTACTATCTGTTTTTTCTTCCTTCATCTTGTAGTTTGTGATCGCCCACAAGAATGGCAAACAGTTCCGAGAAGTTCTCAAAAATAATGCCACCCGTCTGATGAACATTTTCTCCATTGCCCAGGTAAAAGCTGATATCAGCTAAAACATTTCTGAATGCTTTTCTTATTTTGAATACCATGTAATATAGCACACAGTTTCAACTAGGTACTTTATAAAAGGTAAAATCAAATTAAGGTACTTTCTTATTTATTTGCCTGGAAGTCTGATATGTTAATTATATGACACTAAATTTCTTTGACCAGAAGTATCATTTGAGTTATGTTTATTTAGGGGGCAACGCCCACCACTACTGACGTGTCAGTGTCTTCCCCCGCCCCTTCTCCAACCCCGGGGCCCAACGTTGAGTTGCAGTTTCAGATCATCAAACTCATTAGCCTCCTTGTGAGACATGAGGAGCAGTGGCTAGCGTTACATCCTGTAATTGTGAGTATGTCTGCTGTGGTGACTAGCCTATCTGCATAATTGCAGTGTTTGAAATTCTGATTCTGAATCCTTACAGGATATTTTAACTCATAATTATAAAATCTACAAATGCATTTTGATGATAAAATGTGAAGAAGACATTGTTCCCCCTTTTTCTACTTTTACCTGTGAGGCATCAAAAATAAGGAGAAAATTAATAGCGATTTACACGAATATGAAATTTCAATCCATACAAATGACCATTCAGGCGCATGCTAGGTCTTTTCTGTTTATACTTGAGATGATAAAATTGAGTGATTGCTATTGTGTGTTGATCAGGTGACCAGTCTACTACAGCTGTGGAAGTCTGAGGCATTTCAGGAAAGGCATAACAAACTGGAGGCTGTGGAGATGGTACACTGGAAGGAGCCCGCTCTCCTTGTCAAGTGTCTCCTCAACTACTTCAGGTAAGTCACCGTCTCATCAGCCCTCCTTGTCAAGTGTCTCCTCTGACAACTACTTCAGGTAAGTCACCGTCTCATCAGCCCTCCTAGTGAAGTGTTTCCTCAACTACTTCAGGAAAGTCACAGTCTCATTAGCCCTCCTTGTCAAGTGTTTCCTCAACTACTTCAGGTAAGTCACAGTCTCATCAGCCCTCCTTGTCAAATGTCTCCTCAACTACTTCTGGTAAGTCACTGTCTCATCAGCCCTCCTAGTCAAGTGTTTCCTCAACTACTTCCGGTAAGTCACCGTCTCATCAGCCCTCCTTGTCAAGTGTTTCCTTAACTACTTCCAGTAAGTCACTGTCTCATCAGCCCTCCTTGTCAAGTGTAACCTCAACTACTTCAGGTAAGTCACAGTCTCATTAGCCCTCCTTGTCAAGTGTTGTCTCAACTACTTCAGGTAAGTCACAGTCTCATCAGCCCTCCTAGTCAAATGCTTCCTCAACTACTTCAGGTAAGTCACAGTCTCATCAGCCCTCCTAGTCAAGTGCCTCCTCAACTACTTCCGGTAAGTCACTGTCTCATCAGCCCTCCTAGTCAAGTGTTTACTCAACTACTTCCGGTAAGTCACCGTCTCATCAGCCCTCCTAGTCAAGTGTTTCCTCAACTACTTCAGGTAAGTCACTGTCTCATCAGCCCTCCTAGTCAAGTGTTTCCTCAACTACTTCCGGTAAGTCACCGTCTCATCAGCCCTCCTAGTCAAGTGTTCCCTCAACTACTTCTGGTAAGTCACCGTCTCATCAGCCCTCCTAGTCAAGTGTCTCCTCAACTACTTCCGATAAGTCACAGTCTCATATCTCTCCATATAAAGCCAAAGATTTGCTGGAAAAATAGTGACAGCACAACCAGGTGTTCCAGTTTATAATATCTAGTTGATTGATAAAAACTATTGGTATCATTACAGGTTTCACACCAACGAGAATGAGCTACTGTTTCACATCCTACGGTGTTTTACCAACCGATGTGTTGTCCAGTTTCAGTTTGTCAAGGATTTCCTGGATAACACTGTGGCAGCGGTAAGTCTCTACCACTAGCTGGTATTTATCACAAGTTTTATTAGTTTCCACAGTGTCTAGAGTTTTTGGATTCAAGGTTCTCATTATTTACTTCTTTTATTGAATGTTTTCAGACTTACTCCATCGAGTGGAAGAGGAGTGCCTTTTTCAAGTTTGTTGACATTTTCCATGATACCAAATGGACACAGGAAATCAAGGCAAAGGTCTGTACTGATTATCAGAACCTTTTACTGAGGTTAAAGGTCATATACCTATGAAGTTCTATGTTCACTCAAGACTCAGGTGAATTTTCGTACAAATGATGTAAGTTCTTACAATTTTTCATACGGATTGTGTAAGCCCTGTCCTGTTTGCATCGCTGATCTTGAAAGCCCTCTTTGTTAAGTGATTATAGAAATCCTACACTCTTTCTATACGATGATGTAAGTCCTGAACCCATTATAAACTGATGATTTAAGTTCCGCCCTTTTTTATACTGATTATAAAGTCCTGCCCCGATTTAAGTCACGCCCCTTTTTATGCTGATGATTTAAGCCCAGCCCATTTTTTACTGATTATGTAAGTCACTCCTCTTTGTTTACTGATTATGTAAGTCACGTCCCTTTGTTTACTGATTATGTAAGTCCCGTCCCTTTGTTTACTGATTATGTAAGTTACGCCCTTTTGTTTACTGATTATGTAAGTTACGCCCCTTTGTTTACTGATTATGTAAGTCACACCCCTTTGTTTACTGATTATGTAAGTCCCGTCCCTTTGTTTACTGATTATGTAAGTTACGCCCCTTTGTTTACTGATTATGTAAGTTACGCCCCTTTGTTTACTGATTATGTAAGTCACACCCCTTTGTTTACTGATTATGTAAGTCCCGTCCCTTTGTTTACTGATTATGTAAGTTACGCCCCTTTGTTTACTGATTATGTAAGTTACGCCCCTTTGTTTACTGATTATGTAAGTCACACCCCTTTGTTTACTGATTATGTAAGTCCCGTCCCTTTGTTTACTGATTATGTAAGTCACGCCCCTTTGTTTACTGATTATGTAAGTCCCGTCCCTTTGTTTACTGATTATGTAAGTCACGCCCCTTTGTTTACTGATTATGTAAGTCCTGTCCCTTTGTTTACTGATTATGTAAGTCATCCCTTTGTTTACTGATGATTTAAATTCCGCCCTTTGTTTACTTATTATGTGAGCACTACTTTTTTGTATATTGTTTATGAATTTAAGTTCCATCTCCCCCATAGACTGATAAGTAAGACCCTTTATCCCTGCTCCCTCTTTATATAGTGATTATATAATTCTGGCCCCTTTTTATACTGATTGTGTTGCCCACCCCCTTTTGTATACTGATTATGTAAGCCCTGCCCTATATGATCACTGATGAAGTAAATGTTCTGTTTCACAGATCCTGCAGCACATCCTCATCCCCTGTTTCCACCAGGTGTTTGAGGGTGGGGATGGTGAGAAGTTGATTGGTGGCCCCCCAGCACCAGATCAGGACAACATGGAAAACATCATTAGTGTTTTCATCAACAAAATCATCGACCCTGACAACCCATTTGGGACGTCTGATGCTGTGAGGATTCTTCTGCTGCAGCTGTCATCACTGCTGGTGGAACAGGCGTCGTCTCACATACATGATGCTGCTAACAAGTACGAGTCCGCCATGATCGGTTTTGTAATAGGAAACGTTAGACCGGGTGGCTCTATGAAGCACACAGTAATGCACATTGATCACATAAACATCAGTTAAACAGTGGAGCTGTGTTCATATAGCCACCACTAATGTGGTGATCCACTCACTAGTGCTTATCTAGCCACCACTAATGTGATGATCCACTCACTAGTGCTTTATCTAGCCACCACTAATGTGATGATCCACTCACTAGTGCTTATCTAGCCACCACGAATGTGGTGATCCACTCACTAGTGCTTATCTAGCCCCCACTAATGTGGTGATCCCCTCACTAGTGCTTATCTAGCCACCACTAATGCGGTGATCCACTCACTAGTGCTTATCTAGCCACCTCTAATGTGGTGATCCACTCACTAGTGCTTATCTAGCCCCCACTAATGTGGTGATCCCCTCACTAGTGCTTATCTAGCCACCACTAATGCGGTGATCCACTCACTAGTGCTTATCTAGCCACCGCTAATGTGGTGATCCACTCACTAGTGCTTATCTAGCCACCGCTAATGTGGTGATCCACTCACTAGTGCTTATCTAGCCGCCACTAATGTGGTGATCCACTCACTAGTGCTTATTTAGCCACCACTAATGTGATGATCCACTCACTAGTGCTTATCTAGCCACCACTAGTGTGGTGATCCACTCACTAGTGCTTATTTAGCCACCACTAATGTGATGATCCACTCACCAGTGCTTATCTAGCCACCACTAATGTGGTGATCCCCTCACTAGTGCTTATCTAGCCACCACTAATGCGGTGATCCACTCACTAGTGCTTATCTAGCCACCACTAGTGTGGTGATCCACTCACTAGTGCTTATTTAGCCACCACTAATGTGATGATCCACTCACTAGTGCTTTATCTAGCCACCACTAATGTGGTGATCCACTCCCTAGTGCTTATCTAGCCACCACTAATGTGGTGATCCACTCACTAGTGGTTAAGAGGACAGGTTTCTGCTCTTCTATTAAAAATTGTCCCAATTACTAGCCATTTCATAATGCAGCCACCTTAGTTGGAATAAAGGTAGCTGGATTAACTCAGTTGAACCTGTTATGAACTGTTTTGAACCCTACTTTCCTATTCCTTTCTTAACACGATTGTAATATATAGCATTGGTCAGATAAAGAGACCATGATGACATTATTGTTTTTATGTATTCATGTACAAACTTAATATCTGCCTTGTAAGAAAGAAAGTTTGGTTTCATTTGTAACCTTTCGCTTCTGTTTGTTATTTGAAGTTATTGTTTAATTGATAGAAAGTAAGAAAATAACTGGATAATTAAAAAGCATTTACAATTTCTCACCAATAGAAAGACATTATGTAGATTGTTACGGTTTTTCTATCCTTATGTTACTGTTCTGTCTATGTTCAATGTAGTAAGTACTGAACTTGTTACAGGAAGCAAGGTAACAAACTGCGACGGCTGATGACCTTTGCCTGGCCCTGCCTGTTGTCTAAAAACTGTGTGGACCCGGCAACAAAATACCATGGCCACCTGCTACTATCACACATCATTGCTAAATTTGCCATCCACAAGCGGATTGTCCTGCAGGTTTTCCACAGCCTGCTGAAGGCACACGCTGTGGAGGCGCGCACGGTCGTCAGGCAGGCTCTCGAGATACTCACTCCTGCCATGCCTGGACGCATGGAGGACGGAAACGTATGTGTCTTATTAAACGTCAACTGGATGAATATTTTGTAAAAAAAAAGTAGCTTTATATGAGGTTGTGAGAAGTTCTGTTTATGGAATTTTGGAAGGTTGTAAATCTTGCAGGATGCTACACTTAGTATGTGAACAGAGAAATAAACAGTAAGAACACGGAACATAAAGATTTTCTCCAATCAGGAAAAAGTACTCTGGTAGATACAGAATTTCAGTTTAACAAATGATATTACAGGTTATTATAATCAAAATGATCGAACAACAGGTCTGTTGAAGTTCTCTCCTGTAAAGGGATACAGTTTTTAGATGATGACTTAAAATGTGTAAGAAAAGAACTTATGTTACATCCTCACATTATATTTTGGGATAATTTCTTGTTTTTTTATCTGTTGTCTGATTAAAAAAACAATGCAGATTGGAGAGGTTTAGGAAAGTTATGATTGTGACTACATGCAACATTCATTTCGTGTATTTTATGTGATGGTCATTACAATATACACATTGTCTCAGACTATCTAGAAATAATTTGTATGATGATGGTGGTCAGTTGCCTGAATAAGGGGTTGGTCAGTTGATGGGTTGTGTCTAATGCTGTAAAATGTAGCAGAATTGTTTGATGGTTGGTTATATGTTGTATTTGACAGGGGATGTTGACCCACTGGACTAAAAAGATAATTGTGGAGGAGGGACACACTGTGGCACAGCTTGTACACATACTGTATGTATAATACTGTGTAATCTGTTTTTTTTCTTTGTTTGAGCTGTGCCTTCATTTTGTGCTGTAAGATTATTTTATTGGATAAAAATTGTATAAATCAGAAAAAGAAAAAATATATCAAGAAACACATATTTCCTAAATATCAATCAATATTTTATTTGTATCTATATATCAATATTTTTTTTGTGTATATATCAATATGATCTTGTAAATATTGATCTGAGGGTATTACTTAGACTCTGGTTTAAAATTCTTGGGGTTATGCTGCACTATGAGTGTAGTACAATGGGGTTATTTTACACAGTAGTGCTGTTGTAATTTAAAGAACTCCTTGTTCCTTTTGTTAAGCTCCATTTTCCGAGTATGTATGCAGTGACTGTCCAGTGAACGCGGTGGGTTGATCAGTAGGATTTGATGCGACCCTTATTTCTATGTATGTGCATGTATTGAAGGGTGATGGGGAAGATTTATTTCTTTGTAGGCAACTTGTGGTGCGTCATTACAAGGTGTACTACCCAGTCCGACATCACCTGATCCCACACATGGTCAACTCTCTACACAAGCTCGGCTTCACTTCAAGTGTGAGTATGATCCTATCACCATAGTAACACATGGTCAACTCTCTACAAAAGCTTGGCTTCAATTCAAGTGTGAGTATGATCCTATCACCATAGTAACACATGGTCAATTCTCTACACAAGCTTGGCTTCACTTCAGGTGTGAGTATGATCCTATCACCATAGTAACATATGGTCAACTCTCTACACAAGCTCGGCTTCACCTCAAGTGTCATGGTCATCTCTGTACGGTCAATTTCACAAATGAAATGTCAAAGATGACTTCTTTTTTTTTTTGGTGTTTACCTTGACATAAGTTTCTGAAACACAGATGTTAACTTCATGTCAGTTTAGTTTATGTCTATGTATATTTCTGGATGTAATAGTCGGGCGAGATAAATGCCAATTTCAAGGAGATAGTAGGGGTCAAAGGTCACTGGTGCATCAAGGTACATAACAGAAAAGTAGTGTTTACCTAGTAATTCCTTGGATTTAATCATTACTTTAATAATGTGTTCAACATGACAAGATTGTCGGTAGACCCAACACAGATTTTGTATCGACTTGTGTTTGGTTGACCTGTTGTTTGACCTCTGACCTCTGTGGTTGACCAGCTGTGTGTTTACCTATAATCCCAGGCCTCTATTGAACACCGTAAGCTGGCAGTGGACTTAGCAGAGGTAGTCATTAAGTGGGAGATGCAGCGAATCAAGGATGACCAGGACCCCTCGTTTGTAGAGCCAGCCAGTCAGGAGCTGAGCCAGGCCCTGACTCAAAACCTCCCGGTAAAGCGGTCAACGTCTGTAGACTCCCCTCAGGAAGCCAAGCGATCACGTCACTCCTCTGGAGCGGTGAGTAACCTCAGAGCTTGTCTGATGTAGTGTCTCAAGACTTTGGTGATTTAGGAGGGAGAATCCTGATTTGGAAACCTTAAATTTATATTGTAAGATATCTAGTGATTTCATCTGAAAGAACAACTCAAAATACGTCATTTTAAAGGGTTATTTTGTCTTTAGGGGGCATAAAAGCGAAGTAATTGACAGAAAAAACACTGATACGTTTGATTGTTATAATGGAATTTCTTTGCTGTTTATGTGAAGTGACGTAATTGTAACATGTAAAAGAGTAAGATATTTTGGTTTTACAGAGTACTCGAAGTCAGTCTGACCTTACCAAGCCCATAGAGAAGAATTACTGTGATGCTGTTGTGAATTTCTTACTGCGGATAGCATGTCAGGTAAAGTTTCAGTTGTCAGTGATTTTATAAACTGAAATGTCTTGTGGTATCGATATAAGTTGATAATTGATTGAAAATCTTTATTTCTTCTGTATACTCTGATTTTAAACTTTATTTTTAGGGAAGTAGCTAGTTGGCTAGTTAGCTTTTATCCTAGATATATTGAGAGTATACCCAACAGCCATGATGTCGTAAAGTATTACCCAAACAGCAGTGTCGGAGGGTTATTGAGTATAACCAGCCTCGGACTGTTGTGTACTAAAAGTAGTTCAGTGTGACCTTATGTTTGACCCCTGACATCAATCATTGAAATAATTCCTCCAGGACTCCAGAGCATTTTATTATCAAATATTCATTTGCTATTTCATTTCTCTGTCCTTAGGTAAACGAAACACCAGGATCTCCAGGCGAAATTTTGTCTCGTCGATGTGTGGGTCTCCTGAAGATGGCGCTGCGACCTGATATCTGGCCAAACACAGAACTGAAACTTGTCTGGTTTGACAAGTTACTGACGACAGTAGAAAATCCTCTGCCTAACTTTAACAACATCTGTACCGCCCTGGAGCTGCTCAGCTTCCTGCTCACCATACTGGTATGTGATTGCAAAGAAATATAACTTCTTCATCAGAATAATTTCCAATTTATATATGAAAAGGGTTCGTCCACAATTCCACAATATCAGTTTTATTTATTTTTACCTTCACCAGTTTTTTTTCATTAAAATCCATTATGGGATGTGAACAAAAGCAGATTTTGTCCTTGAATGAGGAAAGGGAATGTGTAATTGAGGCAAGGCATACTTTTTTATGATATTTCTTTTGATAAATTACAGAAATCAGTTAAGACTGCTGGCTGAAGTGTCTTTGCTCTTACAGCTCTACTTTTAGACTCTTTGTGTAAGACTCTCCATCTGTTTTGTTTACAGAAGAAGGAGACAATACTCACTAGCTTTAAGCCACTCCAGCGCGGGATAGCTGCCTGTATGACATGTCCTAACACCAAAGTTATCCGCGGGGTACACAGTCTTCTGTCTCGACTCATGAGCTTCTTCCCCACGGAGCCCGTCACCTCCAATGTTGCCTCCAAGTACGAGGAGCTTGAATGTCTGTACGCCTGTGTCAGCAAGGTTGTGTACGAGGGACTCACCAATTATGAAAAGTAGGTCACACATCTTTCCCTTATAAAAAGTAGGCCACATATATGTAAATCAAGAAAGGCAGGTCACACATTTCTGTCAATTAAGAAATATAGGTTACACATCTGTCCAGTGTAAATAGAGGAAGATCAGTGAACTAGAGGATTGATTATGGTATATATCTGAGGAATAGATAGTAAATCATACTTGATTATCATTGGTTGGATATTTGTTTCTCCCACAATATTAAATGGACATTATTTTGTTGTTGTAGTGAAAAAGATATTGCAGAAATATTGATATTCTATTGATATATAACTGTGTATTAATTCACTTTTCATTCATTTAACAATTATAAGATCTTTAAAAAGGAAGTAGAAGTTTAAATTAGTTACTAAAAATGATGATAATAACTTCTATTGACTATACTCAATTGAACTTACTAGGTTTTCCCAAAAGTGAAACTTCGTTTTTAGAATTTGTATTTTCCTTTTATTCTGAATGAGGTTAATAACTATCTATCAGGAAGCCAGATGCCTTACCATTATATACATTAAATGAGGTTGACATGTGTTTGTTAGGGCGTCGACTAGCCTCCTGTTATTTACTGACATGTGTTTGTTAGGGCGTCGTCTGGCTCCCCGTCCCAGCTGTTCAGCACACTGATGATCCTAAAGGCTGCCTGTATGCACAATCACTGTTACATTGACCGACTCATCACAACATTCATGAAGGTTCTACACAAGATGGCGCGGGAACACCTGGTCCCCACCTCCCCCGAGTCTAGTCCAGGTAAACAGAATCCAGCAAATTGTCATTTATGCTTTTGCCCAGTGAAATGTATACATTATTTTCAAAATAGATGCGATGCAAACATTTTCAGACGTTGATTTACTTTCCATTTTGATTTATGATATATATTTACAATTTCAGTCTTCCAATACTTTGATGTTTGATTAGTTAATTCAAAACTCTTTCCTTCCAATAGGTTGAGTGGTAGAGACATAACCATGTTTACTGGTTACAGTTGGCAATAGGCTGCTTATTATAAAAGTTGTATCTAATGTTAATGATTTATAGTTAGGAGTGAGCTGATAATAATGAACTTCAATCTAATGTTAATGGTTTATAGTTAGCTGATAATAATGAACTTGTATCTAATGTTGATGATTTATAGTTAGGAGTGAGCTGATAATAATTAACCTGTATCTAATGTTGATGGTTTATAGTTAGGAGTGAGCTGATAATAATGAACTTTTATCTAATGTTGATGGTTTATAGTCAGGAGTGAGCTAATAATAATGAACTTCAATCTAATGTTAATTATTTATAGTTAGGATTGAGCTGATAATAATGAACTTGTATCTAATGTTAATGATTTATAGTTAGGAGGGAGCTGATGATAATGAACTTTTATCTAATGTTGATGGTTTATAGTCAGGAGTGTGCTAATAATAATGAACTTCAATCTAATGTTAATGGTTTATAGTTAGCTGATAATAATGAAGTTGTATCTAATGTTGATGATTTATAGTTAGGAGTGAGCTGATAATAATGATCTTTTATCTAATGTTGATGGTTTATAGTCAGGAGTGAGCTAATAATAATGAACTTCAAACTAATGTTAATTATTTATAGTTAGGATTAAGCTGATAATAATGAACTTTTATCTAATGTTAATGGTTTATAGTTAGGAGTGAGCTAATAATAATTGACATGTGTCTAATGTTAATGATTTATAGTTAGGAGTGAGCTGATAATAATTGACCTGTATCTAATGTTAATGATTTATAGTTAGGAGTAAGCTGATAATAATGAACTTCAATCTAATGTTAATTATTTATAGTTAGGATTGAGCTGATAATAATGAACTTGTATCTAATGTTAATGGTTTATAGTTAGGAGTGAGCTGATAATAATGAACTTGTATATAATAGTAATGGTTTATTTTTAGGAGTGAGCTGATGTCAATGAACTTGTATCTAATGAAAATGGTTTACAGTGGGTAGAACTTATCCATCGATAAAAGTTTAGAATAACCTGATTATAATGAAGTTGTATATACTGGTAATGTTAATGGTTTACTGGTTACAATTACGAGTGAGCTAATAATGGACCTCTATCTAATGTTAATGGTTTACAGTTTGGAATGAGCCGACTGTAATGTACTTGTATCAAATATTAATGGTTTCTTGGTTATACAGGTGAGTGAGCTAATAATGCTGAACTTGTATTAGTGCTAATGGTTTCTTGGTTTCTCTGTTGACAGTTGCGAGTGAGCTAATGATACTGAGTCTGGACCTGGTGAAGAACAGGGTTGGAGTCATGAGTCTGGAGATGAGAAAGAGCTTCATTGGACAAATCCTTGTTGGACTCATCGAGAAGACCACCGACGCCAAAGTGATGAAAGCCATTACAAAGATGGTGGAGGACTGGGTCAAAACTAAGGTATTGAAATCATAGGTCAAAGAGCAAAATTAAGAGGTCAAAGGACCAAAATATGGAAATAAGAGGTCAAAGGGCAAAACAAAGGTGTGAAAGTTAAGAGGTCAAAGTGCAAAACCAAGGTATGGAAATTAGAGGTCAAAGGGCAAAACCAAGGTATGGAAATTAGAGGTCAAAGGGCAAAATCAAGGTATGGAAATTAGAGGTCAAAGGGAAAAACCAAGGTGAGAAAATGAGAAGTCAGTGGTCGAAATCAAGACAGGGAACAATTGGTATCACAGGTACCTCTCTGTATACTGATGACAGGAGTCAACAATTGGTACCACAGGTACCTCTCTGTATACTGATGACAGGAGTCAACAATTTGTACCTTAGGTACCTCTCTGTATACTGATGACAGGAGTCAACAATTGGTACCACAGGTACCTCTCGGTATACTGATGACAGGAGTCAACAATTGGTACCACAGGTACCTCTCTGCACCTACTTCACCTACACACCTACTACCAGTAGTACTGATGGTACCCTGTTACACAGCGGCGGTCAGCTGTTACACAGCGGCGGTCAGCTGTTACACAGCGGCGGTCAGCTGTTACACAGCGGCGGTCAGTTGTTACACAGCAGTGGTCAGTTACACAGCAGTAGTCAGCACACTTTAGGATGTCTCTGTTTCATTGTGATGTACTCAAATCTACGAAATATCACAAAACTGACCTTTCAACACATGAACTATCAGAATAATTACAACATAGCAACAAGATATTGACGATTAAAACATGTGGTAAATGAACTAAAATGGAATGTTACTAACTGTATTCTGTATTCCTTTAGACTCCCATTGCTATCAACCAGTCACCAAGTATCAGAGAGAAAGCCATCCTACTGGTAAAACTCATGCAGCATGTGGAGAAACGCTTCCCTGATGAACAAGAACTCAATGCACAATTCCTTGAACTAGTCAACTATATCTACCGCGATGAAAGCCTCAGTGGAACGGAGCTAACATCCAAACTAGAGTCTGCCTTTCTGGGTGGACTACGCTGTAATCAGCCCACCATCAGACACAAGTTTGTCGAGGTAAACAAGTTTATAATTCATGGCCCAGTTGTTCAATGGCTGGCTAGCTTGACAATAATATAATGCAAAGTTTGGAAGCAGGGTCGCATTTGCGTATGCCAGTTGAAACGGTTCAGGTGGGGCAGAAAGATTCCACGATAAATGAACGCACTTGGACTGAACTTTATGCAGAGCTAAAATAAATGCAGTTTCTGAAAATAAATAACAATATATCAAAAATCATATGTCTTTCTTTCATGCATCCACTAAATTCTATAACATATCTTATAATATACATGTGGATTGACATTGTTTTATATAAAGAAGTAACGCAAACAAGCAACAGTCTGCATTTTAGTTTGGGTCTGAGCCACGTCTGGACCCCTTGTTTTACACATACCAAACCCGAGGTCAGCCTCGGTTCAGATCTGAGCCTGTTGTTTTCTTTTAGGTTCAACCGTTTCAACTGATTGAACCGGATATGCATAAGGGGCCCAGTAAATTTTCAATACAAAGAACTTTTTTTTTTTTAAATGTAAATATATTTCTCAAAAATTATATTTTGAAAATTTCCTTGCTAAGCTTCTTTGGCTTTCGGCTATAACGCCCAGAGTCATGAAAATTGTTTAAAATTAGTCAATAATTCAGAGGTGATTCAAAAGATATTTCAAAACATTTTCACAGTTTAGTCAACAACAGTTAGTTTTTTAACGTATTCCTGACAAATTTATGCAATTTTGTAACAATATTTTGTATTATGCAGGTGTTTGAGAACTCCATCCCACGACGGATGTTTGACCGTCTGCTCTATATCACCTGTACACAGAACTGGGAGGCCATGGGTACTCACTTCTGGATCAAACAATGTGTGGAGGTGAGAGAACCACTGAGTTATCCTGTTAGACTTAGGTTCCTGGGATAGGTATTGTATGTTAAATTATAACTGACAAAAATTACATATCTGTGAAATGCTATTATCACTTGACATTGCTCACTGATTCCGTTAATAGCACAAACCATGGTATCTAAAAATTGTTATTCGTTGAATTAAAAAGAATTTCACTAGAAACATTTCAAGATTTGTTTAATTGAATTTTGTTTGAAATTACGAAATATTTATCCATGATATATTTATGACTGTGTAAAGCATAAATGTAAATTTAATTCATAGTTTTCCTCAGTAACTGTTTCTCCTGTTGATTTTGATCGCCGAATGTTTGATATGTAGCAGACAATGTGAATGGTGATTTTCCGTTCTAGTTACTACTGTCGGTGGCTATGAATGGCCACAGTATCCAGAGCTCCTCGTCCTTAAACCTATTACCATCAGCAAGCTCCATTGTGAATTTGGCAGACAGCCTGGACCGTGCAGCCTTCCAGACAATCATGAAGATGAAGGAAGAACCAATGGATGTGGAATCAGTTGACTCGAACAAAGAGGAGGTAACTCTAAAAAAGATTTGTTTCTTTCATATTTAGGATGATTCCGTTTTTCAGAGATGCATGTATCTGAAGTATGAATCCACACTCTGTTTAAGTAGTATAAGAAACGTTTGGGTTTGACCTTTTTGATGTCTAGAATAGCTTTGATATGTCATTGAATAAGTGTTATGAGGGTCTCAGTTTCTAATCTTGCTCTGTACATGTTTCCTTAACAGTTTAAATATAACTAAGTACAGTTTATCCAGGACGACTTCAATTGTTCCCATACATTGAAGCTAGGTCGTGAGAAGGGTGAGGATGGTCTACTGGAAAAAAGTTGTCTATCTATCGATTGTATCTGGTCTGGATAACTCCTGCCAAAGTTTTTATCAGTATTTCATGAAACTCCATTTGAGTCGACTGATATAGTCGCCAGTCTCAGAAGTGGTGTGAATGTGCTTATCTTTGTAATCAGGATATTTGTATGGATTTTTTTTTACAAATTCTTATCTTTGTTAATGCCACTTTTCTGACCTTTTTTTGTGAGAGTGTGGTATAATGGCAAGTCAGTAGTTTTACAGCTCTACTTTCAAATCACTATAACATTGCAGTTTAATAATTCTCTCACATGTCATGAAGTCAATATTTATTAGACATAACTCTTGTCAGTATTAGGACCTAATTTTTCTCTAACAACAGGAGGAGATAGACATGGAGTTGAGCGGTGTGTCGTCAGACGAGAATATTCAAAAGGAACCGCCCAAAAAGGAGAACCAGGACCCTCGTCAAAACATCAATACATTACTACAACGCCAGGCTAAGTTTCTTGAGAGCTGTCGAGAGGTCAAGGTCAGTAGTCACTAGATAGAGCTGTGTCAATTTTATCTTTGAATTGGGTAGCCCTATATTTCAAATATTTTTCAGATACTTGAGAACCAGTCAGCAGACACATGTACATGATACTACTTTCTGGGTTAAATGCCTTTTAATTTACAAGATTGTTGATATAGCTTTCCAACTTTATGTGAATCACATGTAAATTTCATTTATGTTTTCATTGTACACTCAAAATGCATGTAAGACCTAGGATAAACAGTTTATCTATTGATTACAACCCTTGAATTACTGAAAGTTTTATGCATATTGCTGACATTACTAAACTGACTTCTGACCAGAGAGTCTCCACTATGACCTTCACCTTGTTAACTGTTTTACCTGTAGACGGTGTCATACCTGAACGCTCTGTCCCAGCTCTGCCACACCTCCACAGACCTAGGCCATGCCTCCTGGGTTGATGCTTTCCCACGAATCTGGAAAATACTCTCCGACAAACAACAGCAGGTAATTCACTTTTTGACAGTTATACTTTATAATCAGGAGAATATCTATCCTGAACGAATTGGGCACATATCAAGATACCTAATGTTAATTGTTAACTGTTATTTAGAACTAAAAAGTACAAACTTGGTGCCTGTTTCAGATGTTGGGCGGGGAGCTGATACCGTTCATGTGTAGTGGGAGTCATGTCATACAGAAGGATTGTCATCCCTCCTCTATACACACATTCCTGGAGGGTCTGTCTCACTGTGTACCCCCGGTACATATACGTCCATGTGTCCTTAAGGTAAGTGTAGGTATTCCTAACCCCCTTCCCCTCCCTCTAATCTTAATACATGTTCTGGAGGTCTGTCTCACTGTGTACTCCAGGTACACATATGTCCATGTGTCCTCAAGGTAAGTGTAGGTATTCCTAACCCCCTTCCACTCCCACTATTCTTAATACATGTTCTGGAGGTCTGTATCACTGTGTACCCCAGGTACATATACGTCCATGTGTCCTCAAGGTAAGTGTAGGTATTCCTAACACCCTTCCCCTCCCTCTTATCTTAATACATGTTCTGGAGGTCTGTCTCACTGTGTACCCCAGGTACATATACATCCATGTGTCCTCAAAGTGAGTGTAGACATCCCTAACACCCTTCCCCTCCCTCTAATCTTAATACATGTTCTGGAGATCTATCTCACTGTGTACCCCAGGTACATATACATCCATGTGTCCTCAAGGTAAGTGTAGGTATTCCTAACCCCCTTCCCCTCCCTCTCATCTTAATACATATTCTGGAGGTCTGTCTCACTGTGTACCCCCGGTACATATACTTCCTTGTGTCCTCAAGGTAAGTGTAGATATTCCTAACCCCCTTCCGCTCCCTCTAATCTTAATACATGTTCTGGAGGTCTGTCTCACTGTGTATCTCAGGTACATATACGTCCATGTGTCCTTAAGGTAAGTGTAGTTATTCCTAACCCCCTTCCCCTCCCTCTAATCTTAATACATGTTCTGGAGGTCTGTCTCACTGTGTACTCCAGGTACATATACGTCCATATGTCCTCAAGGTGAGTGTAGACATCCCCAACCCCCTTCCCCTCCCTCTAATCTTAATACATGTTCTGGAGGTCTGTCTCACTGTGTACCCCCGGTACATATACGTCCATGTGTCCTCAAGGTAAGTGTAGACATTCCTAACCCCCTTCCCCTCCCTCTAATCTTAATACATGTTCTGGAGATCTGTCTCACTGTGTATCTCAGGTACATATACGTCCATGTGTCCTCAAGGTAAGTGTAGATATTCCTAACCCCTTCCCCTCCCTCTAATCTTAATACATGGTCTGGAGGTCTGTCTCACTGTGTACCCTCGGTACATTTATGTCCATATGTTCTCAAAGTATGTATATTTGTCTCTAAACGAGCTCTGTTTCATTTCATCCTGAAGAAGATCTGTGGTTTTTACATGAAACCACAGGTTTGATTTAGCTCCCTAGATGTTATGCCCTTATGGATTTGCCTTTAACAAAGGAACAAGGTCATCCTGTTCATTAGTCTGTATTTATAAGATTAACATACAAAACCCTGCAAAGTTGGTCAAATGTGCAGAATTGTTTGAGAAAACATTTGACTCTATGAACTCATTGTTGCAGTACCTTGGCCGAACACACAATCTATGGCACAGAGCCTGTCTCCAACTGGAACAGATTGCATTTGAGAATGGTCCAGCAGTCCAAGTGAAAAATAGGCTGGCCAGCGAGTACGAGTTTGAACCGGTCACTTCCCCACAACAGGTAAATTGCTCCTCCAAGTAGAAATCTTGTAGGTCATGTACAGATATATCTTATACGGAAAACAGCTCTCCTGCAACAAAGTTTCAAATATAATTTATAAAAAATACCAGACCCCTATAAAAAGTCTGCATAATTGTTTTCAAAATATATTTTTATTTTGTAAACTCCATTTTACCTGTGGCCTCATTTGTTTGATACAGGAGACTCTGGATGCCCTCTGTGAACTGTACTCCCTGCTCAAGGAGGAGGACATGTGTGCCGGCCTGTGGCAGAAGCGGGCTAAGTTTGCTGAGACCAATATCGCTCTATCCTATGAACAGCATGGCTTCTTTGAACAAGCTCAGGCATCTTACGAACAGGTAAGTATTGCTTATATGTTCTGTTATATAAATGAAAACTAACTGTTAGTTTCTTAATGAGATTAGTTTGAAGAAGATTCCATAGAAGCTAAGCTAACAAGTGAGGACACATTGCATGACTGTGGACTATTCTTACTTGTATGTAAATTTGTTTTTGTAGGCGATGAGTAAAGCACGTTCTGATCACAACTCGGGCCCTGCCTCCCCATCAGTCCTGCCCGAGTATCGCTTGTGGGAGGAGCGCTGGATACGGTGAGTCCATTATTTCCCCTCCTTCTCAGTAACCACATAAAGAAATACAGGTTTATGTATTAGCCATCTGTATACAGTGTAGTCCACAGCCAAAGAACTAGGGGCGTTTAGGGTTATTTCCGGCCTCATTTGGGATTTAGATTTAGTTATCAAATTTGTAATCTGGAATAAAGGAAGTACGCAAATATGACATTTTAAATTCATTCGACAACTGGTTTTGGAGATATGGCATTGCAAAGAGAGACATAAACCTGGAATTTCTAATGAAATGCGTGAATATCGTTTGCTGTGCGCTATTTGGTTAAAGATGTGCTATCGTCACGTCCCATCCCATCCATGAGCGGGGGCATTTATGTCTTAAAGACATTTTCTAGTTTTTAAAGCCTCCACATACAACAAACAAATAAATATTTGACATGCTTAAACATTGTCATCCCAGTGTTCATTCGTAGACGTAGAAAGGAATTTTTGTTTGTCACATGCAGAGGCTTTCATTTCTGCATTAAACAGTCCGACAACACCATATTTTGGCTATTTCGGCATAGCAATGCAATTTATTTGCTATGGTAGGGCATCTTCACATGCGCATTGGAAAAAATCTGCACCAAAAAAATAGCCCCAATTAACAAATATGATGTTTATAACAGAAATTGGTAAATAAATTTAAGTTGATTTTTTTTACTTTTTTTGAGGCCGGAAATGACCCATAACGCCCCAAGTACTTTACCAGCCATGTTTGTTCCTGGTAAAACTGGGAAGGGTGTGAGATGGCTGAGCTACTGGGACCATATTGCTTATAGGAGTCTAATATGTCCTATAAAAACTGTCTGAATAGTAAATCAGCCAGATTAGTGGTGGCTGGATAAGCAGGGTTAGAGTATTTATTTATGTGTTACCTTATCCCACTGTATGTTAATTCATGTCTGTACATCCATCACACAGGAGATAATGTTGTATGCCTCAACATCAGATGTTTTATACAGAATTCAGTAGTATGCTAAATCAAGTCACGAGATCACACATTGAGTTTCACATGTTTTTAGATGATTTTTACATGTAATGCTTTTCAGTGATTGATTTTTAATAACAGTTTATAAATGGAATTTTCATATCGTTATTGATGGGGTGGAAGGTCTGCCATCATTGACAAAAAGGATTGGTGATATTTCTCCTCATGCATTTTCCCTCTTGAATATGCTTCACTAATTTTGTTACCCAGTAAAAAAGAATGCCTGTTGATATTTCTCCCCTGCATTTTTGACAGGTGCTCTAAGGAGCTGAACCAGTGGGACCTACTGAAGGAGTATGCAGGGGCCAAGGGTAACACCAATCCCCACCTGGTTCTGGAGAGTGCCTGGCGAGTCCCTAACTGGGCACTCATGAAGGATGCCCTTGCACAGGTAAGCATGAGTAGATACCTAGGGCCACGTTCATTTATCAAATTGAATGGGTTGGACCAGAGTTGTTTGTTTATGAAATAAGGTTGGGCCTAGTAATCTGATGCTGCTTTCAGGCGAGCCTTGACAAAGCCTTGTAAGGCCTGCATAAAAAATGTGCAGGTCGCCAGGATTAATACACGAAAATGTTACATTTAGAACAGACAAACCAGTTGAACCGGATATGCAAAAGGGGCCTAGTTCATCTAGATTGTGAGACTCATTAAAAAAAATGAAAAAATAAGTTCCTTGGATTGATTCAATATGGTATACATGTTACAGTCAAGAGAAGTAGTCCAGTAGTGCTCTATAAAATTCTCTCATCGTACATTCCAGGTTGAGCTGTCGTGTCCTAAAGAAATGGCCTGGAAGGTGAACCTTTACCGTGGTTACATCGCCATATGTCAGCCTGATGACCATCACCTCAACACTGTCACCATGGTAACGTAGTCTTACTTACAGATTTATAGAGAGGAAGATGTGCATAAAGTAGATCATTTGGGTGTGTTCCTTTACAGCACTGTAACAGAATTAAGGGGGCATTCTGGAATTAGGCATTAAACAGGAATCAAGTTATTTTCAACCCCTTTCAAAGACTTATAGCCCCTCATGAAATGATTTATGCTGTCGTAATGTTGTCTAGACAACTCCTTAAATACTGTTAAAGTTTTAATAGAACTTAATATAGGTTTTGCCCATCACATAGACATGTCCATGTGTAAACACTATGATGTTTCCTTTGACATTCAAGAGTTATGGCCCTTGGTTTGCCAAACGAAAGCTTTATCAAGTCTTCTAATCTTCCAATGTAAGGTGCATTTCATCAAAACTTCGCAAACATTTTCACTATCATATGAACTGGTGCATGTATAAATGTATTCACTAGTTGTTTCAACTCTTAAAATGGATAACAGTCCTAATGTCATACTGAAATGACATTTGAATTTGTTCTAATTGTGAGTTTTGACTGGCTCAACTATATAGATGTTTTGTCCACAGATTGAGAGACTGGTAGAGGTGTCTAGTAACCTGGCTATCAAGGAATGGCGACGTCTACCCAGCATCGTATCCCACATCCACGTCCCCCTGTTACAGGTAACATGAACAGCCATACCCATCCCAGGCTATACAATCCACCTGTCTAAGAACTCTTCAGAACAACATTATTTCCTTCATTTTTGACAAATTTCTCTGGAATTAGTATGTTTTAGGTTTAAGTGAACTTTCACATGAATATAGAATCCTACTAGACTGACACTCAGAACTTAGGAATTTTACAACAGGGGCCTTATTCATGAAACCGTTCTCATGCTCAAGCATGGATTCTGTGCTCAAACCAATTTTCTTGCAACTTGTTTAAATCAATAAAAATGATCAAACTGTCAACTGAAAACATTGAAAACAGTATTCGGCTTTAAACCTCTTCACATTTTTCCTAAAAACGTAAGATGTTTTAATAAATTTATAACGAGAACAAAACATCAGGCTTGAGCAGGAAATACATGCTTGAGCATGAGAACACCATGAATAAGTGCCCTGGGCTTATGAAAATTTTCAATATTTACTTTTGAAATATGTTTTGGACTGCAAGAATTTTTCAAAATGTGTCTGCAGGCTAGTACTTGAAATACAGAATTTTACGCCGCTGCTCAATGATTGACTGACTTATTGTAATGTGTTTTACAGGCTGCTCAGCAGATCATGGAGCTACAGGAGGCCGCCCAGATAAACCAAGGACTCCAACCCGCAAACATCACTCGCAGCTCCAGTCTCCACGACATGAAAGCCATCGTCAAAACATGGAGGTAGGGTGCAAGGTTATATAATGTTGCAGTCATGGTCAAATAATGTATGGTGATATTATAATAAAAGGATGTATACTGTTAGAAAAATGCTTAGCAAAAGACGTATTGCACCTAGACAAATCACAATGTTTTAGATGATATAGATCAGTGTGATTTTAAATTTAGAATTTTCCTTTCTTAAAGAGAAAAGATATCTTGAATACTACAATTTAGCAAACTCTGTATTTCTATTTTTAGAAATCGTCTGCCAATGATATCCGATGATCTGTCTCACTGGAGTGACATCTTTACCTGGAGACAGCATCACTACCAGTTTATAGTTGATCACTATGACAACCACTCACAGCAGGATCCAGTAAGTGTTTGATTGGGGTTGCAGTAATGACACATAGACAAGAGTATGACTTAGAGATTGTCATTGACAGAAAACACTATATTATCAGGAATGTTCATACTTTGGTATCTTTTAACAGAAAATGAGTATAATTGATCACTAACATTAAGTGTTTCATTACATAACAGTGTAAAATGAAAGTAAGAAACAGGTCCTACATGTATATGGAAAGTTTGTGATTGATATAGGAAATGTATGTACAGCTCTTTGTTTCCACGGTAACATTTCTGTTTGAATTGAACCCGTGTAATGTGGACACCTGCATAAACCAGAGCTTTCACCAGGTCCTGTGGTCACATTTCTTTGTAAGGAGAACCTGTGTAATTAAGCCATCTGCTTACTGGTACTAGTAGACAGTTGGTTTCGCTGTTCAAATTTTACACCTTTCACATATTTTTTATTTTCATGATTTTAGCAAAACAGTAACCACTCAATGTTGGGCGTGCACGCCTCCGCTCAGGCTATCATACACTTCGGAAAGATTGCCCGCAAACACAACCTGACAGGCGTGTGTCTGGACTCACTGAGCAGGTCAGTATTGCCTCCTATCTACAATAAATCCTGTGTTAAATGGTCACCTACAGGAGAGCATGCTGTTGACTACTTAAGACCGGTGGCTGCTTAATGAAGGTTCAAGTAATGATCAAAATAGTTCTCATGTGCAACGTACATACAACTTCAAATTAATTTCCATTTCATGTGAGATTCATGAAATAAGCCTTGATGTTTTCATCTACAAAGACGATATTAAGAGGGCTATTCCACAATTACAATTCAATAGTAATCTTTCATGAGGAACTCTCTGAAGTGGAATGGTAGAGGGGGAGACGCAGACAAATTGTTACATCAAAAAATATGTAGAAAGATATTGGCCTTTACTAAGGTTGATATTTGTGTATTTGTCAGTAAAAACACATTTTGACTATCACTGTAAAGTCTTGAAGCAGTAAACACAAAATTCAAATACTTCAGCCTACCCAAGAGATAAATAAGAGGGCCCCACTAGCTCTTTGTGGTAGCTAAAATGAAGTACTGTATCAAAATTTTGAAACAATCTGTCTATGAATGTCAGATGCTGAACTTTAAGATTTTGTTGTTAAGTATATCAATTCCATTTAAAGTTCAGACTTCTTAGCTGTTTTGCTAGGATATAAGATGTTTTTAAAAGCCAAAAAACAAAAATGTAAAACACTTCCATGTCTTTTTGTGCCTGTGAACTAAGTAAAGGTTAATTGTTGTCTCCACAGAATTCACACGATACCCAGCGTGCCCATTGTAGATTGTTTCCAGAAAATCCGCCAGCAAGTCAAGTGTTACTTACAGATGTCTGGATCGATGGGCAAGACAGAACTCAATGAGGTACGTACTGGTCAGTGTACCAGCTGACCAGTATACTATCTGGTTATTCTGAGATATTGGTCTGCTGGTCAGTATGTCTATTGGTCATTGTGTCTACTGAGATATTGGTCTGCTGGTCTGTATGTCTATTGGTCATTGTGTCTACTGAGATATTGGTCTGCTGGTCTGTATGCCTATTAGTCATTGTGTCTGCTGAGATATTGGTCTGCTGGTCAGTATGCCTATTAGTCATTGTGTCTGCTGAGATATTGGTCTGCTGGTCTGTATGTCTATTGGTCATTGTGTCTACTGAGATATTGGTCTGCTGGTCAGTATGCCTATTAGTCATTATGTCTACTGAGATATTGGTCTGCTGGTCTGTATGTCTATTGGTCATTATGTCTGCTGAGATATTGGTCTGCTGGTCAGTATGCCTATTAGTCATTGTGTCTGCTGAGATATTGGTCTGCTGGTCAGTATGTCTATTGGTCATTGTGTCTGCTGAGATATTGGTCTGCTAGTCAGTATGTCTATTGGTCATTGTGTCTGCTGAGATATTGGTCTGCTAGTCAGTATGTCTATTGGTCATTGTGTCTACTGAGATATTGGTCTGCTGGTCTGTATGTCTATTAGTCATTGTGTCTACTGAGATATTGGTCTGCTGGTCAGTATGTCTATTGGTCATTGTGTCTGCTGTCAAGGACAAATATGTTTAAAGCATGATCAGTATATATACATAATTATTGAAATGGATTAAAATAAAGTTTGAAATTGTGCAGAAAAATAAGTTGGCTTATTGACCATTTACATTTACCATTTAGAAGGTCACCAAAAATATTCTGGTAAGTGGATATCAAATTCTAGAAATAACATGGACATCTGTGTCATACATTTTAGCTTGATATGCTGCACGTCTAGGAGCTATAGTTGTTGGAAGTTGAACAATAACATTACAAAGATGTTTTCTACACATTATCTGTCTTGATAATTAACATTATGTAACATTTTAATTAAACTTGTGTGCAGGGTTTGGAGGTGATAGAGTCAACGAATCTCAAGTACTTCACCAAGGAGTTCACAGCCGAGTTTTACGCTCTGAAAGGCATGTTTCTAGCCCAGGTGGGGCGCTCAGATGATGCCAACAAGGCCTTCTCAGCAGCTGTCCAGATGCATGACACACTGGTGAAGGCCTGGGCACTCTGGGGAGACTACCTGGAGACAGTGTTCACGCGGGAAAAGTAAGTTCCCCTGCTGAGGTTTTCAGTGTGAAGGCCATGAGGTGACCAAAAATGGCTTAAATTTTGCTTGATATGCGCAGTGCAGCATGTTTGATTTGGGAATTCAACAAGATTATATGTAAAATTATATAAGAATTGTTTTATTGAGTGCCTTAAGGCTTTATAGGAAAAAACAGTTCCTTGCTATAGTTATTAATTTTGTTCAAAGTCATCCCTCTGTAATTTTGAGAATCTACTTACGGATATCTGTGAACCTGTCTATCATATAACCTTTGTCATGTATCTGCAGACGAATGAACCTCGGTGTCTCCGCCATCACATGCTTCCTGCACGCCTGTCGTCATCAAAATGAGAGCAAGTCACGGAAATACCTCGCCAAGGTGCTGTGGCTTCTGACATACGATGATGAAAAAACGACACTGGCAGAGGCTGTTGACAAATACTGTGTTGGGGTACCGCCCATACAGTGGCTACCATGGTGAGTGTGAAATTGACTGGCAACAATTTAAAAACGAACATGTTTCATAAGTTTAACTCCATTGAACTAGATTTAGCAATATGATCAATCTACTGAAATGAATTGATGAAGAATTTGTATCATTCAAGTGATCTTTTCAAGAAAATAAATGCTGCTAATGGTTTCAGTTACAAAAATAATAACATTTCAAGATGCAGAGTCCTTGTGTAGCATTAATACACAGACTAAAACTTTATGTTATATGTTGAGTGAATTATTTTGCAGGATTCCTCAGCTGTTGACGTGTTTGGTGAGAAATGAGGGCCGACTTATCATTAATCTTCTACATCAAGTTGGACGCATGTACCCGCAGGCTGTGTACTTCCCTATCCGCACTCTATACCTCACACTCAAAATAGAACAGAGGGAGCGCTGTAAGTATACTGTACTTCACATTCAAGATAGATACTGTGTTTCACAATTAATTTGTTTAAGAGTTAGATAAACATAATTATATTACATACGTTTCCTTCATAGTCAAGAGTGGAGAATTCAGCCTATCTCAAGGACGAACGACGTCTGGTCAAACCTCAACATCTGTGGCAGCTTCATCAACGACATCCGCGACCACCACCACAGCGTCTAACCCGCCCACACCCTCGGCACCCGCTACGCCAGGCACTCCAGGTGTGTTTCTCCTAACTAATGTTACAGCTTTATGTTTGAACTGCTAGTACCGTAAAAACTCGTGTAATTTGGGCACTTTTTTTTGAGAAATTTAATGCCCAAAGTGGGAGGTGTGCAGAATACATAAGTGTAATACTTGTTTTGAGTTCGTTTTTGACTGCTGGCTGTTCTTATAATGGGAATGCCTCTATTATTACAGAGCATAAGACAAGGGATAGTAGAGTGACAAGCCTACTTCCTTTTCCTTCCTCTTTCCATCTGGTGTTGCCCGGTAATAGCTCCCCCCCATCTTAAGGAAATAATGCCTTTCATTGTTGGGCACCATTATGGCCCATTTGAGTTTTGACAATTTGTACTTCAGTAATAAATCTATCTTCTAGTTATAGCAATAATGTGTTCACTTATTATGAATATTGATAATTAACCCCAATCCTTGAGGATGAGAAGGAATGAAAAGAATGGTAAAGCAGGAGTGTTTTGTATTGTTTTACAGACAGCAGTGGTACAGACAACAGTGTACAACCAACACAACAGACCTCCCAGTCCTCGTCTAGACAAAACTCCAACGCCCAGGGAGATGCAGGGCCAATCAGGGCACCTGCACCTATGTGGCGCTGTAGCAAGATCATGCACATCCAGCGTGACTGTCATCCTACCATTCTCAGCTCTCTGGAGGGGATCGTAGACCAGGTCAGTCTATATCTATACTCCCAACTTATACATTCTGAAAGATTATGAAAGAAAAGAGTTTTCAGGTTCAAGTTACTAAAATAATTGATTATTTGAATTGTTCAGTTTTAATTACAGTCTGTATTTATAGCGTTCTCTATTGTTTATGGTTATTCAGTAAAATAACATGTTTTTTGTCTCGCTGCCACGAGGTGGGAAGCGAGACTAAGGTGTTGCTTTTACGGCGACGGCGTCAACATTACGTTTTTGCGTTTAAGTTAGTTTCACTGAAAGTGCAAATGCTAGACCAACCAAACTTGGACCATAGATGCATCTTTGGTAGTAGATCTCAACCCATGCATCAAATGCGGGATGCAGCCTACCTTTCATGGTCCATCGACTTTGTCAGCATTTCAATCAACATTAAGTTTTGCGTTTACCGGGAAAGTTAGTTTCTCCGATATGTGCATTGATGGTCAAAGCGGGGCATAGGCGAGACATATCAATCTGAATGGCTTGTTTGTAGATGGTTTGGTTCCGTGAGAACTGGTATGAAGAAGTCCTTCGACAGCTCCGACAGGGACTGGCCAAGTGTTATGCTGTCGCATTCGAGAACAGAGGAGCAGGTATGGCAACTTTTTTTTATTTCCATTCAGTTAAAATTCATCTCTTACATGGACTATATTTTAGTGTTTATTTAACTGTTTACCTCTACTTGACCTTTGTATGACCTCTGTTATAGTGGCTGATGCAACCATCACACCCCACACCCTGAACTTCATGAAGAAGCTGGTCAGTACGTTTGGTGTGGGGATAGAGAATGTGTCCAGTGTGACCACAACCTTCTCCTCAGCAGCCTCCGAATCTCTGGCACGTCGTGCTCAGGCCACTGCACAGGACCCAGTATTCCAGAAGATGAAGAGCCAGTTTACCACAGACTTTGACTTCAGGTAAAACCTACAATTTTCAGCCAGGTTTTTTTAATAAATGAATGAAGTGGAGAAATATACAAGTTTTGAAAGAGCTGTACTAAATTTTCAGAAGTACTAAAATGATGTTTATTGTGATTTTAGTGTTCCTGGGTCAACCAAGTTACACAACCTTATCAGCAAACTCAAGAAGTGGATCAAAATCCTTGAGGCGAAGACCAAGCTATTGCCGAAGTAGGTTGTTAACACTAAAGGGAAATAACTCATGATATATAAGTGTAACTGATATACAATGTAGTAAAAGCAATTTCTGAAATAATTATTTTTTAAACCTGCAAGATATATTTAAACAAAAAATGTAACAGTTAGTTGTCAGTTATTCTCCTGTTTTGATAAGCTTTTCTATATTTGTTTCTGTAATATGATTTCTGAGCTACCTCCCCTGATGCGGCTGCTTTTTGTTTGTAGGTCTTTCCTGATTGAGGAGAAGTGTCGCTTCCTCAGTAACTTTTCCCAACACACTGCTGAAGTAGAACTGCCAGGAGAATTCCTGCTTCCAAAAGTAAGCTGTTTACTTCCCCTGTGTAAGGTTGCTTTCGCATGTCCCAGGTTGAAACGGTCCAGGTGGCACAGAAACATTTCATGATTAATGAACACTTTGTGACTGGAAATTGGTCAAGCAAACCTTCAAATGCAGTTTTATAGTTTTGTGACAGATTAATAACAATAATTCAAGAATTCTGTGTTTTTTTCTTACTAAATTTTACAACTAAATATATGTGTGAATCGATTTGTGTCTGACCAGCAAAACTTAAATGATCCTGATCTGAATATTTCTTTGTGAAAATATCAAATCCCAGTCGTGATTACTAGTAAGTCACAATGGGTGTGTATTGACTCCACTATAATTATTAGATACTGAGCCAGATATCAAGAGTAGCTAGCTAGGCTACAACTCATATAAATGAACATCTAAGTACAGTTTACTGTACATATACACAGTCAGTTTGCTGAGATTGACATAATGGCTGTCACAATGGCTTAGTGTAGTTGGTTGGTGTATTACATGATTCATCCCTGTTCATTTTCACAGCATAGCCACTACTATGTAAGAATAGCACGCTTTATGCCAAGGGTGGAGATTGTCCAGAAACACAACACGGCTGCACGTCGACTCTACATCCGAGGTCACAATGGCAAGGTAGGTTAATCAAGAAGGTCAGAGGTCACACACTTATGCAGCAATTGATAATTGATGACACAGAAATATTCATCTTAACAATTTTGCCCTACTGGTCAGTCAGTGACATTGACTATTCGCAGTTGAGGAACTATCAGGTAACCTTTACTACCGTAGTTTTCACAGAATTCATCTCACTTCAATCACAAAACAAAGTTTCAAGTTTTCAAGTTTTCAAGTTTTATTTTTACACTCACGCCACACGTATATGTGCGTAACAAGAGGTCACATATTACATGGTATACATTGATGGACATAGTACAGACATAATATGACACATGATACAATTTATACGATAACAACCCATTTCAATAATTCTTTTAGCTAATTTATTTTAGATATTAAGTAGCTTCATTACTCTTTGTATAAATTTACTTATAAAGAGTTGTTGCCTTAGTTTGTCCCTTTTGTTTTTACAGGTGTACCCTTACCTGGTGGTCAATGATGCATGTCTGACAGAGTCGCGGCGTGAAGAGCGTGTCCTGCAGCTGTTACGCATGCTTAATCACTTCCTCACAAAGCAGAAGGTGAGGAGTCATCTCATGCATGATAATTGTTATTTGTGAATAGGCCTTGTTACTGCAAACTAGGAAAGTTTGTCTAAGTTCAATATTTGCCTGCATTGTAAAAATCACTCTTCACTGTAAGTTTTTAATGATAAGTTTGCCCAGTTTATGGAGAGCAATAAGTTAACTGCGGCCAACAGTTCCTAGTATACTGTACACTAAATGTTAACAAGCATTTTTCCACCAGTTCAATAAACACTAGAAGTTTTACAAGTTTTATTCAAACAATGGATTGTTGTCTGATACAGGAGACTTGTCGACGCCTGCTGTATTTCACCATCCCTCGTGTGGTTGCTATCTCCCCACAAATGCGCCTTGTGGAAGATAACCCTGCGTCTATATCCCTCTTGGATGTCTACAAACAGGTACAATTTCATTGCCCCAGACACAGCATATCATTGTAAAAAGTGTGAGGCCCCAGACTCAGCATATCATTGTAAAAAGTGTGAGGCCCCAGACACAGCATATCATTGTAAAAAGTGTGAGGTCCTGGCATAGCATATCATTGTAAAAGTGTGAGGCCCCACTCCCCAGACACAGCATATCACTGTAAAAAGTGTGAGGTCCTGGCATAGTATATCATTTAAGATAAGAAAAAGTTCTGATATGATATAATATCCTAGATATTACAAACAAGTTGCTTTGGAGAATATTTTCCCACATTCTACTTTTTACTGTACAGAGATGTGCTAAGCGAGGTATTGAGCATGATGCCCCGATTGCTCGGTACTATGAGCGACTGGCAACAGTTCAGGCACGAGGCGCACAAGCGAGTCACCAAGTATTACGTGATGTACTGAAGGAGGTCCAGACAAACATGGTACCACGTGGACTTCTCAAGGAGTGGGCTCTCCATACCTTCCTCACCGCCACAGATTACTGGACCTTCAGGAAAACGGTCAGTAAAGAAATCCAGTGAAGAATTCAATCCAGTGAAGAAATCCAACCAAGATTCATTCTAATACTAGACGATTCTTCATACATCCATAATGTACCTTTTTTAGATATAAATTACTTTACTGTAGAAAAATCAATAGATATTGGCAAACATTGATGCAACTAGAAAGAATGGAAACAAAGTGGGCTTTTGTATTCTAGTTTATAATGGGGTTTTGTATTCTAGTTTATAACGGGGTTTTCTTCTTTATTTGAATTAATTTGGTGAACGCTCTAGCTTGACACCTTCACAATGGCTGTTCTCCATAGCAATCATGGTTAAGAATATGTTAATATCCTGTGGAGTAAACTTGGCCTTTTGTTACAGATGACGATACAACTAGCACTGATGGGGTTTGCGGAGTATGTACTCCACCTGACAAGGATGAACCCTGACATGATGTACCTCCACCAGGACTGTGGCTACCTAAATATCTCTTACTTCAAGTTTGACATTGATGACCAATCAGGTAAGACAAAATTTCTTCATTAGTAGTGTGTGATAACCACCATACAGTGTATATAAACCACTATTCAGTAAATATAAACCACTATACAGTAAATATTAACTGCTATACAGTAAATATAACCACTATACAGTTAATACAACCTGTATACAGTAAATATAAACCACTATACAATAAACAATACAGGTAATACAACCTGTATACAGTAAATATAAACTACTATACAGTTAATATGACAACTTTACTATGAATTTAAATGCTCTACAGAATGCTTGAGTACCACATTATGTTTGATACCACCAGGTGACTTGGATGCAAACCGCCCTGTTCCATTCCGCCTCAGTCCTAACATTGCAGACTTCCTGACTACAACAAGTGTGACAGGGCCTCTGACAGCCTCCATGGTGGCAGCTGCCCGCTGTCTCGTCCAACCCCAGTATAAGCTGCCCAGCTTCCTACGCACTATCCTACGTGATGAGTACATCACTTGGCACAAAAAGGTACAACCTAGTAATAACATCTACATTCACATAAGATAACAAATGTATTGGGTTACATTTGCATATCCCGGTTGAAATGCGTCAGGTGTCGCAGAAATATTCCACAATAAATGAACGCACTTGACCGAATTATGAGCAGAGCTAATAAATGCACAGTTTCGGAAAATAAATAACAATATATCAAGAATATTATGTCCTTCTTTCACGCATCCAATAAATTATATAACGTATATTAAAATACACATGTGGCTTGACCTTGTTTTATAAAGAAATAATGCAAAGTAGCAATAGTCAGCATTTTAGTTTCGATCAGGCACGTCTGGACCCCTCAATCTACATGTGCTGAATATTCCTGAGGTCAGCCTCGGTTCAGATCCACTCCTCTCGTTTTCTTTCAGGTTCAACCGTTTCATCTGGTTGAACAGGATACACCAAAGGGGCCTTGTTCTCTACACATTTTGCAAAATGTCTTACTATTTTACGATTCCTGCCCCTTGACAGATATTGTATTTGCCATAATTAGCTTCCCCATACCTATAAGCACCCTTTATGTCTTTTATCTGAATAAACACCTACCTCTGTAGTCATTTTTTCATGCCCGTTTGCAGTAAAGAAGATAGTTAACAAAATTTGAATCATAATGACTTCCCTGATTGGGTGAAAATTTTATTTAAAAAATCAATTAATCGATGAACTAGAAGTGATCTTATTATGATGTAAATATCAATATTTCAGCAGTTTAAGTCAGACTGAAGGTTGTTTTAGCCTGTAGGAATTCTATATTTGATCTTATCTGAATGCATTTTTGACTTGTAGAAACAAGAGGAGACAACTCCTGGGAGTGACCCGTCGGATATGGATGGAGAGCAGCTGATTGTCATGGTCAGCAAAGCTGTGCAGGCAATCACTACTCGCCTACAAAGTAAGTATCCACGTTATACAGACTTCACACAACTATTACTGACAAATGAAAATTAATACTAAGGTTACATAGATATACATACACCATAAAATACATACCAAATGTATAAAGGGAGTACTAGTGTTACATTGGGCTATGCACGAGAACTACTCAACTTCCATTAAATGACCATCTGTTTTATGCGACCACTTTTCATTCCTCCCGACCGTTTTTACTTTGTAATTTTCTGTACATATATTAAGTGACCATCTGTCCATCACAACCAGCAACCACCCATTACTGACTCCAAAGATTATGTTAAAAGACCACATTTGATAATATTCAGAGACCATTTTTAAACAGAATATGAAATGCTGTGTGACTTAATTAAGCAAACATTACCATGTATGACGAAGGCCCTCCTAGTGATTGCTTCACCTAATCTAGTGAACAAAGACGAAATAATTTTGTCATCATGTCGTAAAGCTATTGATGTGCCGACACCTAAACGTCTGTTTATAGTGTTGTGAACTAGGTTTGTTGGTCGAGTAATTCTTTAAAATTATGGTGGAACTTGATTAAATAACTGCTTTTATTTAACGCCCAGTTTTTAAATTTGCCTTGGGAGGTCGCTTAAAACAGATTCGACTCACAACTCACATAATAATTATAAAGAGGTATCTCTCGTTACACAGAGAAGGGTTGTAGATAACACATACAGATCATTGTCAGTAACAATCCCTTGAAATTTTAATTCAAACATAGTTTAAATTTCAACACATAGTACCTGAATGCAAACTTTATTTTTCAGATCTGGCAAAGTTTGATGGGGCAGAAAGCAGCGTGAGTACTCTAGTTGCCGCTGCCAATAGCCATGACAACTTGTGCCGCATGGACCCAGCGTGGCATCCATGGCTCTAAAGTGCCATCACCATGGACACACCTCTTATACGATGTTCCATATCTTGTTTGGTCACCGTCCAACTATGACCCAGAAACGGCATTATAACTTTATTGTACCATCCCACCCAGATACGTGACCACCATGGGCGACCCATATTCCCAAGCATTGATGAAATCTACAAACCATTTTGTTCAGGAATAATGGCTGTGTTTTCAATTACTTAAAACACTTACCTACGAGTTCTGCCTCTCAAAGGAAGTATTCCTGAGAGCCTTCTTGCTGTGATACAGTATTTCAGATGATTTATGTATCTCAAAGGGCATGTCACAGTATTAGTGCTATACTCAATGGCCCCAGACAATTCTACAGAGGTAAACTATGGTGAATTGTAGACAAGGGGAGGAGAGAGGTGTTTTGTGTCTATGACTTTGTAGAATTATCAATGAAATAGTCGCTGAGAGTTTGTTTCTACACATTTGTTAAAAAGAACTTACCTGGTAGATATTCTTAATTTTCTTCAGCATTTAGATAACAAGTTAGATATATCTATAAACCCGTTTAGGTCTGCATTGTAAGAGACAGCAATGACAAAAATTATGTGTATTGTGTTAGGATTTTTTCTGAAAATTGTAGTGGGGAGGGGGAGGGGGACAGATTTGAAATATGGTTTCAATTGTTTATCATGAACATCACTAGATTACATATGGACTGCAATGAACATGACATCTGAAGATTATATCAATACTTTAATACTAAGTGTTGTCATTAGTCTAGATCTTCACCTTCACATCTTTCGATATATATAAGGCCATGTGTTCAAGATTTTATTTACTTTATAAGTATCAGAAAGTTTGTAATCATATTTGATGTTGGTCAAAGACAAAATTACAGTGAAGGGCAAGCATTTTCTGTATTAAAGTATTATAAAAGCTTGGGATGAGAAAATAAGAGGGCAGTTCTGTGTCGAATTTATTTAGAAAAAAGTAAAGGAATAACATTTCTTTGAAACAACACATTGCTGAGAGTAGAGGCCGATTAATTGAGGACAATGAGATCAAAGATTTTTATTTTTAAGATGTAGGTAATAGGTGTTAACTCATTCACCCCTGAAATGTCATGTTGAGCTATTCCAAACTTTGAATTGGAGGAGTTCAAATGTGTCTTTAGGGGTGAATGAGTTCAATGATAAAAAGCTTATGGCCTCAATGTTGTTTAATGTAATAAGTAAGAGAACATTTTGTTTTGTTTTGTAGTGTAATATGAAATCTCTTCTAAAAATAAGTTGGGGACATAAATCGCCACATAAGTACATAGTTTGGTGTGAAGTTTATTAATAGGATAATATCTTCTTCAGGTTTCACAATAAAGTTCAGTATTTGGTGTGCTCATTATTCCCTAAACAGTTTTTGAAATATTTTCGACGATGTTTGGGAAAATCGTGTTAGTGATCTGTACTGTAATCTGTGTGTTGGAATTATTAATGTATTGTTGTTAATGGTTATATTCATTTATTTGTATTGAACCTATCATCTTGGTTGTATAAATTGTATAAATTGTACATATTACATCACATCAACTTACATATTGTCCATTATTCACATACTTCACCTTTCTGCCAATCTTTTATTTATTCTTTTTTTTCCCATCACATTCATTCTTACCATCATTATGAATTTGTCTTTCTGTAAACTGATTTGCTCATTTATTCACTCCTGTAAAAGTTGCTTGTCATTCATTCATTTAAATATCAATCATGTAACAGATTTCAATATTAGTTGTCATTCGTGATGTCTATATAAACCCTGATCTAGGAACTGATTTTAAGTGGAGGCACGGTAGTCTAGTGGTAGGACGCCGGACTCGCGACCAAAGGGTTGCGGGTTCGAGTCACGGCACGGCACTGTGTTGTATCTTTGAGCAAGATACTTTACTTCCCTTGTTCCAGTCTACTCAGCTGTAAATGAGTATGTGGTTGGGCAGCGCTTTAATTGTTGAATGCTAGCTGTTAGTGCCGAAATGGCAGCTCCGGCTGTATGCTCCCCAGGGAGAAAGATATTGGCTGGTTGCAAAGGCCCTATAACAACAGCTAATAATTTGTGAACTGCTTTGAGAAGACCTATGAACTAAGTTGTGATAAAGCGGTATGTAAGAACCTCAAATTATTATTACTATTAAGTAACTTCTTCATAAATATGCCCGTTTGAAAAAGCCTGAAAGAAGTTTACACTAGTTTAAGTAAGATTACGGAATCTGATTGAAGTAGATCTCTATAAATATGTATCTATATATGGGGCAAAGAAGTAATTCCGACAGTGTGGACAAGTTTAGGTTGTCAAATTTTCGGAGCGATCCGCTCCTTTATCAAAACACAGTAAAACAGAACAGTTACATGTACATATACATATGTATCTATATATGTATACATTTATTTTCATGTCAACAATTAGCTCAACACACTGTATTATGCATCTTTAGTGAATCCCATATCTCGCCTTACAAAACGTTAAGCAATATTCCCAATGGTTCACTTGAAATATGAATGATTGTCATTTTGTAGTTTGCTGGTAGATCAGACATTTAATGAAGTTGTTATTATTTTTAGTTATTTACCATTTCAACTCGTTTTATTTAGAATATTGATGATAATATATTATTGCGGTCCTTCAGGTAACAAGGCACGGACTCATATACAGTTATGGAAAGGTGCATTTCAGCAATTATTTGTTTTACATAAGCAACTTGTTTTCTTATCTCCTTTGGGGAAGCCTTAAGACATACCTAACAGATTTATCTAGTTCATCAAATGTATCTGTTTTAGTCTGACCTACAATATGTACTTACTAACATGAACATTAATTTGTTTGCCGTGATGGATGGTCAGTAGTTTTTTGCTGGATATGGTGGTGATGTGACAGAGTTCCTTGCTGGATATCAGTTTACTGTTCCCCTATTATGTATATTATTCAATCAAATCCTTATCATAAACGAGGTCAGTAATTGATCTTACTGCAGCTATTTGTGTACAAAACTTTTACATTTGTAAATTTGTAAAATGTAACTTCAAGTAAGATGTTTTTTTGTAAATAACATGTTTTATGCAAATAGGTTTAATGTAAATAGAATGTATTATGATGAAATAAAACAGACATGTGAATAACGATTGAAGTATATTTATTACTGTTCTATCATTGGATAAATATTGTTCCCCTCAGCTCCCTCCCAAGGTATGTCATTTGGTGAAAGTTTTTTTTCATATAGTAGGCCTGGCACTTACCATGTGAATATGCTCATAAATGAAATAGAAAATCGTAATGGCAATCAAAACAAGTTATTGTTAATTACAAACATATATACATTGAATATTTAATGAATTGAATAAATTAAAAGTAAACATTTAAAAATAATTATTTCGCTACTAAAGTAATTTCACGGTTTTAAATGCATGTATTCAGTGGTAATGTCCGAGATCTACGGAAGATCTGACCAGGAAAGGGAGATTTCTAACATTCTGACCAAATTCCTCATCTTTGAAGAAAACAAGTCTCATGACATAGCAAACTCTCCATGGATCCGTCAATATTTCTCTCCTTATTATATAGGCATGCACACTCATTTCTGACATGCCTTCATTTTGACATTTCTGTATTTATACAGGCACATTTTAAATGCTTTCAAAATTTCAACATACTTGTTTACAAAAACGACAAACCATCATTTTGAAGAATCAGTGATCTCTTTCAACAAAANGGGGGGTAGAGAAATGGGGGTTACCTAGAAAAGAAATTGTGTTATGTGAAAAGGATCCGCATTAAATTATAAACTATACAAAAGTTCATGACATGCCTGGTATAGTAATTTTATAATGAACAAGATCAATGTAACAAAGAAATCGGGCAAAATAATGAAATGCAATTTCATAAACATATACATTTTAACGTACACATATAAATAAAAATAAGGAATGATTATACCTTATTTGTTCTTCTAGTATTGTGACCTAAGGTTCTCTGAATAAATATCCATAGTTTGAACCAGATCAGCCTAGTAAAATGCAAGTTATAGCTAAAAAAATGTCTATGCTTCAAGAGCTCATTTACGGAACAATGTACCATTTTCACGTTTTTGGTGTTGCATCAGTAATATCAAGAAAGGATATGCAGGGGAAAAGATGACGTATTATAACCTGACACACAAATTAACGTAACTATTAATTTGGAAATGCGTTAAACTTTTCCTCGACTAATTGTTTAATGATAGATCAATATGACATCGATTTCATGTTATTGTATGAAAAATATAGAAATATGCACTAGTTATATGTTTATATGATAAATAATAGACACAATTCAACGTTTATATCTTAATGCACTAAAAATAGTATAGAATACACATAGCAGACCGATTAAGCACCAATGAACTAGATTATATATGTGTTACTATAGTTAGTTAATGCATTGTTATTTTATGTTTTAATGTAAAAAGAAATTATAAATGAATTATAAGGAATCACGCTACATGTGATATGAAATGAATAACATGTCATATCAAACATAATATCATTTTAAATAATTAAACATAAAATATTTAGGATTGACCTGCATTTTGACGGCACATACGGTTACGCGCTCCATAAATAATATGTTCGTTGTCAACTGCGTTCATACTACCGTATACGCCGTCAAAATGAAGGTCAATCCTTTTATTTACATCTTAAATAATGATAAAATGCTTTGCAAAGAAAAAGACAATCGAAACGAGTTGCTTCGATGGTAACCACGATAGCCGTGGTTGCTAGGATGATATAGCTCCGGTGAATCTACATTGATATTTGGGTAAATTTAGAAAATACGCAGTGAACAACACTATTTTTCTCTATTCGTCGCATTTAAATTTATGATTGAATATTATTAGTAGCACTTAGAACTTATCTATTCATTTATAACGGTCGTTATGTACACGCATTTACACACTAGGACCAGAGACCTAAAGTAAATTTAGGTCTATGCTTAGACTAACTGCGCTGGTAGCGACGCGGTCGAACGTCGCAAAAGGAAGCTGCCATTGTTTACTTTACAGTCAAAGAATTTTGAATGTTCATCCATGTAATAAGACGTTTGCCAGCATTCCTTTGTTATATAATCAGACATTATGGATACCGAATATGTTCCATGTTTCTAGATGTTGAAGGAACCAAATAATGGCTGTCATCGAACAGTTATGTCGCTGAAGCGTGAACGGTGCCATATTTAAAACAGGAATATTTCCGCCGAGCCTTATTTTCATTGCGTTTCATTGCGTATACGCTCATTTATACGCAGTCATCGTTTACTAAGCTGAACAAGGGAGAGATGTAAATATAAGGAATTAATCGTTATCTAAAGCCTAGCAAGCATTGGCAAGGTTAACAATACTCTTCTTACTGGTTAATTTTTCTTGGCGGAAATCTCCCACGTTTTTGATTTAGGTGAATAAAACAAATCCGACAACATTAACAAGCAAAGAATAAATCGGCACCACGAGTCGAAACGATAAATACAGTCAGTTGTCTTGAACATTCTTACAGTCCCGTAGTCCAATCACCCTACCCGAACAATAGCTGAAACATCAACTAATTAATCGCAACAGAATATGTTTTATTATATTTTCCGAATTGCATATTTGACCAACATGGAAGTTTAGTTTATATCTTTACTGTAAGATAGAGTACAAGGAATTGAAAGTGTAGTTTATATCTTTACTGTAAGATAGAGTACAAGGAATTAAAAGTGTAGTTTATATCTTTACTGTAAGATAGAGTACAAGGAATTAAAAGTGTAGTTTATATCTTTACTGTAAGATAGAGTACAAGGAATTAAAAGTGTAGTTTATATCTTTACTGTAAGATAGAGTACAAGGAATTAAAAGTGTAGTTTATATCTTTACTGTAAGATAGAGTACAAGGAATTAAAAGTGTAGTTTATATCTTTACTGTAAGATAGAGTACAAGGAATTAAAAGTGTAGTTTATATCTTTACTGTAAGATAGAGTACAAGGAATTAAAAGTGTAGTTTATATCTTTACTGTAAGATAGAGTACAAGGAATTAAAAGTGTAGTTTATATCTTTACTGTAAGATAGAGTACAAGGAATTAAAAGTGTAGTTTATATCTTTACTGTAAGATAGAGTACAAGGAATTAAAAGTGTAGTTTATATCTTTACTGTAAGATAGAGTACAAGGAATTAAAAGTGTAGTTTATATCTTTACTGTAAGATAGAGTACAAGGAATTAAAAGTGTAGTTTATATCTTTACTGTAAGATAGAGTACAAGGAATTAAAAGTGTAGTTTATATCTTTACTGTAAGATAGAGTACAAGGAATTAAAAGTGTAGTTTATATCTTTACTGTAAGATAGAGTACAAGGAATTAAAAGTGTAGTTTATATCTTTACTGTAAGATAGAGTACAAGGAATTAAAAGTGTAGTTTATATCTTTACTGTAAGATAGAGTACAAGGAATTAAAAGTGTAGTTTATATCTTTACTGTAAGATAGAGTACAAGGAATTAAAAGTGTAGTTTATATCTTTACTGTAAGATAGAGTACAAGGAATTAAAAGTGTAGTTTATATCTTTACTGTAAGATAGAGTACAAGGAATTAAAAGTGTAGTTTATATCTTTACTGTAAGATAGAGTACAAGGAATTAAAAGTGTAGTTTATATCTTTACTGTAAGATAGAGTACAAGGAATTAAAAGTGTAGTTTATATCTTTACTGTAAGATAGAGTACAAGGAATTAAAAGTGTAGTTTATATCTTTACTGTAAGATAGAGTACAAGGAATTAAAAGTGTAGTTTATATCTTTACTGTAAGATAGAGTACAAGGAATTAAAAGTGTAGTTTATATCTTTACTGTAAGATAGAGTACAAGGAATTAAAAGTGTAGTTTATATCTTTACTGTAAGATAGAGTACAAGGAATTAAAAGTGTAGTTTATATCTTTACTGTAAGATAGAGTACAAGGAATTAAAAGTGTAGTTTATATCTTTACTGTAAGATAGAGTACAAGGAATTAAAAGTGTAGTTTATATCTTTACTGTAAGATAGAGTACAAGGAATTAAAAGTGTAGTTTATATCTTTACTGTAAGATAGAGTACAAGGAATTAAAAGTGTAGTTTATATCTTTACTGTAAGATAGAGTACAAGGAATTAAAAGTGTTGTTTATATCTTTACTGTAAGATAGAGTACAAGGAAGTAAAAGTGTAGTTTATATCTTTACAGTAAGATAGAGTACAAGGAATTAAAAGTGTAGTTTATATCTTTACTGTAAGATAGAGTACAAGGAATTAAAATTGTAGGTAAATCCAATAATGAACAATACAGATTTGCCTAAATTGTACATGGGAAAAATTGAAATGGAAAACAATATGAAACTTTTGATAAAGCTAAAACGTAAAAACTGTAAGTTAACCACACCGCTTCCCATAGTTCAAATTATAGTAGCTTTTAGCTAACCGGCAAGAATATCTGAAGCTATATCAAAAAGGTTATACCTAAAAAGATGAATGGTGAAAAATGAATGAGAGGAAGCTATTTTCCTGTAAATGAGGCAAACAAACTAAGCTGATATTGTTTCAAAAGTGCCCTGCTTAAAGGTATAAAACATGATAATTATGTGTGAATCTCAGATTATATATATAGATGATTAAACTACAAACGATATACATGTTACTAATTGTAAAGAATGTCGTCAGGAACCTGCGGACAGGCAAACTGTTTACAGACGGCTGATAAAAAAGGTGACGTGAAGAAACGCTCCGCCGTTCGTTAGTTGGTCTTGCTAAACGTTTAATCAATGCTATACAATAGTACACTTCAAAGTTATGCATATGAATGATTTTAATTATTTTTTAATTCCTAAAGGGAATGAAATAACATGTTTCCCTGTACGAAATCAGTACACTATGAATGCATTATTTCTTCCCGGACTTCCAAATGATCAAACACATTCAACCATGGGTATCCGAACTCCTGTTCAAACACATTCAACCATGGGTATCCGAACTCCTGTCCAAACACATTCAACCATGGGTATCCGAACTCTTTTTCAAACACATTCAACCATGGGTATCCGAACTCCTGTTCAAACACATTCAACCATAGGTATTTGAACTCCTGTTTAAACACATTCAACCATGGGTATCCGAACTCCTGTTCAAACACATTTAACCATGGATATTCGAACTCTTGTTTAAACACATTCAACCATTGGTATCCGAACTCCTGTTTAAGGACCAGCCAGGAAACGGCAATCGGCAACGACATCATCAGAACGGCTATTTCATCCGCTTTTAATTATCTATAAGGACAAAGAAACGTGTCCTTACAGTATATACTTACCAGCTAAATATATATATTTATACAGCCCAGATTACAAATTAATAGCAAAATGTTTTGTTTAGAAAATAAAAGCACATTTTATTAACAGATATATCATTAGTTAGAGTTTCAAAAATATTGAGTTCTTTCGATTGGTATGGGATTTCCTCAATACCAGATATGCCTTTGACCATTCCTAGACTAATATGTTCTATAGCATTCCTTAGTTTTCATCACTGCTACAATTCTGTTAGGTGTGTTATGATTTAGTTATTTGCAGAACGATTTATTTAATGAGTACACATTTCCTTGCCAAGCATCCTAGAGGCCCAACTTTTTTTCGTCGACATGCTTCTTATCTTTTCGTTTCTTCATATCACGAGCCCGGCGTTCAACCACTAGACTACCGTGCCTCCTAAGAAAATAACCAAATCATATTCAAATTCTTCGTAACTATCATTTTAGCTTAGTAAATTTATTTAAATTCGTAAGGAAGCACTGCATTTGTCAGTATAACACAAAACTGACAATTGTTTTCAAAAAAATGATTTTTTGTGTATTTTCAATTAAATAAATATGTGCCCTTAAAAACAAAACAATGTGCTATTAATTTCTAATCAGAGCTGAATGATCCAATATTAACACTGGATCCGAACAAACACATATTCGCTGGATGCGTATTACTTAAATAGATACATAAGCAAGTAAGTGTATAATAGCTACAATGCAGCCGAAGGAATTTGTCAACTTTTTAGAGGCAATTCGCCCCCTTTTCAAGACAGAAACCTGAACGATTACATAAAACACCATGAACAAAGAAATAAATAGTCGCCCATGAAACATACACTGTGGTCGATCATAGTCATAATGCAAAGAGAAGTATTCTACCTTCTCATACAACTAAGATTATTTCCTTTTGGTAATTCATGCTGACAAATTTTCCATAGCAGCACCAACGGGGTTTGTTTGGTGATTCATTTAATCTCTCAGAACACGGGGAGTTATATTCGATTAGTAGATTAATGTTTCAATAATTCTTGTACATCCTATACAACACAGCCCCGGCAAAAGGTGCTGTTTTTACAAATAACATCAACCCAGGAAACATTTGTTATTAAAATAGAAAATAATATTTATGGGAGTTCATTGATATTAACTGAACTTAGTATGTTTATTGCACTGAGGTATACTATTTTACTGGGGCAAATGACCCCGTGATATTCGTCCATTGGACACATCGAGAGTATTGCATACAGTGTATATATATACAAGCCGACGCAATAATATTAGCTTCAAGATATCGCAGATGAAAATATAAAAGGCTAGGAAGCACATACAGACAGACGATGAATATCAATTAGGTATTCTCCAATGTAAAGGATATTAAAAACAAAGTAAAGATGATATATACATAATTATGAACCCATCAGAATCAAAAAGATGCAGAAACCTTCGGCTATTGAACTTCTTCGTAACATTATGTGAACGTGCTATACTTTTTCTTTTATAAAGTTTCAATGTCAACCTTTATGTAGAGAGGTTGTCATTTTTCTAATGAAGGCTAAATGTGCTACCCTTTGGGAATGACAAAGCATTTGAAAAAGGTTTGTAAAACTTACTGTTGAGGTGTCGTCGAATTATTTCCTCTACTACAAAAAAAGATTAAAACAACCAATCGAAATCAGTAATACAGTAACTGAAAATATTTTCCTAAAATTAGTTTTTAGATTAAATATTTCTACACATTCTACAACAAATAAAGTTAGATGGATTTAAGACAAGTATAATAATAAACGTTGGACCCAAAAGCAATCTATTATAATATGTTTTATAATTCCATACATATGATCTCTAATGAGAATGTTTTCTGCAATATAATATCTAGGAGTATATATATGCTGATGATTCCATTACAAGAAATAACTGAAAAATTCCAACTTGTGTCACAATAACATTGAAACGACAATAAACAAAGTGACATATTTATGAGATAGTTAAAATCGGTAAATGGGATAAAATATCGACGTTTAAAAAAATGTATTGATTCAGATTAATGTTTTAAAACTTACGTTCATCATTAACATCGTCTTTCGATGCTGCAATTGAAAGATACATCACGGGATGAGTTAAAACAAAGTTATAACAACGACAACTATTGTCCATGAGAATTAAACTATTCTTCTTTATAATATCTGTTTATGGTCTTATACATAAGAGATACAATATTGTGATGCCATACGGTACGTAATACAGTGGGGAACTATATAGGGCTTTGGTTATGATCAGGGGTTGTGGGAATTGCGCAAATGTTGATCAGGATTCATACTTAAAAAAAAGTAGAACTACCCTGAATTGAATTGCAAATTAATTACATTAAGGCGACATTTCTACTGAACATATTGCTTAAACGATTGTCTGAGGTTTTCATTCCGAACATATATATTATGAAAAAAATATGTTTATAAATTATATGCTTATTACTGATAGGAATTCTGAGGAATTGTAAACCTCAACACAAATCGTCTAAATATTGTACACAGCAAGGTGGTTGACTCTGATGTGCCCAAGGTTGACTGTGACCTTGCTGCCGAGTTTATTCTAGTAATATTTACATGAAAATATCAGTTATGGTTAACTTGTAATGATAATGGTAATAAAAGTTTAAAACTCCACGGTAGATTCCTGTGTTAATTTTTCATTTTTTTTTCAACCATAAGAGAGAGGTTCTGTATTTTAAAACATTTATTCATAATCTTATAAATACGAAATATACATGCAATTTTACTGGCCTACAACATGTAATTAATTGATAAATCTTTCTGTCTAATGATTGATTGCTATAGAAGATTAATCGGAGGATCAGTCAAAGTCAGTAATATTAACAAGATGAAAGTTTAAGTTACGAATACTTGTTTCAATTTCGATCTTTTAAATGTTGTCAATGTTTCATTTTCAAACAGGATTATAAAATTGATATAACTCGATATTTTAATACCCAAAGGAACTTATATTGTTAACTTCACGAAACACATGTCTGCGTGTGCCTTGACATCCAAAAAATACGCGACTCATTGTGATGTAAATTATATGAAACAAATGAATATTTGCTATGAGACAACCGACCCCTACAGTGTATTTGTGTAATTGTGTCAAACATTTTACCTATTACAGTATTACGATCATACAGAATGAAACTGGGTGCTTAATTTTTACCCCTGGGCACATGTCGATATAGGCTCAACGGATTTCCCCCGAAAAGGACTGTCGGAGGCAGTTTGGTAATTGCATATTTAGAAAATGCAATAAATACTGTTGTTGAAAATATTTTTTGGTTGGTTCTGAAAGTTTTATTACCGCAGTTCTGTGAACACATACCCTCCTAAATATCACAAATACAATGTTAGCCACTTATCACGGAAAAGGAAGGGAAATATCTCAGTGTGTCGAATGAAGACATTTGTTTTCATGGTTCTTATGGCAAATAAGCATGCAGCTATTGACAGTACCTATGAGTAAAATGGTTATATCGTCAAAGCAAAACCGAACAATTCTTTATACACATTTGTAAAAACAGATCAATACACGTTAATATAGTACTTGCACATCCAGTAACAAAAGGTATTAAAACAACAACCATTCTGACATATATATTTAAATTAAATATGATCTCGTATTGTTCATTATATCTGGAATTTAAAAACATGCACGTTCAAAAAACGCCTGCTAAATTAATATTTTAACAATTCCCTGACAATACTAATGTGTTATGCTATGCTATCATATACTGTTGTACAGCGTCAATGTCAATACTAACGTACAAATTGAAATTAATATCTTTCCTATTTTTAATTACAGGACACTTGATAAACGTTGTCGTCTCTGTTCTTAAATAATGACCCAAAAAATAAGTCGAAATCAGTAATACAACAACCGAAAATGGTTTACGTTAGCGATGTTAGTTTTCAGGTAACGTCTTCTCTATACAAATAGAGAAAATGTTGAGATAGAAATGAGACCAGGGCCCAATTGTCCAAAAGGTGGTTAGCTTAGTCACTGTTTAACGACATTTCTCAACCTTTAATAATTTCGTCAATATTCATTTTTGCATGTTAACTCACTTAACTAAACATTTGATATCTGGAAAGTTGTAACTAATTCAATGGTTGTGTTTTAATTAAAATTTCCGCTAATCACTGATTAAGCTAATCATCTTTTGAACAACTGGGCCCTGTATGCTAATTAATGGCCGTAAATCGTTCAATCATGATCACGAGCTGCTATTTTCTTAACCAATACACACATGCACTTATGGGAATGTTTTCTGAAATAGCACGGCTAGAGAAGGTATGATATTGACCTTTTTGAAATAGTTTGATGTCATCATAAGACGTCACAGTTTTATATCGAATTATTGAAACAGATAGCTTCTTAATATATCAATTAATCTCTCCTCCGCGCTTGATCAAGTTGTGTTAATTAATAACCACTAAACATACCTCCTGTATCAGAGTCTTCGTCACTTGATGCTGGGTTGGACACATGAAACAATGGGTTAGTTATATAATACACTATGAATAATATGTTACATAAAAGGAGCACAAATGACGATTTTTACACATCTGCCTAACGGATTGCCTAATTGATGAGTTAGTGTTGCAACCAGTATTATGAGGAAACATTTTTCGATACATTTTACATTTTTATTTTTTACCTATGGAGTGTCATTCTTTGATACGGTATGGTGCAGTAAACATTTACTTTGCTTGGCTTTCTACATCGACGACGTGCTTAATTTGTAAATACTCACTTCCTTTGTTTTGTATGTCTTGGGATTACTTCAGCTTCATATGTGACATTTACCTACGGTATGATATAATGTCACCGAAATGTTTTCTTTTGAAGGTATACTGATATAGATATTTGTCAGTATTTCTGCCAAATCGTATGTATAAAGTGAAATTTGTATAGTGCACGATGACTTCAAAGCAGATGTGCTATAAACTCATAACAAGAGGCCCATTGGGCATGTATCGTTCCCTTGTTATTCGATGAATTAGGGATACATAACTGACTCCTCTGACCTTTAAAGAGGGTCAGGGTCAAAATTTCAACAATCTTAAAAATAAGCAAACTAAAGCTTAAGGCTAAATATCTACACCTCATCTTCTGTATCTTACTTGTAACATTGTAACTTAATTTAAACACGTAACCTTCAAAGAAAGCCACTGTTATAACATTAAGTCGTAAAGTACAGATAAAGCGTATAATCGAACGGTCAAAAGGAGAACACCAAAGTGACAACAAAACCATAACTCGAACTCAAAATCGATAAAAAATATGAACAAAAATGATTTACATGGAATATAAATTTACTGTTCCATAAAGTACAGAGAACAATATCAGTATGTCGACGGAAAACAGCTTGAGAAACTACTGAATAACAATATTGACATGTTTTGCTTTTATAAAGCTTTAAAATATTATGGAATGTAAAACAATTATTTTTTTACAATGGTGGCACATTTTTAACACTTCTTAAATAACATGATACTTTAAAAATGCCTGTAAAACTAACATTTATGTCGTCTCCTCGCCTGACAAAAAAAAAATAAACCCTAAAAATAAGTTAAAATAAGTAATACAATTACCAAAAAAGTTTCATTAGGTAAAAAGAGTTAAAAGGTTAAACATCTCAGTACATCGCTTTTTATATCCTGAATCGATTTGACTGGGCTAGAATTGGGACCAATTGCAAGGTATTTTAGTAAATGTTCGTAATACATACCTATTTGCATCAGATCCGTCAATCGATCCTGTGTTTGAAAGACAAAACAGAGAATATGTGTACGTATTATCAAAAAAATAAAAATAAAAACGCGAACGCGAATTCTTCTTATGTTCTGAATGATTACCAGTGTTTACATCGTTTATATTTCTGACCATGATTCTACGTATTTGCTAAAATATACATTCTTATAACTTGTTGATAAAATAGCTTTTTCAACATAGAAATATGTTTTACATTAATATTTCGGATATTTGTTGAGTATGAAGAACATGGTTTATTGTAAGAAAACAATTAAATACACGGTGATATAAATCTATATAATAAACACACAAAACAATACATATGATATGATGAGGCCCATGACTTCCCCAAATCATAATCAGTGTGATAATCCAACGTAAGGCAAGACTGAACTACGTCGTTTAATGTGGTTAAATATCCTCTTGAGTTTTCAAGTTTCAATGTCAAATCAAATGCTGTTATTTTTCTAATGAAGAACGATCTGTTAGCCTTTATATTTTACACGACAATTAAAAAATGTTTGTAAAACTTACAAAATTGTTGGTGAATTCTGCTAAAACTACAAAAGAAACAAAAGGATCAAAATAATCAATACAATTAATATCATTGTATACATTTTGCTATTGTTCTCCTTGTATTTCTTTTATGTACGTCGTCATGATCACATTTAACCAACTATAAAATTGAAATGCCAGTTTTATCTGTCAAACAGTGATACATTTATATAAAATATCACTGCCCTAAATACAGACCGCAGGATGCGAATGTGCATGTGAATGTGTATTTAGGGGAAACATATGCACCATTACGGATAAGCGAGCATATAATTACAAGCGCTTGATTAAGTCATCTCCAATATTCAACTGGTTATCCGGAATATCACCGTTTGATTTTTTCAAGCGTTTTACAGTTATTTCCTAGTGATTAAGTGCGCAATGTTCATATTATATGAAAATATTGATGCTGCAAATTTTCTTATTTAAATGACTGTGCTGGTTGGTTTTGTTTGGCTCAGTAATAAGTACTCGTAAAAGACAATAAAACTTACATTTCTCCCTAGATTCGTTTCTTGGTGCTGTTTTTGAACAAACATTATAATGGGTTAGTTGCATTACATTTTTTTTTTATATATATAACAGGAATTAAAAGGTGATCAAAGTGTGATATTTCTAAATGTATAATGCACAACAAAACACAATAATTATAGGTTTGATGATGATCTGTTGCTATATAAATTGCCGTCCTGTATATTTAGCTATTCATCAATACTACCGTATTTTGATATGCTCTTGATTGTATATAGCTTAAATGCAAACACTAAGTACAGAGCCTATTAATTTTCTGATGTAAACTTGAATATTTGTCAAAATGGCCATCGGAAAAGAAACGTTTGTAAAACTTACGGCGTCGTCGGTGCTTCCTTGGTTCTGAAAAAATAAAACATATGTTTAGTCTACTCGGAATTATCATAAGCAAGATTATTGACCTTAGCAATGTTAGTTTCCTGATTTGTCATTGTGCATTTTCTTGACAAATAGGAACTGATGGAGTTAGAAAGTAGACAAAGTCAATCTTTTTAAACATATATGCATAATAAAGATTGAGTGTTGTCTACTCAATATACATGGGTATGTATGATAGGAAAGTGTTGATGTTCATCAAATTAAAATTAAAGTTTAAAGTGTTCAAATGACGTCCTTTTTTAAGACTTTAGACACAACTTCCAGTGTCTACTTTATAATGATAATAAATTGTCTACTTTTTTCTCGACTTTATTATTAACTTTATTGGAAGACGTTAACTGATTTAGGTAAAACATGTCAATATTTGGGCCTTCAATTTCGAGCCATCAAACATTCATAACTCGCTTTATTGGAAAACGTTCTATGAAAACGAAACTGATTTAGATAAAATATGTCAACACTTTGGGCTTAAGGATGTACTCTTCTGAGGTTTCAATCACGTTTAAGTCTCGTTTTGATCTGGTGTAATGGGTTTTTGTAATAGTTAACAAATTATGATAAAGTTTATTAGCAAACACGCATCTGAAAAATATGTCAAAAAACTAGATGCCTGTTGCTTGTAAAACTTTTTTTACAAGAATTTAAAAATAAATTACCAACTCGGCGGTCATTTTGAAAATGTGTATTAGTGTGTATTTCTTGCGCTTCAAAAAAGGCCAAAGTTTCACCTTTTTTGACACTAGATTGATCACTTAAATTGTCATTGTGTCGCCATTTTTAGTTGTAGCAGGTTCAATTTTACTGTACAACTTTATAATGTTCAATATGATAAAAATAATATGCAACAAACTGGAAAATTATACATTATTGATGGGTTTTTTTTACATATTTAGTGTAACTGAAGCACTTTTGATTTTTCGACCCCGAAAAAGATAAAAAAAAAAATAACACAAATGATAATGGGACAAAAATGAAGGACACTGACACCCCCATTTTTGTAGATATTTTAGAAAGAGAAACACATTTTCATTTAATTCATTAAATATTAAAAAAAGTTTAATAGCAGAACTTTTTTTATCAAGCGTTTAAACTGCAAAAAATGGTAAAAAAATGAATATTTTTTCATTCAAAAATAGGGGGTAGCAGTAACTAAAATCGGCTTTCTGAGTTAAAAGAATAAGATTAAAAAATGTTGCTTCCATAATTTAAAAGAAAATAATATTTTCATCAATTCTACAAACATTCATACACATCTGATAACACACTTGAAAGAAATTGTATAAATTTGTTCTGCAAATGGACAAAACCCCCAAAATCACCTAAAATCACATGTTGTGTTAAATTGGTATCTTTGGCCGATCATAGCACAAAAACGAACACACGGACATATTTTTATTTTTTTTGCATTTTCTACTATGCCATTAACTCCTTTTTCCAAAAATCCATATAAGAAAAAAAGTTTAATACAGGAAATATTTGACTTCTCAGAGGTGTACATCCTTAATGTCGAATACTGAACATTTATGTTGATACTGATAAGTAAGTGTTGATATGATAAGGTGTTTAACTATAAACACATTAATATAATAACCAACTTTACCGTCTGTTATATTTTACCCTTTAATTTTGCATGTTACTGTTATTTCAATTACAATGTATAAAGATTACTGATGATGTACTGCAGTTTGTTATGCTAACCATTGTTAATAACTAGAAACAAGAATAATATTTAGAAAACGTACCATTTCCGCCCGACACGATACGACTTGCTGCCTCTAAAAGGTAAAACAATAACAATAAATAACAATATAACAAATCATAACTAGAACTGATGCAAGAATGGCAGACTTATACCCCCACATACACACCCTGTCATACACATCCTTCCGTCCCTGTGCCAAGAACCGTTTAAATAGTTATTTTAAAGTAGAGTGGTTGCGAACAATTTATATTAAGGGGATTAACTCCAATAAACGCACGTGCACGACTGCAGAGTGAACTGACTGCACCATTGAATTTCACGATAATGTAGGAGTTGTGCAGACCAGATTGTATTACAGACAGTATACGGGGCATAGCAAATTTACCTATTGTCATTGAAAAATAGAAATCTTTAGGTCATCTATCAATAATATGGTAATAACCTGATTGTAACCAAATGATGTGGAGTTCATAATTCATACAACCAAGCTCATTAAAAACAACGCGAAAAACAGCAGGATGTTGTTTTCTGTTTGAACACTTTGTATAAGAAAGGAACGTTCTGGACCATGAAGCCATGTTTTGGAGCAATTCCATGCGAAGAATATGAGGTCATAGAAGTTTTTATACCAATATCTAAAATAAAAAACGAAATAAATAAAAATAAGATCATGAATGGTATGTGTTTTGTGTTGAAACGGAGACCATGCCTGCGTCAGGAGAAGCCTTCCACGTGTACGTAGAATGTTATTGGAAGAAAAATCCATTTTCCATTTGAGTATTCGAGGCATTGCTGGATTTGCAAATATCTGGTAGTAACACGGTTACCGAGTGTTGATTGAAAGCCCTAAAAATCTAATATTACTTATTACAGATCAAAATAAGTCCGAACATACATCCTGTAAATTGTTCCTTTGTTCATCAATGGTCTACATTAGATGCTTGAAACTCTAACCCTTGTGCAGTACTGATTTTGTGGATTGGGTTTATGATGTGTAAGCTTTGTTTTATATTATCTAAGTTCTGCCAAATACAGGTTAACAAAACATTAATGCTCTGTGATGAATAAGATTCAGCATTGAATAGCTGAAAAAGATCCTATGGGACCCAGAACTTTTCTCGAGTAAAATCATTGTCTAAATAGCTAAACAAGAACCTATGGGACCCAGAACTTTTCTCGAGTAAAATCATCGTCTAAATAGCTAAACAAGATCCTATGGGACCCAGAACTTTTCTCGAGTAAAATCATCGTCTTAATAGCTAAACAAGATCCTATGGGACCCAGGACTTTCTCGAGTAAAATCATTGTCGATATATAAAAATGTGTCGGTTAAATTGAACTGCTTCATACACGTAACTTTATTTATGTGTTTGCTCTGCTCTTGCTGTCAAACTCAATGTACATTGGTTGTCATTTGTTCCGAAGAATTATTTGTTACCCCAAGTCAATTGCTGGATATTAGATAATGTTGGAAACACTTACGCAGTCGTTCTGCTTTTGGCCATTGTTCTGAAAAACAAAAGCAAACAATGTCGGTAATGCAAAATATAACTGAATACAATTTATTGGTATTTTTTTTCTACTTTTATACATATTTTCCAATACGACAGCTGAGGTTTTCCATTTTTATATTAGTTTGATGTCATAACATGAGGTTATAACACCGAGGCATTGAAACATCTCTTTACTTTCCCCTTATAATCTACTATGTGTGTTTGAAGATCATATGAATGGCCAAATAGTTAAATAGTTAAATACATTGATTATTTTTTTATTTATTTTTTTATTTATTTATTTATTTACTTACGCCATCGTTCAGCTGTTGGATTGTGTTCTGAAAAAAGTACCAAAGAATTGATCGATGTCAGTGATGCAAAATACAACTGCAAAAAATTCATTCTAGGAATAATATTTTTCAAATTAGAGTATTCCTTAGTAAGTTTTAATTGTTTAAAAAAACTCATCTAAAAATTCTAACGTAATCAATAAAATTTCAAACCAGCCTTCGAATAGGAAAGATTACATTATTGACCTCATTATTGCCTCGAAAATGTTGACTTAGTATCACGATATTGTGAGATATTAATTTTGTCTTACTTCTAATTTATTAATATTTAGTCGACATTTCTTCTGACAAAAGTTGTGGTGACGTTAGAGAGCTACTGCTGCCTACTACTATTTGTCAACACATTTTCTGCATTGCGTAAACTTCCTTAATAGGTATTTATAATTAAACTTTCTTTAATTGCTCAATATAGTTGTGTTATCGTAAGCTAGATACTGTGCTTATTTTAATTAGTAAAACGATGCCCATGAACCCAGTAGTGTCCACGTTTTCAGAAAACATAATAAAACATAACTTTAAGTTATGAAATATTTGTTGAGTTATTGTTAACATTTTTGCATTATAATTAGCGAAACGTTTTACATTGTATTTTATATTTTGAAATAGAATGAATTTAACGAGCGGAACGAGACCCAAAAAATATTGCGGGTATTTCCCCCCTCATACGTAGTGTCTACGTTAGGAGAGAAAAAAGGAATAAATTATACGATGTAATTATTTGAGTTATTAGAACAAGGAAAACTCTTATATTCTCGGATATGTCGTTATAAAACAAAACTACATGAAAAAAAGGATGATAGAACAAACATTTTGGAAAAACAACAACTAAACGTTGAATATATATGTTTTAAATCTAACGAAGTCAAACGAGTCTCGATGCAAATCAAGATACAATATGTTAGACAAGTGTTATTTTTGCGATTTATCGAGGCAGGAGGGGTATTACAAGTAGCAAGTATGTGACAATGCATACCAATACTATACAGATTAGGTACGCAGCGTGCCAAATATCAAAGTTTTCGACAACAAAAAGTTATTAAGTTCTTAAAGCCAGCTTACAAAGTATCAGTGACTCATTTGTTCCATTAAAGAATTATCTTAAACGTTTACCAATATTTGAATACTACAGATATGCTGGAAAAAACTTACTCAATGGTCATGATGTCGGCCTTTGTTTTGAAAAAAACGACAAAAGAATACCGAATTTTGCGAACTTTTTTACAAATATTCGAACTCAAAATTAATAAAGCTATAAAATTATATGAACAAAGGAAAGATTTGCATGGAGTATGATTTTTCAAACGTTTCAATTTTCAATATTTTTATATTTATGTTTTAAATTTTATATCTGTATACAATAAATGTTCAATAAAAAACATACATGTTCAATATTTATTTTTTACATGTATATGCAATAAAAAATATTTAGGTTCAATAGAAGTAATATTTGTGCAATACAAATATATTGGTTTGAAAAAAAATGTATTCGAAAATAAAATACATATGTATATGTATATCAGTAATAAGTATGTGACAACGCATACCAATACTATACAGATTAGGTACGCAGCGTGCTAAATATCAAAGTTTGCGACAACAAAAAATTATTAAGATCTTAAAGCCAACATACAAAGTATCAGTGACTCATTTGTTCCAATAAAGAATTATCTTAAAGTTTACCAATGGTTGAATACTACAGAAATGCTGAAAAAAACTTACTCAATGGTCTTGATGTCGGCCTTTGTTCTGAAAAAAACGACAAAAGAATACGGAGTTTTGCGATTTTTACACAAAAAATTCGTACTCAAAATTTTATATCTATATTCAATAAATTTCCAATAAACAAAATGCATGTTCAATAAAAAAATTATACATTTATATGCAATTAGAAATATTTATGTTCAATAAAATAATTTTTGTGCAATAAAAATATATTCGTTTGAAAAAAAAAATGTATTCGAAAACACATAAGTTCAATTAAAAAATATCAGTATTTAATAACATGTATGTATGTGCAATATAAATATTTGTATTCGACAGTTTGCATTCTTGGAAAGCATTGTGTGACCACAACGGCAGCTTGCTGTAACGGGGTGTTTGATTAGACGATAGGGAAAACGAAATGTACAATCTCGATCCTAAAACGCTTCATTTACACTTCAGACAAACGAAGTAAAATTCGTTAGATCTACAACAATGTCGTATACACTATAAATATTTAACCTTCTTGTATCCCTTCAAGCCATGTATGTAAGCCTAAACTATCAATACTGACTGATCAATTGTCGCTCATATGCTAAAAAAGGTGAAAACATAGATAATTCATAACTTACAGCAGCGCGGCAATATCNCTACATACATGTATGGAAGAACCCTCCTTTTTTAATTCGAGAGACAGATACATTTGGATGGACAGCTAGAACTCTTAGACAGACAACAGGGATTCGATTAAAATGTCTTAAATGCATATGCTATACTGATAAGGGTCATAGCACACCTAAGACTAAGCCAAATTAGCCCCGAACTCGCGCGCGCTTATATTTACACTATAAATATAATGACTAATGGATACTGATTTATAATAACACCCAGTATTAGGCTAGGAGACGGATATTTGTGACGGATGTATACCATCTTTTAAATAACCAATAGTCCTTGGTGGTCAGGTGGCGCAGTGGAAAACACATTCGCCTGTCACCAAGGCGACTGGGGTTCGATTCCTCGATTGGATGTGGAAAGGTAACGGGTCAACTGCTCAACCACGTGGGTTTCTCCGGGTTCTCGAGCTTCCTCCAACATTAAGACCCCCGCCCTTTAACAAGAGTGATTAGTAGAAGTTAAAATAACTTGTTTCTTTATTGGTGTAAAATAAAAGATTTTTGTCATAAACGTCTACCATGCATGCCATTTAGGTTTTATTTTTAAATAAGTGATATAAGTGACTGACAGTGTGTTTAGACTGCAGGTGTCAAATAAAACCGTTAAAATCTTGATTCACTTTCAATGTCACAAGGATCCAGTGCGTTTAAATATTTGAAAAACTTTTTTTATAAAAAAATGAATAAATTGGACCTGGGGCCTCTTGAATAATAGGTGAGCTATACAGGCCACTGCGTCCCTTATTCTTTAAACACATTCCCATTCCGAACCCACCCAACCTAACCCAACTCAATCCTGGACTCCCAGCATTACACCATACTATTATCTACCAGAGTACAGCACTTGATTTGAAATGTGACAACTCAATAAAAACGCTGACCACACTGTACCTGGAAGTAACCGTGTCCTTAAAATGACTTTTTGAAGCGCTTCACTCAGCATAACATGTAGCAAAAAGATGAACTTAGGAATGATATACACATGTTCTATACCTGTATGAAGATACCTGATAATAGTATAAATTAGTGTATGACGTGCACATTGAGAAATTGTAGTTAATGAAGCAATGATCAATTTGAAAAACAATCTGTGTCGTAAGGTCAAGTATTTGATTATAAGGTCGCATGTCCATTCAAATGTAAATTTACACCACGTGAATATATTCAGACCCCTTGGTCATCTTGTTTTCAAAAACCACTTTTGACCAAGACACTACATATGGGTAAAGGTTTACAGGCCAAGATACATATGGGGTTAAATAATCTTCTAACAACTCTTTGGACAAGTGGCTTTTTCATTTTGCATCCCTGATTGCCTAGTATTGGATTCAAAGTCATTCAATTGAAGCCCCAGGATTCAAAACACGATTATACCTAGTGGTCAAGCGTCAACCCAGGCTAAAAAACAATTTGAAAGTCCTCTCCTTTAACATTGTGAGATCCAGGGGATCAATAATTGGCATGCATGAAGTCCTAATGATGCAGGTTCAGGTTTGTTCAAAAAAGGTCCCCGGACTTTGCGATGAAGCAATACAAAGGAATTCAAAATACAACATAGTCCAAAAAGGCCAAAAATAACTATTGAGTTTCAAAAATGTTATCCAGTTAAAACATGAGGTTAGGGTTCAGCGTAGACCAAAAGAGCGAAAATTCAATGTAGGCCAAAAGGAATAGGGAGTTTAAATAAATGTATCCTGTTAAACCATGAGCTTTAGAGCATACTGCATTAATTAATACTTGCAGTCTTTGTGTTTTCTCCATTTCAGAGAAGGCTGTTGACAAAACATTCAGTGGGCCAAATTTCATAATGGAAGCAGACAAAATCCCACCACTGGTATACTAGGTTTCATTTAGTTTTATAATTTGGGACCTCCAGAAAACAGATTTCCACTTACTTCAATATGTGAGAGAATATAATGAACCAAAGTTCGTGGACATATCTTTTATACATACTTTTCTGAATGTCCTCGATGACGACTGAAGTGCTATTTAAGCATTATTTGTGATTGTCAGGTGCAATAAGGACTCAGGTAGTGCTTATGGAAATAAGTCCGTATCATAACATCCCAGGTAGTGCCTATGGAAACAGGTCCTTATTATAACATCCCAGGTGGTTATAAGTTCGCCTTTGGCTTACAGTTCGTGTTTGAACAAACCTGAATCTGCATCGTTAAGACTTCATGCATGCCAGTTATTGATCCCCTAGATCTCACAATGTTAAAGAAGAGGATTTTCAAATTGCATATTAGCCTGGGTTGAAAACTGACCACTAGGTATAATCATATTTTGAAACCCTTGGACTTGAATTGTAAGAAGATTTTTAAAGCTCACTATGCATTAAATGTTTACCTATATGACCTTTTGAAAACAAGAGGACCAAGGGACCTAAAGATGATCCCCTGGTATAAATTTACATTTGAATTTACCTGTGACCTTAACCAAAAACTTGACAGTATGACATCGAAATTTTTTTTTAATTTGAAAACTCCTTATGGGCATGTTTTGAAGAAAATTAGGATATTCTAAAGCAAACTGATTTTTTTCATGGAAGTAAACACCTGTTTTTTCATTTAACTGGTATGAAAATTAAAGGAATTACCTGGTAGCATGGAGGTCCTACATGAATGTCTTCTATAAAATTATTAGGTATCTTCATACATGTATAGAACATGTGTATGCTATTCCTAACTTCATGACATCTTTTTGATACATGTTTTGATGAGCAAAGTGGTTGGGGAAGGTACGATTGACCATAGCAGTCAAATGCACTTAAGTCATTCAACTTTGTCAGAGGTTCCTTGACGTTATGCTGTCAGCAACTCCAAAAACAGTTTGTTTTTGTCAACTGTGTGTGACAATTTGTCAAATTCTGCTTTGCTTTCTGTTGTTTTTGGCAATGCAGTGGCCCTCCAGAATTCGAAATGAGACTCAGACCACAGCTAAAACATATATATAATAAAGATATGAGAGAAAGGGAAATAAAGGGGAGGAGGGAGGGAGAGGGTCTGTTTGTGTGTAAATACCAACTGTGTTCCATCACATGGCCTAGTGTTTAATTCGAGAACATATACCAATAGATGTTCCCGTTGCTGTAAGTAATAAATTACCTGTGTATTTACTTCTTTATGAGCGACAAGTGATAAGTCATTATTTCATTATTGATAGTTTAGGCATACATACATGGCTTAAAGGGATACATGAAGTCCATAGATGTGTAGTGTGTAGACCTAACGAATTTTAAGCGTTTTAGGATCGAGATTATACTTTCGATTTCCCCGTCAAACGATGCTTTCCCAGAATGCAAATTATCAAAGCAATATATTTTTATTGCACATATGTGCACAAATACATTTTGTATTGAAAACAAATATTTTTTTATTTAACATATAAACTTTTGTCGAACAATTATTTTATTGTCGAATAAACATTTTTTCGAACAAATTTGTATTTTATTTCATATATATATATATTATTGAGCATAAATATATTTTTATTGCATGTATATATTTTTTTATTGAACATATATATTTTTTATTGAACATATATTTACAATTATTGAATACAAATAAAACATATTGCACATATATTTACAATTATTGGATTCAAATATAAAATTTTGAATATTGCAACGTTTGACAAGCCATAATGAAGACAACTGCAAATGTACAAGGAGAAAAGACCAGGTGTTCCGGAAAGGTCAGCGTCTTCTGTTTCATCGACGACATCTGCGATGTAAATATAGGTCAAATCCAAGTAATGTCACGTTCTGACATCAAGAACTCGAGTAATGATGTAACAAAACCACAAGGTACTCTAAGGAGCATCACACGAGGAAATAACATCTTTCCTACTGCGAGCATAATAGCGACCATAAAAATTGTCCATATTGTTCATCAACCTGCATTTTTGGAAATCTTTTGAGGTAAATTTGTCCGTCAGCAGTCGATATTATAGAACCAGTTTAGAACCATTATTCAATATGATTATTAGATTTCGTTTATTGTTATAATACAAAGCCTATAATGTAAATCATCCCTCACTGTCCTGAATATGTAGTCTTAGAACCACACTCTGTACTTACCTTTTGACTGCTTCATTGGCCAAACCAAAGATCCGAGCGCCATACTGACCACTTCAGATACAGATGTAGATGGTTGATACGCTGCTAGTTTAAGAGGAGCGGATCCCAGAACGAAACTTTTAGTACTATGTCTAGTGTCGAACACTCCGATCTCATTCCCAGACTGAAGTGTCATTTTTAACATATTTATTTGTTCCTCACAATCTCTCTGCTGATTCTCAAGTCTAGCCTGATAGTCCAGCAACCTACCATGATTCTCTGTCTCGTTCTCCTCACAATCACCGAGCAAAATCTCCGCCTGCTTGTCAGCTTCCTCCTTTATTTCACGCACTCTCAACTTGATCAAAGCAGAAATGTTGTCGTGTTTGACTTTATTCTTGGCCATCTCTATTTTTATACTACTCACATCGTTTTTTATCTGAACGAGATCACTGTTTTCGTTGGTGTTGAGGATTTGTTGTAATTTCTCAGTTTCTCTCTGCACTGCCTCACTCAAGTCTTCGAACTCATGACCTCTGTGAAATCTAGATGTAACACATCGTACACATACAAGTGTATCACAATTTATACAGCATAACGACAACTTCTGACCGGTGTGTGATGGACACTTGCTATATCCGTGTGGTCGACACACCACCTGTGCTCTTGGTGCTGCCATCCTATGAATGTTTAAAATTCACCCGATAATACCTGGTGTGTTTCGTAGTTGTCTCACAATACCAAAGTCTTGCTACTAGAACAAATAATCATAAACAAATTACACTTAGTGCATTATCACGCCCACAGTGAATGCATCTGAGAAGTTGTGGCGGAAATACAGGAATTATATTTATAGCTGAAGAGCATCGCCGAAGTAGCACATAATAAAATCAAAGTACTTAATGTACGTGTGAAACAGACCGATGTTTGCTTAGATAAAATCCTATTGGGTGACGCTGAAATTGTACGTGTGTACCCACTTCAGTGGATGGAGACCATATGCATGTGTTACAGTAAATTCAGACAAGGAAATAAACATCGCAAACAACCGAGGATAACAGTATTGTCAGCTATTGTACACTGATATTGCTGATGATAAAATATGCTACTTCCTTGTCAGATATAAAGATCAATGCAACTGATTATGCTCATAAGTAATAATTATGATAATATACAACATTTATATAGCGTCCTATATAATTTGTAAAATTACTCTAAAGCGCTTTACAATAAATGGATAGTAGTATTAGTTAAAATTATTGTACAAAAATTGCTTACAATGACCATTTTACATTCCGCAAGAAGATAATCAAATAGAGGGTGGTATGTACATGACGTCTGTACAAAGAGAGTTCGTGTGTCATGTTGTTTCGATGTCACTAACCAGCTTCTCAATTCGGAGACATGACATTACTTTATTGGAACCTAGATTTACACTGTGAATGTCGTCAATGAAGCAAAAGAAGTACACTCTAGGTATCCTTGTAAGTCTTTCATTTGTTCATATTTTCTGTCTTATTTTGATCGAGTTTGAGTTTGTATTGCCGAAGCTGGCGGCAACAGTCAAAACTATCGAACGGTAATATAAATTTAACTGGTTGTTGTACGCCGCAGTTAGCCAATCAGTTTGCCAGTCAATATTCAAAAAGGCAATATTTTAACTATTGACCTGCAGTCTATGATTGCCTTGTAAATTGTATTGGAAAACAGTCAAAACTGTTTCATATGTATTTATCTAGAGATTCAGGAAACAAATTAGAATAAATTGTCATATATGTGATAAAGCACACACAATCTTACTTTGTCTACAGATTGTCTTGGTTATGTTCTGATAACAAAGGCAGATAATATTAATCTTAACATATCATTATATAATATACATGTATATACATAATAACCGAATAAATTCCTCTGTTGACTATCAGAGGTTTTTACCCTGTAATATGCCGTCTATATATTACCACATTAAGCCTAATACATTGTGTATATAAGAGACAGTATGCGTAAGTTATGTGTATTCGGTTGACACTTAGGCACATAACATGGTCATGACCCAATCATTCACCGAAAAGCCTACGCCTGTGTTTAAAAATAACATTCGGCAAACCTCTCTAAAATACTGTCTTACATACGGAATAGTTTCCCCATCTGACAGACAGCCTCGGTCAGATGGAGATCAGCCGAGGTGTGCCGAATGTAAAAATAATACTGCGTTTATCAACCCGGATGTTAGAAAGTGATGGTAGAGCCAGGTCTAGACGTATATATATGACTGACAACAGATGTAAACAATATTCAACTAACCTGTTACAATGATATGAAGCAAAAATGTCTCTTTCGTAATTCACTGTCATCCTGGTAGGGTCGCGCAAAGTTTTCTATTAAAATGGTTATTTAGTCAACTAACAGTAGCGTGGCTGCCTTAGGCTCGAGTAAGCACGTGCCTGTACATTTTAAGTCAATGTAAGTTCAAGAAATTGAAATGTGTTTTCATCAAAATAAAACAAAAATGATACATGTACTATATCCAGAATATACAGGTCAAGTACAAAATACCGAAATTCTCGATTTTTCACAGTCACAAAAGACCATGTACTAAACATAAATGCAATACGACTTTCAAGCTTACATTTAACAATGGTAATAACACAATGGTGAACAAGTTTGTTGTCCGGAAAATTGTAATCAAAGTTAGGGAATCCATTCCGAGAATCCCCCTCGATACTCCAGGGGTTACGCTCGGTTACGCTCTCTGCACCCTTGGTATATGTCATGACAAAATTGAATGCACAAAGATAGATGTTTGATTGGTCTCAGGTAAAGAAAACCAGACCAATCGCCAGGCTGAGTCGTGTCTTTTGAAGATTACAGAGGAGAAACACCCGACTTCAAAGCCAGTCAAATTTACAGGTATGAGACCGCGAGAATCGTTTGATGTACAAAAAAGGTTCGAAGTAGTCTTCTTGTCTCATCAGCAAGGTTTGGTTTAGTATTGTTTAACGTCCTATCAACAGCTATGGTCATTTAAGGACGGCTCAGCAAGGTGGCGCACACTGTGCCTTTTCACTACTACTCCTTTTTAAACATATTTTTTTGTCAAAAAGCAAAAGGATTGGGCACAAGTTACATGAACATTATTTACGCCACTCCTCATATCAAACAGAAGGAACGCATTCGTTCTCTTATTATGAGGTTTCGTTTCAAAAAAGGGCGAACAGGTTTGGTTTAGTTTGGTTTAGTATTGTTTGTGTAATATGCATGCGTGTAGTGTATGTATGGTTGTAAATTATTGATTCTGAACGCAGGTCCTGATTGAGCCTCTATGTCCAGCTCTTCTTCATCCGACACTGTCGTAGTTTCGTCGGTTTCGTGTTTATTGCTGCACCATTCTCCTAGCTGAATGTCAATGTCAAACACTGCTCGATGATTCTTGAAGTGGTTGTCTGAACAGTTTGTAACACTATTGTCATTTTAAGCTCTCACAAAATCCTCTAGTAGGTTGTTCCATGTCAGTTTAGTTATTTTTGACTGTGAAAAAAAATCGAGATTTTCGGAATTTGTACTTGACCTGTATATTCTGGATAAAGAATAATTTTTGATTTTGATGAAAACACATTCAATTTTTTTTATTTCTTAAAACGGTGACTGCTTTCTTGAGCCTTTAAAGCCCCTATCTCACATACACGATTTAAGAAATTGCGAACATGATTTAAGAAAGTTGAAAAATCGTGTTGATTCGTGCTCGACTTTGTGGTTTATGCAAATTTCTTAACCAAACACAACCCTCATACGACCAAAAACGACACTCATACGACTGAACACACATACGACCGTCAAAAGATATTCATACGATACAACACGATTTAACCTCGTTTTACACGACCCCAATACGACTGTCATACGACCAAACACGACTGTCATACGACTTAACACGAATCAACACGACCGCCATACGATTAAACACGAATCATTACGATCTCCATACGACTGAGCAAGACCTTCATACGACATATTTTTATTTATTTTGGTCACGTAGGTCATGTAGTATATAAGCTGCACTGCAACAGCATTTCTGTGTCAGTCATCACCATGTTCAACAACGAACAAGACCACCATGAAGAAGCTTTGGAGGAGGTAGTACTTCTGGAAGCTATGACTTTGATGGTGAGGAACAGGAAGAGATTCTGGGTTCGACCATGGTCGTTGAGGAGACCTCTTTATGGGCAGTATGAACACCTAATGCAAGAACTGTATCGTGAAGATGTGAATACGTTTACAACCTTCTTGTGTGTCACCCCGGAGATGTTCATGGAGCTAGTAGAACGCGTTGGTCCTCGTATTGAAAAGGAGGACACCTTCCGGATAAAAGCCCGAGAGCCTGGGCTTCGCCTAGCTATGACACGGTATTATATGGCCACTGGAGACTCCTACTGATCACTTCAATATGGTTTTAGAGTGGCTGCTAATACCGTTTGAAATAGATTTCAACATATTTGACCCCTTTGACCTTGAATATGAGTGTAGGTCATTTGTTTGAACAAACTTGGTAGCGCTTCATGCCAACATCCTTCTGGCCAAATATCATCACCCTGGACATTTTGGTTATATGAAAGAATGCATTTAATGGTTTTTAAGACAATTGACCCCTGTGACCTTAAATATGAGTAAAGGTCATTTGTTTGAACAAACTTGGCAGTCCTTCATGCCAACATCCTTCTGATCAAATACCATCACCCTGGACCTTTTGGTTTTACAGAAGCTGCTTAAAGTTTTTCAAGACAATTGACCCCTGTGACCTTGAATATGGACGAAGGTCATTCGTTTGAACAAACTTGACAGCCCTTCATCCCCGCATGCTACTGACCAAATTTCATCACTCTGTGGCTATTGGTTATACCAGAAGAGGTCGTTGAAAGGTTTTTAAGACAATTGGCTCCTTTGACCTTTAATATTAGTGAAGGTCATTTGTTTGAACAAACTTGGTAGCCCTTCATGCCAAATATCATCACCCTGGACCTTTTGGTTATACAGAAGTTGTTTTAAGGTTTTCAAGACAATTGACCCCGTGACCTTGAATATGGACAAAAGTCATTCATTTAACCAAACTTCGTAGCCCTTCATCCCTGCATGCTACTGGCCGAATATCATCACCCTGGACCTTTTGGTTATACAGAATAAGTCGTTTAAAGGTTTTTAAGACAATTGACTCCTTTGACCTTGAATATGAGTGAAGGTCATTTGTTTGAACAATCTTGGTAGCCCTTCATCCCTGCATGTTACTGGCCAAATATCATCACCCTGGACCTTTTGGCTTTACAGAAGAAGTCGTTTAAAGTTTATCAAGAAAATTGACCCCTGTGACCTTGAATATGGACGAAGGTCGTAGTCCTTCATGCCAACATCCTTCTGGCAAAATATCATCACCCTGGACCTTTTGGTTATACAGAAGTCGTTTAAAGTTTTTCAAGACAATTGACCCCTGTGACCTTGAATATGGGCAAGGTGAGCTAATAAATACAACCTGTATACCAGATGTTTACTAATGATGGTGTGCTGTGTAAGGTCAGCCACATGGATGCAACTTATTCCATCTTTGGTTTCAAAACAAAACATTAGAAGTAGTGTAGCCTTCACTTGAAGTGTAAACCAAAATATTAGTTTCATTTAGTCATTGCTTTTGTTGCGCTCAGAAAAATATGTGCGCACTGCACAAATACACAAAATCTCCATGTCCTCCCGCCCCGCTTGGGTTAATTTTCTTTAACTTAGATTTTTTTTATGTCATAATCTGGTCGGAAGTTTGGCATTGGAAAACAAACTAATCCATTTAACTTTATGATTTGCTTGTCATAGAGGAATGCTGCCTACAGAGTGTACCAATGCACATGATCAAACCCCTGATATAATGGCGTTTCCTACCATCCAAATCTTTGGATTTTTTCTCTCTCTGTATATAAGGATTAGGATATCTTATCAGACATGATCAAGAGGCCCAATGGGCCTGCATCGCTCACCTGGTATACATCTCACATGTGTAACCTTAAAAAACATTTCACTCCTGTGACCTTGAAAGTCGAACAAGGTCATTATGTTGAACAAATCTTATAGCCCTTTATCTCAGGATGCAACTTGCAAAACATCACCTACCTATCCTTTTGTTTATTGAAGTTGGATCATTTAAATGTTTGAACATATTTGAGTAAATGTGACCTCGAAAGTGGGTAAAGGTCATTCAAATAAAAAAGCTTGTTGGCCGTCATCGAAGCATGCTACTGGTTAATATCAACATTCTGGGCCTCATGGTTATTCAGAAGAAATCATTTAAAGATTTTAATTACATTTGACCCCTGTGACCTCGACTATAATCAAGGTCATTCACTTGAATAAACTTGGTAGTTCTTAATCCCAGCATGCTACTGACAGATATCAACATTCTAGGCCTTATGGTGATGCAGAAGAAGTTTTTTTTAAAGATTTTAACATATCTGAACCCTGTGACTTTGAATATAATTCAAGATCATTCAATTGAACAAACTTGGTAGCCCTTCATTCTAGCATGCTACTGGCCAAATATCATCATCTTGGGCCTTTTGGTTATTCAGAAGAAGTTGTTTAAAGTTTTTTTTTTTTTAACAATTGACCCCTGTGACCTTGAATATAAGTGAAGGTCGTTCATTTGAACAAACTTGGTAACCCTTCACCCCAACAGGATACTGGTCAAATATCATCTGACCCTGGGCATTTTGGTTATTCAGAAGAAGTTGTATAAAGCTTTTAACATATTTGACCTCTGTGACCTTGAATATTAGTAAAGGCCATTCATTTGAACAAACTTGGTAGCCCTTCATCCTAACATGTTACATGCCAAATATCAATTATCCTTAGTCATTGAAAAGAAGTTGTTTAAAGATTTTTTAAGACAATTGACCCCTGTGACCTTGAAAAATGGATGAAGGTCATTCATTTGAACAAATTTGGTAGCCCTTCATCCCAACATGCTACTGGCCAAACATCATAACCCTAGGCCTCTTAGTTATTCAGAAGAAGTTGTTTAAAGGTTAAAATCATATATGACCCCTGTGACCTTGAATATGAGTCAAGGTCATTCAATTGAACAAACTTTGTAGCCCTTTATTCTAGTATGCTACTACTTGAATATCACTAGGACTTTCAATTTTTGAGAAGAAGTTGTTTAAAGATTTTAAACATATTTCACCATTGTGACCTTGAATATTTGTCAAGGTCATTCATTTAAACAAACTTAGTAGCCCTTCATCCTAGCATGTTACTTGCCAAATATCATAACCCTAGGCCTTTTGGTTATTCAGAAGAAATTGTTTAAAGGCTTTAAACATATTTGACCCATGTGACCTTAAATTTAGGTAAAGGTCATTCATTTAAACAAACTTTGTAGCCCTTGATCCCAGCAAATTACTGACCAAATAGCATTATCCTAGGCCTCTTGGTTATTCAGAAGAACTTGTTTAAATGTTTCAAACATATTTGACCACTGTGACCTTGAATATGTTTCAAGGTCATTCATTTGAACAAACTTGGTAGCCCTTCACCTAGCATGCTACTGGCCTAATATCATTATCCTGGGTCTCTTAGTTATTCAGAAGAAGCTGTTTAAAGATTTTTTAAGACAATTGACCCCTATGACCTTGATAATGGATGAAGGTCATTCATTTGAACAAACTTGGTAGCCCTTCATCCCCGCATGCTACTGGCCAAATATCATCACCCTGGGCATTTTGGTTATTCAGAAGAAGTTGTTTAATGTAAAATATTGACGCCGGCCGGCCAGATGGACGATGGACGCCGCACCATCAAATGTCAAAAATTGTTAAGAGTTTACGGACAATGCACAACAGATGAAAAGCGATTGCAGGCCCCCTGGACATGACCCAAAATTATTTTCTGTTACATTTTATTCCCGGTATTGCAAATAATTCAGAATCATAATCACTGGACCAGGGGTTTATATTGTATTTTGGTGTCGGCAGTAAGTTTCCCTAATTAAGTACATGTTCAAATATTTCATAAAATGTTATATTTGGCTATTAAACTATTTCAACATTTTGCCATAACTTTTGAAAAAATAACAAATCTCAAATAACTTTACGCAACAATCAGCATCTCTACAATTCTAACCTACCTAAAAACTGTTGATCTGTTCAAAAAGATAACTAACCATAGCCACTTTTACAATTTTTCAGTTGAAGTTTGTTGTTTACCTTTTACGTTCATTTGATGTAATTTCCTCTAAGATGTTTTATCTGTTTTTATTGGCCCTATTGACCTCATTAGTGTTGTTAGGCTGTTAAGAATCAAGTAATTAATAATTATAATAACTACATAGTTTGGTACTTGAACTAACATGGGAGATGTAAATTTAAGTCAGTGAATCACCCTGTACTGATATGTTATACTCAGTATCCATATGAATTATAAGGATACATGTACAGGTATCAAAGTCATCTAGTTACCTCCGTTTACCACACTTCATCTGGTGCTGTCTTCAAAGGGAAATAACTCACTATTACAATGTTTTGTGTGTAAGTTTACAAAAAACAGTTAAAGAGTATATTTTTCAGTATCAGTAATTTATTTATCAAAAGAAAAAAATTCATTTTGCTTCCATATAACTATACCATATAAGTTATTATTACATGTTTGTTGCCTTACAATTTACTCTAACCCTTACAGTATGTGAGCTCATCAAAGATCATATTCATTTCATTTCTCTCATCAAGAATATTTGCACTAGTCCCTATGTAAAAGAATAATACCTGTATAGGGATTTGATAAAAAAATAAAGAATAAGTAGAAAGTGTGATTAAGGTGGGACTCCAAATAAATATAATCAATTGTGTTTACAATTAGGTCACCAACATTGTCCAGTCTAAAAAATGCCTCAAATTTACTAACAACTTTTTTTCAAATCTTGCAAAACTGGGTCAAGTGACAATTTGACGCTTCACTTTTACACATATTAACTGTTAAATAAACAATACATTCCAAACTACAATCCTGGCAATTCGGTACAGTGTAATGGTAAAGAAGAGTGTATTGTAAAATGTGATAGTGACTTAGACAAGACTGACAGTATCAGACAAGTACCAGGGCTTCGATGAATAGTTTAATCTAGGTATGTACCGCCATGGTACAACATGATTCAATGTATTCTGTACAACACAACTGTTTCACACATCAACTAGGTCCAGTTCTAAGTCCTCTATGTCACTCAACAATGATGATTTCTTTGCTACTTTTTCCAACTGTTCTTTGGCAGGTTCCTTGATTTCACCTGACTTTATTTTACTTTCGAGATCCTCAATCTGTCTTAATTTCTTCTTCAGATTTCTGATTTTCTTTTCGATTTCAGCTTTATCTTCTATTGGCGCCTCTGATTGGTTCGAGCTTTGTTTCAATGACTCTGATTGGTCCTTTGAGAGTGAGGAATCAGCTAATGACCTGGTCACAGATTCTATATTTCCAGCATGACCTTGCTGTTTCTTCTTTTCTTTCCTTTTAGCATTTTTCTTAGCAGCCTTAGACATTCCTGCGAAGGGGTCAACCTGAGACGTGTCCTTGTCCTTCGGAGTAATATCGTCCGGGTTCATTCCTGGAGGGAGGGATGATTTACTCTTTATCCACTGAACACCACGATTTTCATACCTGCGATTTGACAGTACACAAAACATTATAACCAATTATTATTTCTCTGTTATTAACCCCTTTCACCCCTATGAAACTTTTGTAGACATTACCATGCATTGATATGGATGAGTCCATTATGTCTACAGTGGTGAAAGGGTTAAAGGTAAACCTAACAGAAACAGTATATTTTAGATGCTTACATTGAGAGAATTTCTTAAAATAAGCTCTTGTTAACATATTTCAGAAAAATACACCAAACTGACGAAAATTTCCTTCAGAAAACAATTCAACTGTAACTTTTGTCTGCTTACGTTGGCATTTCCTCCTGTGGTACATAACCATCCTTGACCTTCCTTGGTTTTCGCCAAGTACCATCAGGCCTCTGAGATGCTGGTATATAATACTCACCTGGAAAATAAATTAATTATACTTTTAATATAAACAAAAACTTCATCATCAGTAGCCATTTTAGATAAACTATGGAAATACACTTAACATTCACAAAACTGATTTCACACCAAAAAAGTTCTTCTTTTAGACAGTATACGTACAAGTTTAGGGTTTTCGAGAGTGAGAGTTATTTACAAAATATAAATAGCTCAGAAACCTTGAAATGACATATATTGACATGCATATAGTCTACCTTGAGTATACATGACTACTGGTGTAGCGAGTCTTCATTTTATTCCAGTCTTTCTCATAAATATGACTTTGGGCCACAAACAATACAAAATCAATTTTGTGAAAGTTTACACATATCCTGAAAGTTCCCACTTTGAACATATTTCTCAATTACAATCTGCAATATTATAAGACTTAGAGCATGTTTGGATTAATGAATTATATACTCAATAACAATCTGCGATATCTCAAGAGACTGCATAGGCACACCTATGATATATTTTAAGACTTTTGACCCAAATTACAGTTTATGATATATTATTTTATATAAGATGACTTTACATGGATGATAGTCTATATCTCATGAGCTTTTGGTGGACCATTTTTTGTTGTTTTTGTTTTAACTCAACAGCAGTTTATGCCTGTGTGAGGTTGGAAAATATTTTTCCTCCCCTGTTACATTACTGTTGAAATGGAGAATTAGGTGAAATAAAAGCACATAAAGTTCTTTAACACTTTAAGTGGAAAAGGACATTATATTTTCAACCTGATCCAATAAATAATAAAAGAGGTACAATTGTGCACAAAAATTGTCTATTTTTTTAAAAACTTTTTTCCACAAATGAGCATCATTGTATTCATTGAAAGAATAGGGCCCTCTATCATGATGTTGAAGAAATTTATGCGTTTTATTTCACGTGACTGTCCATATAAATAACAGGTCCAGTACACTCTGCCGATTGAGCTATGTAGCTGTAAAGACATATAACAGCTCTATTGACCTATCTGAAATAGGTCTTTGGAGCTACCCGGTATTTACATGTGATTTTCTTTGATAAGGAAAACGAAACAAATTCGCTTTAGAAAGAAGATTTTATCATTATGTTGATAACAAAAGACATTAAATATAAGTATTCTTTATTTTTTTTTATTAATAATGATGTAAAAAAATCGGAAATTTTACAATTATGAAAAATGAAAAGAAACATCTAAATGTATACTTTTTGTAGTCAACATTACCATAAACCTTATTGTTTTATGCGACTTTGCTTTAATTTAATGAAAATTGAAATCTGAGAAAATAGAGCTCAATACAACTATAATTTATAGGTGAATATAGCTATATAGGTCTTAATAGCTATATAGCTCAATCTACTGAGTGTAGTAAGTGGACCTGAATAATAAGATTGTTAAGGAGCCCACAGCCTGGTCAAGATGAGAAGATGCTTCAACAAATACACATCAAATGAATATTGGTTTTCATTTCACACCTGTCTTTTCATCTCGGATAACACCGTCTCTTTCGATGGATTCCGCAGTAGCCATTATTGCTATTTCAGAGATATACCACCGAACTATATATTCAAACTTTTCATTTAACTCAAAACATTCTACACATGTGTTTATGGAACTCTTCTGGACAAAAAGGAAAAATTATAGAAAATCATTAGAACGTTTTGATTGGAAGGCAATGCTTTACAAGCGTTGTTGAGATCGTGATCCTACCAAGCGGCAGAAAACCTCAGCATGGCGAACGCATCAGAAGATTTCCTTGCTGAAATAGCAAAGATGAAGGTAAATGTTGTAATATTGCATCGCTAATTAAATATTTTCTTTGACCTTGTAATGTTTTGAAAATGTGCGCATGCGGTAGCACACTTTTATTCATCCGGTAATTGGTTTGATTCCATCATTTGATCGATGTTTGTGTCCGCAACTGAAGAACACATCCTTAGATCAGCTGATCATATGTTGGTAAACATATTCTATCAGGCGCAGTGTTGTTGCTTGTATTCTTACACTAATCATTTGATTAATCTGAAATAAATATGACCTTATATGCAACATGTATGCAATACTTTAGTCTGAACAGATAACAAAACGAAAATATATGATTTTGATCTGTTTTGGAATCCATTTTTTATGGTCAGTGAAAGTGGGAAACATTTTAGATGAAACAACTGTAAATTCGAACACTGCAAACCAATTTATTTCACGACGGAAGACGTTGCCTGTGCCCGCAAGGCTAACAAAATCGAGACTAAGTGAAGCCCCCCCCCCCCCCCCCCCCCCCCCCCCCCCCCAATTCTGATACAGATCATCTAGATATATATATAACCTGGTTGCATTTTGGTGCATTTTCACCTGTTAGTGTTACAGACTAAGCTATTATTCTGTAAAAGTTATAGTGGCTATTTGTTTTCCCAGATCCACCATCCAGTTAGTTATTATATAACATGATGCACAACATAACAAACAAATAAAGTGGAAGGTTTTATTACACACGACACTAGCAATATTACAAGCACAGACTAATGCATGACAAAACACATCTCAACAAGGTCCCCTAACAGTACCTCTTGTCACGCTACACGTTCCCATACATGTACGACATAAGACTTGGATGATTTACAGTAACACTACAACAAAACGATACCCACTGACTAACCAATGTAGGATTACTAGCCTAGATCTTCATCCTAGCCCAACTTCTCCGGGCACAAAAAGGTCTCCATAGAGTCTTAAACTTGACAGCCAGCTAACAAACTGATTATTTCCTGCGAAACGCTGGGTATACTCTGGTATGCCCCTCCTACTGACCCCTATATATATACATACCCGTATGCTTGGGTTAAAACCCTGTGGTCAAACCAGTTACACAAAATACTTGTCGCTAAAAGTACATTGACAGGGAATTCCCACCAGATGACTTAAACATGAATAAAATAACTATTCGGAAATGTAAAATGTAAAATTGCTACTATTCAAATACTTTTCCAAGAAGATTGTTACCTGCATACATAATGAAGGGGCTTGCATAAACATTGATAAACCTGGACAAAATGGTTGAACTGACCCATGTAGAGTATTTAATTCAATAATTATACTAGAATCTGATTTAAAACATTCATTTGAGCTTGCATCAAGATGCAAGAGGTTACATATATATATAGTGCCTAATGTTGATGTCATAATGTTTGATTCAGGTCCCAGATTTGAAGAAGGAATGCAAGTCTCGTAACCTACCGACAACTGGTACCAAGAAAGACTTGATTCAAAGGCTTAAAGCTGAGGTTTCTGAGGGTTCAGGTATGTACATATATAGCCATGTTGTACTAATTAAAGATAAAAGCCTTGTTATTTATACATTTTAGAGATGAAATGGTGTTAAATTATCATAATTAGGGCTTGTATCGGTGCCCTATAGTAATCACAAATTTTGTTCCTGGCTGATAACTTTGGTATTTATTGACCGATGTACATGAAACTTTGTCAAGATGTTCAGTTCACAAAAAAACCACATTGAGGTAAAAAGTCAAGGTCAAAGGTCATTAGGTTCGAAGGTCAAGGTCAAATTTTGCATCTTTTCACTGATGAATATTTTGTTATGATATGATGAAGCAAAGTTGATCAGAATTAAACAAGGAGTCAACCTGACCAAATGTCAAGGTCATTGGGTCAAAGGTCAAGGTTAAATTTTGTATCTTTTCACTGGTGAACATTTTGTTATGACATTATGCAGCAATGTTGGTCAGAATTAAACAAGGGGTCAATTGACCAAAGGTCACGGTCAAATTTTGTATCTTTTCCCTGATGAACATTTTGTTATGACTTTATGAAGCAAAGTTTGTCGGAATTTAACAAAGAGTCATCTGACCCAAGGTCACTCGGTCAAAGGTCAAGGTAAAATTAAGTGTTTTTTTTTGCAGGTGAACATTTAATTATAATTATGACACTGTGAAGCAATGTTTGTGGGAATTAAACAAGGAGTCATTTGACCAAAGGGCAAGGTCACTGGGTCAAGGTCAAGTTTTGTATCTTTTCACTGATGAACATTTTGTTATGACATTATGAAGCAAAGTTGGTCCGAATTTAAAAAGGAGTCAACTGACTTAAGGTCAAGGTCATTTTATGTTATTATGTAGCAAACTTGTACAGAACTTAAAACAGAGTCAACTGACCTTAGGTTTAGGTTACAGGGTCCAAAGGGTCAAGGTCAAGTTTTGTATTTTTCACTGATGAACATTTTGTTATGATATTATGAAGCCAAAGTTGGTCGGAATTAAAGAATAAGTCAACTGACCAAAGATCAGGGTTAATGGTCAAGGTCATTTCGGTCCAAAGGTCAAAGACAAAGTGGATCTCTGACTTTGACCCTGGCTCTTGATGAAGGAGGTATATAAGGTGAAATAAAACAAATCAAAACTAACAAATGAGTATTGCACAGGTATTTACATTTCTGTTAGCCCAGCAAATATGGGGGTGGAAGGAAACAAGACTCTCATCATAGTACATGTAAAATGTATATTTTCAAATTGCTTCCTTGCGATTCTTTTTGAAGGTCAAACGTCAAGCTCAGCTATATGGGCAGATTGCTTCTTGATGATTATGGGGGATATATTACCACAAGGCGGGGCCCTTACTGACCTGTCAGTGTTCTAGTTATAAACACTCTTATAATTATAATCCTTTGACATTATCACATTACATATATACAGTATTTTTTTTAGCTCACCTGGCACGAAGGGCCAAGTGAGCGTATGCCGTTGTGCGTCGTCCGTCGTCAATATTTTACTTTTAAACGACTTCTTTTCAATAACCAACAGGCCCAGGTTACTGATATTGAGCCTGTAGCATGCTGGGTTGAAGTGCTACCAAGTTTGTTCAAATGAATGACCTTGACTCACTTTCAATGTCACATGGGTCACATGTTGCAAAATCTTCAAACAACTTCTTATCAAAAACTGAAAGACCCAGGGTACTGATATTGGGCCTGTATCATGCTGGGATGATGGGCTACCAATTTTGTTCAAATGAATGACCTTGACCCACTTTCAAGGTCACAGGGATCACATATGTAAATATCTTATAACGACTTCTCAATAACCAAAAGGCCCAGGGTACTGATATTGGACCTGTAGCATGCTGGGATGAAGAGCTACCAAATTTGTTCAAATGAATGACCTTGACCAATTTTCAAGGTCACAGGGTCCAAATGTCGTAAAAGGCCCAGGGTACTGATATTATGAAAGGCTACCAAATTTGTTCAAATGAATGACCTTGACCCACTTTCAACCTAATGTCCTTGTTCGACATTCAAGGTCACATGCGTCATATGTTTAAATCTTTTAATAGGTTCTTATGAATCAAACACTGATATTCTGCCCGTAGCTGTATTTTAGTCAACTTTTAAGATTACAAGTGTGATATAAATACCAGGTGAGCGATGCAGGCCCGTTGGGCCTCTTGTTAGAATTATTTTCAGCCGAGCCAGGACATCTTTTTCAAAATCTTTGGTGAGTCCCTTTACTAAGAGATGTAATGAGTTCTCATAAAGTTGTTGAGTCCCTTGACTAAGAGATGTAATGAGTTCTCATAAAGGTGGTTCTGTCCATCTGTCCATTACATGTTAAGAAGAATTGCTCAGTCCATATCTTGAACACTATTGATGAACATGGATTGTATGAGCTTCAATTATGCAGCGGGGAATGTCCTTCTGAATGCTGTATTTGACCTACTTTCTGTGCTTCAACGACTTGGTTATTTTTATGCATGTATGTGACATGTGTTTCAAGAGTTAAGATTTCAATATACCATAACTGACACACTCACCTTTCGTCAAGCTTGAGGCAGTCAGGGTTTGACAAGCTAGAGTAGTTGTGTAAAGATATGGGGGCTCCTTCCCAGCAATGTCAATTATATCCGGGTATCCAGTTTCTTCTCAAATGAAATCCCCCCTTCTGGCTGCAAACTGACTTCTATCCAAGCCAACACAGGTGTGTTTTTTTTTAAATATAAACTTCATTTGAAAATGTTTTTTGCATAATATTTTTGAAATAAATCAAGTTGAATTATGATATTGACTAAGATCGAGTACTTGTGTATTGCAGGTGAGGACAAGGTAGAGGAGGACGTTGCTGATGTGGCTGATGATTCTGTGGAGGATGCAGTATGTTGTTCTTATGTTTCAATGCTTAGGTTATATATGTGAATAATTTGAAAATATTTCAATTATAATTTGAGAATCGGTTGATTGAGCCCACTGATAACAATAATAAATTACAGATTGACTCAATTCATACACAAGAAAAGCCGAAAACTAAGTGAAAATTATAATATCATAATATGGTTTAGAAAATGCTAAAAATAGTAGAGTTAAAATTCTGATATATGATTGTAATAAGTTCTTAAAAAATGTTAATTTGCAATAACTACATGTATACAAATAAACTATGGTTGTTTTTGCCTTATAGCTTGAACTTTACATTTTACCACATTGATATCCGCAGTGAAGTGATCATAAGTCATTTCTGACTTTATTTTACTGGTACAAACAACACAAGTCTAGGTATAAATAAGATGGTGTAGATGGTTGATGTTGAGGTGTTTGGTGAATCTCTGAATTACTATAGATATATTTTGTTGTTTATACAGCTTGATCAGGTCTTAGGAGAAGATGACACAGCCCCGAAGGAAAGGTAACTCTCTCTGAAATTGTGTACTATATGGAGACATTTATTAAATCACATGATTGCTCATGTGAGCTTTTGCCATCCGTCATCGTCTTTTAAACAGTTGCACATTTCGACTTCTTCAGAATTACTTGTGCTATTGACTTCAAACTTGGTGTAAGTATTCCTTATAATGTCCTGACAAAGTGTTGTTATTTTTCATGCCAATCAAAAAATTCAAGATGGCCACCCTGGCATCTGATTGGCTGGGACATTTTCGACTTCCTCTGTAGAAAGTCTCAAGCAAATGACTCTTAACTTGGTACAATTATTCCATTTGATTTCAAGAACCAGTGTTCTTACTTTTGATGCCAATCCAAAAATTCAAGATTGTAATCCTTGCCTCTGATGATTTGTTGAGACAATTTTAACTTGTTCTCAAGAATGACTGCACTGAATGACCTTGCAAATATTTGATAATTGAAAACCTGGATCATTTAACTCAATTGAGTGCCATATAAATGGTTTAGACATTCTCAACTTTTTTGAACTCATGTGATCGTTAAGGCACTTTGAGCATCTTGTTACTGGTACTTTTGAAAGATAGTTAAGTCACCTAATCTTCAGCTGTTTATGACAAAGTACTGTCAGCAATCAGTTTGAATGTTCTCATTATTAAAGACAGAATCTTTACTCTGGGCCTGTTTTTGCATAACAAACGGTTTGTCTGGTTTTAAATGTAACGTTTTCAGGTATAAATCCTGGTGGACATGCGATTGTGTTTATATGTAATGTTTATAAAATGTTTAATTTATTCAAACAATCCATAGATTTTATAAAATATTTCTATCTTTGTGCAAAAGTTTATAATTCTTTTTAAAAGAATTGACAAGATTTTTACACAAGTTAAAATATGTCATCAGTTAAGTCAGTTTCTGACTTTCTGTGGGGTGCTCTATAAATCTAAACCTAGGTTTTTGAAAATATTCAAAATCTTGGTTGTGCTTTTTGGAAATTTTCTTGAAGTTGACATGAATTTACTAAAAAAATATATGTGAGATAATTTTCTGATTTGCAGTGTCACTGTCAGCAAAATAAAGGAACAAATCACTGCTCCAGACTCTGATGATAAACCCGTGTCAACAAAAGCTATCGATGAAAATGATGTAAGTCAAGCTGATCTCCCAATGATGTCACAGTGACACTCTAATGTTGATAAGCCATATTTTGATTATCAATCTTTCTTATTCAGCAAGCTAAGGCAATGTGAATTTTGCTAAATACACAATCAGAATCAAACACATAACTAGATATTGAAGCCCTATGTTTTGTTATCATTAACTAAGTTGTGTTAGAAATTTTAAATGCCGACTTAATCATGTCATTTCATGATTTACACTTGTTTTATGTAAATGGTATCACTGCATCAGAAATTACTGTGAAGAAAAAATCCTCTCATATGTCCATGGTTGTTGCGAGGATGTTAAACGGTAAACCCCTAACAAACAGATTGATCCACTCGGAGGTTCATGCCACCCCATTCTACAAAACAATTTTTTGCATGTTGATAAAGAGGTGATTATTTTGCATCCCTAACGAACATTTATTACATTTGATCCAGAGATTGAAGATGAGAGTACAGAAATTTGGTGCAGTCAACCCGGAAGTAAAGAAACAGCTAAGGGCTGAGAGGTATTGTTGATTCTGTGAACGAGACAGACATTGCCTACAACTAATAGCATGTGTTGTGCATTGTTTGGCATATAATACTTTTGAACTTTCCACCATTCTGACAGCAATAAAACCACTCTTTTTACAAAAATAGAAAACAGCAAAACTTTGATTGAAAGATATTTCCAATTCTGCAAATATTTTCAGTATTGATATTCAAAGCAGATATGGGCATCCAGAAGAACTATCAGAAGTGTTTTGGTATTAATTTTAAGTGATTCAGTAATCGACACAGAAATCCAGGAGTTTTATAATTTTTATCTAAAAAAGAATTTGAACGCAGTTATAGGAATCGAGGTGAATCATTATTTTGATCTATAAAATTTGAATGCAGTCAGAGGAATCAAGATGTTTCATAACTTTGATTTATAAAATTGGCTGTTGAAGATCGTGATGAACTTGACATCAAAACAACAACAGACACATAAAATTGAAAGTACATTGTACATGTACATATTCTGTATGAACATTTGGGATGTTGTGATTTTTTAATGGCTATCTTCACATTAGGGTGATTTAACAGCTGCAGTATCACGATTCCTGTTACTTGTTTCAGAGAATTCCTGTTACTTGTTTCAGAGAATTCCTGTTACTTGTTTCAGAAAATACCTGTTACTGGTTTCAGAGAAAATAAGATCTGATATAACAGAACCCCCCTGTTCATTACCCACTCCCATCCTTAATTGTGCTATATAGTAGTACATTTATGCACATATTTGTTAATATGTAGCATCTTATAATATCTCAAAATCTCTAAATGTTTGTCAGACTTATGTCCACTTAAATGATATAAATTGAAACTTTCCAACAATAGATATTTTGTAACTCAAAGCCTCAAAAACGTAATGTCATTTTTTAATCACAAGTATATATATACATTTTATATCAGTTCCCGTGATGAACCTCTAAAGAGGAAAAAATGCTAGGAAATCCGAAGAAACTGTTGTCTCTTGTTTTATATATATATATATATATATATATATACATGTGTCAGGTCTTTAAAAGAAATGTAAAAGCATTATTGTTATGCAAATTCAGGAAAAAATACCAATTTACAGTGCAATTATTTCACCTAGGTTTGGAACAAGCGAGGTAACTGCCAAAGGAGGAGATAAAATATCGCCTGCACCGGTAAGTCTATCATCCAGGCTGACAATCATTGGATTCAATTACAGTCATTATAGCTATATTTCATTTCTAAAGCTTTGTTATTATTTGAGATTGAACTTGATCATTTTCCAGTTTTTAAAAGAGTACCCATGGCCAGTTATTCTATGATAGTGAAGGGGAAGTTTAAACATGCTACCTTACAAAACTATTTATTGTAGATTTCAAGGTAAGATTTATCTGTTATGTGGCTGTATTATAAACAGACTTATTGTGTTTATCTAGGCTGCAGACATGGACAAACTGAAGAAGCGAGCAGAGAGATTTGGAACGGTCACATCAACAGTTCTCACCAAGGTTATCATCTATTTCTGATTACCACAAAAGTGTTAAATAAAAGGAGATGCAGGGAATTCAGCATTGGAAATACATCTTTTTTTTTACAGTCTATTTATATTTTATTCCTTATTAATGTGAACAATATTCATTTATTGGGTAGCTTGACAAAGGGAACAGTCTGTTTTGAAACATTGCAACACATACTATGTACATTGTTATTGTGTAAAGGAAAATTTGATGTTATACGTATACATTTATTGTGTTTTGAAGTGAAAAAAATAACAGGGATCTCTCAGTTGTTATTATGGTATATGTACTAGTAGAATTTATATTACCTGTTGTCTGTATTACAGGTGGATGAGACCCAGAAGTTAAAGAAGCGAGCTGAGAGATTTGGTGCAATCACCTCGACCAGTCTGTCTAATGTAAGGGGGAGTGGCCTATTAATGACATTGGTTATTGTTAAACATTTGTTTACTTCATAGCCTAATTCAGGGAAACAACAACTTAGATGATTAAATTCACTGATCTCCATAGTGGTAACTTGTATGTGATTAGAGCACAGGTCCTAATTTCATGAAAGTGAAAACTGATATGATCTTATTTTTGTTTCGGTGATTTAACACAGTGTGACTTCACAAAAATAGTTTTTATTGTGAGACGAGTTATATAATGTGGAAGTATTTGTAAATGTCGAAGACGTTTGTAGTGTCCTAAACATAGCAGTGTACCTTTATTGTTAAACTTTTGGAAAATTTGAAATTTATCCACCTGTTGATTCCTACAATGAAGGTGACAGATGCAATGCTTTATTTAATTAAAAGAAAAAAATGGAAATTAGATTGGTACTATGTTCTTGCTCTGGTTTTACAAAACATCATGATTAGGATTTTTCTCTCCTAATTTCTCATAAGGAAGGCATTGTAAAGTAAGGAGAAAATCTGTGGTCAAGGCAGCCAGTGTTTGATTCCCTGAGCGGACGTGAAAAAAGAAATGGGGTCACCGGCCCGATCACATGGGTTTTCTCCGGGTACTCTGGTTTCCTCCCATATTAAGACACCTCCCACCCTCTAAAATCCGGGCCAAAAAATGTGATTAGTATAAGTTGTAAAAACTTGTTTCATAATTGTTCTAAAATAAATAAAGGTTATATTATAAGGAGCTTGTTTCATAATTGTTCTAAGATAAATAAAGGTTATATAATAAGGAGAAAATCTTCGTTCACACTAAATAGGAAGGTTTGTGAAGCCGGATCCATCAGCTCTACTAGTGGTATTACAAAGCCAAGGTCACTAACAACATTTCAATCCCAGTGTATATGTATGTCTGGGTTTGGCTTAAGGCTTTCAGCAAATTGTATAATTCCTAAAAGTTAGCATATAGTAAATATCTAAGATTTTACAAAAAGTGTCATTTGGGGAAGTGACAGTTAATTGAAGTATCAGTTGATAAGAATTCAATCCCTATTCCATATCCTTGCTTTATGAATACATGTATTATTAAATTTCATAGGCAATATGTACAAATACAAATTTTTGTTACATTTTTGCCAGTGAAATCTCGGATTCTATCTACGTGATGAAACCAAAATCTTTCACTCTGTGACATATATCAGAAGTGATATTTGCACACTGAAAATATCGCTTTTTGGTATTGACCAATCATAACGGTATCTCCTATTCGCTGCATTCAAAGGCAACAGTGTTTTGTTTAGATTCAAATGAAGCGACGGTAGAATAAGTGGTCGTTATGGCAAATGTTTGGTACACACACTTAAGTATTTTCATAAATATACAATTAATATTGCTGCGCACTCGTGAAAAAATATCAAAATATTAGCCACACTTGTGAAATATATTTGTTATTACTGAAGACACCATTAAATATCCTCTATATTTACAAGAATAATTTACCTACTGATAAATGTCACTGATGAATGTTTACAGACGGAGAATCAAGGCAAATTACTGAAGAGGAAAGAAAGATTTGGCGTAACCACAAGTGCTGTAGATGCATCAGAGGTTGATGTAAGTTTGAAACTATAAGACAGATTGTATTAAAAACGAAAATGGACAATCCTCTTGATTAATTCATTCAGAAAGTTTGGAAATCATATGAAAGGAGGTCAAGTAAATTGTACACAATACAGATCCATTGATCAAATGTCATGTTACCCGTGACAAATATTGTTAAAAAGTAAAGTGTGTCCTCGTACCAATTGAGACAGAGCCACTAAAATATCATCTGATACTATGTCTCACTCTTCTACTGATCCCATTTACTTCAGGCCAAGAAAAAGAAGCGTGCAGAACGGTTTGGGTTGACGTGAAGTTCGGCAGTGTTTCATTAACATTTCACTTCATCTTATCAAAATCAGGTCATTCATCCCACTCCACACGACGGACTTCAAGGAGACCTATGTCATCATTTTGCCTAAATATTCATACAGTTTTGTTTATAATGTTATTTGCCAATATAAAAACAGATAAATACATAATTGATACAGTAAGCAGAATTTTTCATGCTTTGGTAGTTTAGCATGGAAATAATTGAACATAGTTGTTGTTGATAAAAGAATTTGGTTGGCAATTATTTTACAAAATCTTTCATTGTGTGTATAAAAAATGAATTTGAATAGTCTCGACATAAAATAAGTGTGATAACCGATTATGATGGATAAGAAGCTGAAGCGTGATTCAAGATGTAGTGTGATTAGATTTTCATTGATATTTGATGTTTTATGTCATGGCAGAGATTAATTAATGAATTAATCTGTTGTCATTGTACAATGTGATGGGGGCACTTAATGTATTTTATTTTAGTTAAGAATTTGCACAAATAGAAATTGACTGGTCTATTATATGGTTGATTTCTAAACTTCAAAATTTCAACCAGTACTATTGACCTTTGTATTGTGTGCAGCACATTTGCATTTGGGTGATGAGATTTTCTAAAAAGTGTTTTATCAAAATAATGTAAAAGACGATATTAATTTGATGCCTTCTCCATTATTCAGCTGTAAATGGATATTAAACGGATCTTCTCTTTTTCTCAGTATATTCATGGTCATAAAGTTTGCTGGGTATTTAATTTCATGCTATCTTTGGTAACTGTAAATAAAGCAAAATTTGATTCCCTTCAAAAGTTACCAACTATACATTACAACTCCCATGCTTGACTAAAAAGGGTAAGTGATTCTGGGGTTTATCAGAGTTGGAGTAGGGTTAGGGAGCCGAGGGCAAGTTAAGGGTTGATAACATGAAAGTTTATCTATGTGTGTGACCAGAGATTCTGTTGTAAGAGTGGTTGGGTGGCTGGCTGTGCGTGCATGGGCACAAGTTGTAAGGAGGGCAGGTTTTATTGAGTACACCACTTTATAATTAGCACTAGTATAGATATTTCCATGCAGCCTTATCGTTTTTAGCTGTAATAGATTTTATGTTTATGTCGAATCTAGTCCCTAGATTTTCTTAACCTTAAAGACATGAAATTATTGACTTAATATTTTTCATAAATCATGTGAAATGTATGTGGTTAAATCATGCTTGAAGAAATTTTCGCAAATTAATTGTATTAAGAAATAAAAGTTGTTTTCCGTTAAAACCCTCCCAGACATACTAGATATTTTTAATAGAGCACAAATGTTCTTATCTGTATAAGATATGTTCTTACAGATTTCAGGCTGTTTTTACCTATTTTAGGTTTTCATAACATAACCAACATGCATATGTTTTGTCATTTTCAAGGCACCACAGTAGCAAAAGTTTTGTAATAAAATCAGATAAGATCACGTAACGTAATGTATAAACTTTGAGCAATTGCTTTGCAATGTTAGTACATTATAGTGTTAATGTGTGATTTCACATTGATTTTTTTTGTTACCATTAATGCAGATTTAATTAACCTTTAAATTGACTGAAAAATATCTTATTATCACATTGATTTGTGTGTTGCTATTTGATTGAAATGAGCTTGGGGGCCTGTTTCTAGCCATATTCTATTGTCTGACCATTAACATTTCATGACATCAGGGACCTAATTTTAATGATAGGGACATGCATATTCCACAGTAGTCATGGTAACATGCATGCTGTTTGCATGTGTATTTTTGTGGCAGTTTAAATTTTTGCAGGTTTCGTTGTAAAATGAATCCACAAGTTCAGTATGAGAATGAGCTTTTCTAATCATTTACATCATCGGACCTAATTTAATATAAATTGCAAATTCATTAAGGTGTGAATGTGTATTTTTTTACATAATATAAAAAAACAAAGCAAAATATTGTGGTAAACCAATACTGTAAACATTATGTGGTTAAGGAGTCCCAGCACACTGAATTGTAACTCTGACAAAAAAAAGAGTTCCAATTGTTTTACTTTTTCTGACTTGAGGTTTACTGCCGATTTACTATACAAAAGTGTTCAGCACAAAAGAAGTATAATTATGATTTCCTTTTTCTAAAACAAATATCGAAGCCAGAGGGATTCCACCCAAAGACCTCTTAATTATCAAGGGAGGATTGTGTCCATAGCCTCTATCTATTATAGGAATACTTTACTGCAACATTACTCAAAACATAACTTCAAAATGGTATAACACACTTAAAATCCGGAAGACCTGCATGTAGAAGGAGCGTCATGGGGCTCTCAACCTTAACGTTAGTATTGAGAAAGGGATCAAATTTTGTTGTTATGTGCAAAGTTTGATTTTTTTTCATGCAAGCAGTGAAAGAATTTACTTTTCTAACAGCTATGTTGAAGAAGTGTTGGCAACAAATACTTCTGAATACATTTATGTAATGTTTTATTAAATAAATCTGTTTATAATCCACTGGATGTTTGTGATTTAATATTCAATACATAAATCAGACAAATATATAGTTACCATACGGTGATACCGTACCACATTGTTCCTCCTTCAAATTCAGTGTTCAAAATAATTTACATTATCAACTTCTTCTCAAGAACCAGTGGATGAAATTTTCTTCAAACTTGGTTAGAATCATCCTTGGTATATGAGGCTACCAAATTGTAAAATTGGGATTCCTACCCCAACCATAGGGGCCAGGGCGGGGCCCAAAAGGGAAAATTAACCAATATTTCAAAAATCTTCTTCTCCAGACTCAGAGGTACTACAGTCATTTTCTCTGCATGGATGCAAAGGTCATCAGGGGCTTTATTTAAATTGTAAATTTCAGGACCCCCGAGCTATCCGTTCTCCCTTGGGGAGGGGGTAAAGTTTACTATAGTTTATATAAGGAAATAACACTTTTGGGTATATATTTTATCCATTTTCAGCAGAAAATTACTCAAACTTAGTCAGAATCATCTTTGGTAAATGAGAGTATTACTTTGTAAAATTGGGATTCCTGCCCCATCCCCAGGGGCTAGGGCGGGGCCCCAAAGGGAACATTTACCAATATTTTCAAATTCTTATCCTTTGATGACATGACAAGTATTGTATTTCACTTAGTTTACATGCTGATTTCCACATCACATCTAAACAATAAAATAAAGCTATCAGTACCTATGATATAACTCGGGTGACGGCTAAGGCCCCTGTGCCTCTTGTTCCTGTTTTTAGCTCACCTGGTCCGAAGGTTTACTAATACCCTGCTCCTATATGATTTATATAGGAGCAGGGTATTAGTTAGCCTTTGGCTAACAGTTCTAGTTATTAAAGGTTGTGAGGTCGCGTCACCGAGCGTTTCGAACTCCCTCCCCTGAAATAAGAGTGTCTGCCCCTTATTAATAAGTAGCTAAGTAGGAAACATACAAAATTTGTTTAGTCATTGTCTTTTGATAGTCACACCATACATGTCCGAGCTGAATGAAATATATGTGATATTAACGTAATCCGTATCATTCCAGTTTATAAATGAACGTAATCCAGGGTCGTTATCCGTATCAGCATATATATATCAACTGTATAATTTGATAAAAATATCGCTAACACTTGTGTTAAGTTCAGACTTCAATGTTGTTTTGTTGATGGGTCATTGGCCAAGACATGTGTTGTGTAAAAGTGATTTAATTAAATAATTACATTCAAATCTCCACGAAGCTGTATGTAAACTGAAGTCGGTATATATATATGATAATTCAGTCAAAACCAATTCAATTTAAAAGAATAAATATTGATATAGCAGCTTAAGACATACTTATGGTATAAAGACTGAGTTACAATGGCAAGTTTTCAGTATTTATACAAGAAAGCACATAAATACCTCTCACGTTCTTCCATCATGGGAGCATCTTACTCTGCCGTAAGCCGTATTTGGCGCAAAACCAACGTTTTGCTCCGACGTAATCCAAACAGCGAGTATTACTCTGACGTAAGCGAAATAGCGAGTATCGGGATTACCCCCGTGGTACATGTACTTGATAAATAGAAAGGCCACAGGGCGATACGTATTGCTGGGCGATACGTATTGCTGGGCGGTAAGATATTATTTACTTGTGGGACATAATTTTTTTAATTTTTTCATTATGCTCATATATATGCCTCGTAATTATGTTGTCACTAACCCTATTCTTAATATGAGGCCGCGAACCCTTGCAGAATAAGTGGACTTATTCACCCTGTATTTGTTCATCTCCCTGTATATCTTACCTTAATTCCACTTCTTTTTAGTTGGAGCTATTGTATTATTCCCATTTCGGTGTTCTCTCGGTTCTTTTAACTGTATACATGTTGGTTATAACGACTGGACTTTGGGGAGAGAAAAGAAGTAAAGCACGAGAGATAAGTTAGACCTGTTCTTATAACATTTTAACGGCTAAATCGTCATTAATAAGGATATGTAGCTATTGCGGATAAAGAATTGAAATGCAATTTCAAGTGGAGAGGCACACTCGTATATTTTTTTCAATATTTTTTTTTTCAATATTTTTATTTTCAAATTACTTTTACTACCTTGTTTTCTTAATTGGGTGACAAAGGAGTGTTCAGAGACAGTCGTCGAAGGAATGTAATTGTGACTATTCTTACTTTCCGATGACTGTAGACTAGAGTGAGAGGTATATCCACACTTTTAAGATAATTAGCCATCAGAGTTGGCCAGAAGGGCTGATTTAGAGCAATGTTTGAGTCGGTTTTGAACGTTGTGAAACATAAACCCCCACAAGGAATGCTTAACGATAAGTTGCTTCTAAGTAGAGCTATTTTTTGAATGAAGATGACTAAAAATTAGAGATTGTCAGGATGGCCAAATCAGACCGCCTGACTTACTTAAAAGGTGGATTATTTGTGTGTGAAAATTATGACGAACATAAGCCAATATTCTCAATCTCAGGAGGCTTTTAGACCATATTGATGGCTCATTAATTTCACTAAACAATCCTATGCAAAATTGTGGCAAATCTATATTGTACTTCAGATTAACTTGACACAGTTTTATTTTTCCATGCTTAACCTTACACGAAAGGTAGACATTACTGTTAATCTTCAAAAATTCTCTGAACAAATTCTGGATCCACCCCCTGGTCAGGTCTATAGAAAATATAATAAAAATTGCTGAGCATGGAAAAAAGAATGACAAATAAAAATGACAGTTAAATATTATATAAAATAATAAACTTTTTTACAATGAAAACGATCAAAAAATTAAACTGATGATTTTTTTTTTTTTTTTTTAGACATTCTCCAAATACAGGATTACGCATAAAAAATCAAAATTTCCTTAACGTAGATCTAGACTCCCCTTCTAATTGAAGTCACATGTCCTCCACACCAAGTCACTTTCCTCATAGGCTGTTGTATTTTGCGACAGTACATGGGGTCCTCTATATTGTCATTGAGCCTGTTATTGATATGTCCTTGAATCTCTCTCTCTACCTGTCTTATGTAGGTAGGTGTAACGGATCAGAGTACAAACAATATTAATCTGTAAAATGCCATGTCGATTTAAACTGACGACGCGTCATGATTAGTCCCCGATTACTATAACAATATGATGAAAATACCCTGACAGTTTCTGATTGGAAAACATTTAAGTATCTAAGTTTTGTAACCTGTAACACCATCATTGGTCGGGAAGTTTAATTACTCATATTGATATCTAAATCGAGAAGTGTCATAGGTAATGCCTACTGTCCCCTTTTATTGTATAGAATGACACATTGCTAGTCCGACCAATATGCCATTTAATTTCCATTTTACGGTAGACCCCTTACCGAAACTTAATATATACACAATGTTTAATATAATCGGAATTATATGGGAATACAAAGGAAGAAAGACAACTCTATAATACTGTCATGGATTCATACATAACGGTATATCATATTGTCTGTACACTTCCGTGTTGGATAAAGTGTCAAAGTTTACTATCGACGCTCTTACATTATAGTCAAGTCAAGTTATTATAGTGTCATATATCACAATTACATCGTACACGTATATAGTTACATAGCAGAGATCAATCATCTTAATGTACATATATATGGTTGTCTATTCTATTTCGGGTGAACACACTTTCGATCGATACATTTTTTTGTTATACGAGGCATAAAGTTCTTTTTCCGGAAGCGGTTAACTTTGCATAGCTAAATCATGTATCATCTGTGCATTGAATAAGTTTTGGATGATTTAGTGCTTGTTTAAACAGATTTTATTTTGGTATGGATTTGATATAATCAAAATGAATTGCACAAGATTGTATTTGATTTCATCAAAATTAATAACACGTAATCACAACTACCACTTATAAAAGCATTCTCTTCTCCATGTTTTATGTATGGCTGTAGATGTTTTTAAAAACTATTTTCCAGTAATGTCTTGTCTTCCTCCACAATACATTACTGACCTGGTGAAGATACAGAATTAGGATAAACATTTCAGACATGGAAACATATTTAGTATTCCTCAGGTTAGAACCATCGGGTACGGTAAGAAATATTATCGTTTCGAGGCCGCCGGGATGTGGAACAGTTACAGAATGAACCTGTGATTGTTCTAATATCAATGATAATAATAAAATACGACATTTGATATAGCGCCCTATCTAGCTAGAATAAGCCACCTGTGTTGTTGGAGTGGTATGGGAAGGAGAAAAACATTGGTAAATGGTTTACCTGTGTGGCTACATCTGCACATTTTACTCTTACGCATGTAATGCTTACTTTCATTTTATTGGTATTTATTCTTTCATTTTTAGTGTTCTTTCATTACATTATATTCCGTCTTTGCGTATTGCAGAGTTATCTTCTCTTGGGAACAGGTATTGATTGTTACGTCATTGGTTTGTGTGAGAAAATTACGTCGTTTTCTCAAAAATTGATGACGTTACTCTCACAAACAAATGACGTAACAATCAATACCTGTTCTCAAGAGAAGATAACTCTGCAATACGCAAAGACGGAATACTGCTACTTATATATCTTTATTCGTTTTCTTTGTTGTTTTTAATAATGATATATTAGCATGTATTCTGTCAATTTTTGTTTTTGCCATATTGGCATAGATATCAATATAGATATTACTCAGGTCCCTTATTATAATATTTAACTTGCTGCACGTTTGCTTGACCCTTAGCGCTAAGTTCTTTAATTTGCTATCTTTGATTGTAATGCTAGCTGTGGTATATATATCGTTGTGTTTTATTATGTATCATTGTTAGATTCAGATAGCAGCATTAAGACTAGTACCGACACATACTGAGAACGTCCCTTTAAACACATGATAATTGAAAGTGAAGTTCGTTTATTTATTGCCGATCAATTAACAGGGTCGGTTCAGGATAAGGCTTGAACTAAGCTAGCTGTCATAAAATACGGTCCGCTGACTAAATATCGGAAAGGTCACGTATATGTGTTCTGTGCCGTGTGTTTGGTTACCAAGCGTGAGATTTTACCATTCGAAACCCTCATTAACTTGTTAATAATTTAAGCTTCTTATTGTCACCCAACTTAACTTCACTTACAGGACCGGCTGTTGTAATGTTTAAATGTAAACTCGTCTTATGTTTGTATTATCCGCGGAATAAAGATTATCCGACAAAAGGCTTTATTCAGTGTGTGTAGGTTAGGGTGGCTCTATATACCTGTAACCCTATCACAGTGTATACCTACCTAGGTATAAACAACGAGAATGTGTTATTCATCAAAGGATGTGTATGTGGATTCACAATAATAGACGTTTTGTGGACCCGGGCAACCCCTCAATGCAGATACAGTTCTGCAATCAACTTTCATTACTTGACTGTCATCACAGTTGGTATTTTATTGGTGTTATTTTAAAACATGGAATTTTTTAAGGAATATTAACTTCGAGTGTGGCAAGGACGTGGGTAGTATCGTGTGTACAGAAGGACTACTCAAAGACAGGTATGGCTTTCTGAGTAGACGTGAAGCTAAAGAAACAGTTATTTTATGGATGATACGTTACAATCAAGCTTGCATACGTTTAGGGAAGGACTTTATAACACGTTGAACCTAAAGCCATGGACAGGATATACTTTCAGTGGTGATTTTGGATACACAATGTATGGTATATTTGTACATAAATATACCATCACATGGTACAGTATTTGTGTGAATTGAGACGAAAATAGTTCAGATTAAACAGTAAATGGAACAGCTGTGAGAAGCTTAGCTGTATCCAAAACAATGGCATACTGGGCAATTCCTCGCCGTCAACGGTGATCTAGTGACGTCAACAACGTATTCCTACGTGGGACGGTTCGTATGAACGTGGGCAGTTTGGTAGACGGGTCGGGCAACAATCTGTGTGACCATGTGATCTGTGTGACCATGTGATATGGGGTGCAATCAAAGCGATACGTCCTACACCGGGGGCCGGTCCCTCAGGCTCATCATGGCGGGGCTCGACGGCTCAGGTACACGTTCCTTACATATCACTAGATACATATGACAACGCCGATTATAACAGCTAAGGTCATCTAAGGACGTGCCTCCATGCATGTAGTCTATGCGTGCTTGCGTGTGTGTATGCAGGAGACAGGGTATGTTGGTGTGCTTGCCTCCTTGTTATAGCGCGGATCTGATGCCAACTTTATAGTGCTATCTCACTGAAATACCATGCCAAAGGCACTAAGCACAGCATTCCACCCGGTCACATTATACTGACAATGGGTGAACCAGTTGTTGCCATTCCCCTTAATGCTGAATGTTAAGCAGGGAATAACAACTACCATTTATAAGGACTCTGGTATGTCCCAGCCTGGGAACAGTTTATTATTGTGTCACATGTAAAAGGTACAAGTATTACAATCTCTAAAATATGAACAAAACCCATTGCCTTCCTTAACTGGTCGAACGCTCAAAATTCAAGCCAACAGTGAGGTGTTGACAAGCAAGGCGCTAGGAAATAAAAGGTAGTTAGAAGTAAAAAAAATCCCAAATATTGCAATGGGGCAGCAAATTTATTCTATTCACTTTTGTGTCTCCAAATAAAGGACACCAACGCAAATCCCCAATTCTTTAGGGGTTCCCACACTAGTCGCCTCCTACAATACATGCAGGGGGTAACAGCAGGTGTATTCTTTTCCTGACCCCCCACCTGCAGGGGTGATAACTGATACATTACTACAATGTCTGGTGTAACTTATTTAGTAGTACAATATGCTATGACTTAAAACACCTCTATATTATATAATTGGTAATACCACATTGTTCGTATTGGTGTTAAGAGATCGCCCAAGTGAGGAAGGCAATTGAGTCTGTCCTTGGCCAGGACATACCAAAGTCCTCAAAAATGGTGGTTGTTATGTCCCACTTAAAGTTCGTCACCCGTTGTCAGTATAATGTGATAGGGCGGAATATTATGCTGGATGCATTTGGCATGGTATTTTAGTGAGGTAGCTCTCTAAATTCGGCGTCAGACCCGCGCTACTGTAAGGAGGCAAATACACCAACATACCTTGTATTCAGCATGCATGCACACATGCACGCAAACATTACATTTATGGAATATATGGAGGCACTTCCTTAAATGACCTTGGCTGTTAAGACGTTTAACAAAATAAAAATAAAACCAATTAAATGTGATTGGTAATTTCATACTGTCATTATAACAAATGTCCGCGAGTTGAACGTTGCCATTTTCACCATGTTAATATCACTATTTATTTTTTACTTTCAAGAACTATCATTAAAATAAATATATCCAAGTCGGTTGTTAAATTTCAATCTGAATCACTACTTGTTGGTCATCATTTGTCTGTTGGTCGTGTGTACAAGTCCTACTAGAGCTGGTGTCCATCTGATACAGCATTGTTATACATAAACATCGTTAATATTTTCATCTGAACAGGACGTACTCGCGATTTCAATTTATTTATTAGGTAGTTTTATTGGTAAATTCTTTCATACAGCTTTAAACATATTTATTGAATAATAAAAAGTAATTTAAGTATTAATACACATTGGTGTTGCTTAGACAATTTCTATATCGTAATGTCTATATAGGGACTTTGTCCACCTTAGCTCCATTGAACTTTTAAGACCAGCATTGGATGATTATACAGAAAATTAACACCCTGGAGAATATTGCTTTCGGTTCCTCAATACAAAAGGGTTGATTACAAAGGAAAGTTTTCTCTTTCGATACAATACTGTACTGGACTTTAAGGTAGGAGTTATCCTTCTTTGTGCCTACTCTTGCCTCAGTCAATGGAAACCATAACTATACTGTCACGTATTTATCCCCCCAGGTAAAACGACTATTCTGTATCAACTTCTGCATCGAAACTTTTTCACCACCACCCAGACCCTTGGATTTAACGTGGAGACAATCCAGCATCGTGGTGATGAGCTCACCGTCTGGGACATGGGCGGGCACAAGTCCATCCGGGGACTGTGGAAACACTATCTCTTCCAGGCCCAAGGTAGCTAAATCAAAGTAAAGTGAAAAGGGGTCAGCTTAGTGATTGAAAGTACGCTATTGAAGAAAAGTTGAACTAGTTAATGAAAAAGTACATATTCAGCCTAGTTAAGACATGAATGTCTAAACATTTTCTGTATATTTTGGTGAGTGTAGAACTGCACACAGGGTAATATATAGCTCAAACAGTAAATTATTTATGTATGACGTTTCAATGTTTGTCTGATGTATGTGACAAGAGCACATGTCGTACAAGTCATCGGAACGTCTCACAGAGACACTTCACTGGTTGTGCTATATGAACCCATACAAATGTACATGTATCTCAAATGTGTGCGAGGGATAATCTTGTGAAGATTTTTTTGGCGAGTTTATTTCTCTAAGAAACACAACAGACACTTTGGTTTTACTCTGTTTTCTATATCTCAATAAAGATAGATATAGTTAGATCCGACTATTTTACTGGAATGCATCCCTTCGGAACACCTTGGCAATCAGATTACAGTAGTCTGGAACATAAGTAAACCTTAGCCTGGCGGAATGGCGACGAAAATTCACAGGAATGTTGCATTTTTTTGTAATCCGTCAGTTGCTTTAGGTTGTATAAGTATTTCGGGAAATTGCGTGTCAAATATGTCTGTTATTGCTTTTAATCAACACATGCTTATTCACTTAAGCCAAGTTTTTCGATTTCGATTTCCTTCAGGTATCATTTTCGTGGTGGACAGCTCTAGTAGAGAGCGACTACCTGAGGCCAGGGACGTGCTACAAACTTTGCTAAGACATAGAGAACTTGACCACGTGCCTGTTGTTATACTAGCCAACAAGCGGGACAAACCTGGTATGTATAGATATGTAATTACTAGTAAACACATAGCACGTGCATTACATTGATGTCACGTGTTTTAATGGGTACATCACGAGGTAAACAACTGGTCATAACACATATCAGTTATACATTACCGCCCTCATAAAATCGATTTCATGTCAGATCAAAACAAAAAAATCCGGTTTGGGCTGATTTTCTTGCCTAGAGCAGGAGCATTATTAAGTTAATATGACAACATGATACATGACTGTAAGAAGTTAAACATCCACTTTACTCCGACTAAGATCTGTTTACTCGGCTAACAAGAGGATCGACTGTAACAGGAGTATTATTATCTAGGCCTGGATTTTCGGGGATTATCTACAAGCCACGGGACCAAACCTCCCATAGTACCACAACGACGCTATAAACTGTCGGGTTCGGTAACTGTAAATAAGAAATAAACAATAAAAATGTATATTATAACCGATACATGTGCGCCATTTGTTTGATAAGNCCCCCCCCCCATATATATTCAACTGTTTTCTGTTGCTGAGATTCGAAGTGAATTTCATAATTTGTTCTCCAAATCATGATCACACGAACGAAATTGATATTAACATGAGTGATAAGCATATTTTTATTACATGAACTATGTACCTGTATGCGGATCTTGATAATTATCTTGATGAAATTACTATTTGAACAATCAAAACTCCCAAACAGGGGTAATGTAGAGGCGGGAAGAAGGGATATACCTAACACTTTATCTGTACAGAGAGATTGAGACTACCGTATTGTAATGAAATACCTGTTATACTCTGAAATGAGGTCAGAATTTGTTAAAAAAACACTTTAAATGATCAAACAGGGAACAATGTAACTTATTTAAATTATAGAAAAGCCAAACGGTTATACAAAAAGTTTGTTAATGCTTACCTCAAAGAGGAAATGTATGTAAAGGAACGGTTGTATAAAAAAACACCTAATCGTTGTGTCATCAAGCATAAATTAGAGATTAAAAATAAACTCCGGACACTAAGGTCAAGAAATCCAAAAGAATACTGGAAAATATTTAATACAGGAAGTTCCAAAAAAAGTACTTGTAAGGCTGGTATTGAAGATCTTTTTAACTTTTTTAATTCCTGTTTTAACAAAAAAATTGAAGGTGAGGATAATCATGTGTTTTCTATTGATGATCTTACTGAGCTGTCAAAACTGGAAACTAATGATTTTATAAATGAGCCAATACTGCCGAACGAAATAATGAAATGTGTTAAAATGTTAAAGAATAATAAGGCTGTTGGTGACGACATCCTATGTAACGAATATATTAAGTCAACAATTGATTTAATGATGCCATTATATGTTGAATTATTCAATTATATTTTTAACATTGGTCACGTGCCTGAGACTTGGCTCCTGGGAAACATCATCCCTGTTTTTAAGAACAATGTTAGTTTGTATGATGCCACTAACTATCGTCCAATTACTTTGGTTAGCTGTCTAGCTAAATTGTTTATACCTGTAATTAATGAACGATTAAATAAATATGCAGATAATGTAGAACTCATTCTCGAAAATCAAGCAGAGTTTCGAAGAAATCACTCCACTATTGACCATATATTTTCACTTTCTGCATTAATTGAACCATCAAAACATTAAAAGATTTTAAAAAGGCTTTTGATAGTGTTTGGAGAATAGGCCTTTGGAACAAACTTCTTTTAGTAATATAGATGGAAAATGTTTGCGAATTATTACAAACATGTACAATGACATTAAGGCTAGAGTGATGAAAGATGGCGTATCCTCGAATGTATTCCCATGTAGTTCTGGGGTCCGGCAAGGCGATAATCTTTCCCCGTTTTTTCTTTCACTTTTTCTTAATGATTTAGAAGATTTTATGAAATCACGTTACTGTAAAGGTCTGTCTAATATAAACGACCAGCTAGAAGAGGATTTACATGTATATATGAAGCTTTATGTTATGCTATACGCTGATGACACTATACTACTATCAGACACGGCAGAGGATTTGCAAAAGCAAGTAGATGTATTTTTCGAATATTCCAACCTATGGCATCTTAAAGTCAATATCAGCAAAACTAAAATCATGGTATTTGGTAGAAAAAGATTTCCTGATGGCCTTAATTTTACATGCAATGGTACTGTTATAGGAATAGCTAAGGATTTTAAATATCTTGGGGTTTATTTTACTAAAACTGGTTTGAAACAGTTTAATATTAAACAAATGTATGGTAAAGGTTTAAAAGCAATGTATGGTGCTATTTCCAAATGTAGGGATCATAATTTGTCAATAGATTGTCAACTTGACATATTTGACAAAGCCATCAAACCTATAGTTTTATATGGATGTCAAGTTTGGGGTTTCTGTAACATAAACTTATCGAACGTTTACATTTAAAATTTTACAAACACATACTTAATGTTAAAACGTCTACACCGAACTTTATGATATACGGAGAACTTGGAAGGTTTCCGCTAGATATTAATGTCAAAGAAAGAATGGTCGGATTTTGGGCTTAATTGACAAAACACAACCAGAATAAATTAAGTAATAAACTGTTAGCAATTTTATCAAATTATGAATCATCATGGCTAAAATATGTGAAAAGTATTTTTGAAGAATGCAGTCTGATACATATATTTAATAGTCAAGAGTTACGAAGTATACATTGGCTAAAAAGTACCATATTTTATAAACTAAAAGGAAAATTTATATCAAACTGGAGAAATGAAATTTATACTTCTCCGAAAGGAACCAATTATAGAATATATAAGTACGAACTTTGTTTAGAAAAGTACTTACTAGAACTCCATCCGAAACTAGCCAAAGCGTATTGTAAGTTTAGAACATGTAATACTAAGTTACCAATTGAAAATGGTAGGTAGTTCAATATACCACTTGAAAATAGATTATGTAGTTTATGTTATTTAAGAGAAATTGGCGACGAATTTCATTATCTGTTTACGTGTACACATCAACCAATTCTCAATAGTAGTCGAAAACATATGTCCAGATATTATTATGAAAGACCAAACACATTTAAATATCATACATTATTCAATTATGTAACACAACATGAATTGACATCATTGGCTAAATTTATTACCAATATTAATGACATAATTAATTTACAATACTAATGTCCATCTTGTTCCACCATGTATTATTGTCACCCATTTGTATAAATGTATTCTCTACACTGTATTGTTTATGAGAATAAAAACAATTGTCAAAATTGTCGGGGAATTACACTATCATTAAAAAAAACAACGACGTTTATAAATAAGGAAAATGAAATCAGAAATGACTTATTATTCAATTAAATGTAACAAAGCATATTTTGATTAGTCCTTCGCTTATTATGATGTAACATTATGAATAAAGTAATGAGACCAGTTAGCAACATTACATAGCTATCTAGTCAGCTGACATACATTGCTGTCTAAGCTCAGCTGACATAAATTGCTGTCTAAGCTCAGCTGACAAAACACCAAAAAAATAATACCATTTCGAAAGATGTCTTGTGCGTATGGAAGATGCGAAGAAAAGATGATCAAATAAATAAGGCTATCCGCCCTACACTTGTCGTGTTTATTCACTGTTTATTACGTCTCCCCTTCGAATGAAGGAAGACATATTATATAAGTACTGGTTCATCTTCTGGTTCTTCTAATCCCAACTTGTCCGGGCCATACATTTCAAGCCGTTAAAGATATCTTGATGAAACTTGAGGTATACATGCATCACCCACAGAAGGTGTGCAGTGCACTGGAATTAGGTCACTGTAACCTTCACCAGAAGATCAAAGGTCAGATAAGTGCAACATTTTCAGTAAATTCTTGTCCGGCCCGTAAATATTAAACCGTTAAAGATATCTTGATCAAACTTGAAGTATATCTGCATCACCAACAGAAGGTGTGCAGTGCACTGGAATTAGGTCTCGTGTCACACTTTATACAGAGTTATGGCCATATTTTTCTTTAATACCGCAGTTTGTCCGGAGCATAAGTTCCATGTTATTTCACCTACGTTGACTTAACTTACCATATTTATGTATCTTTGAAAGGCAGAATCTCTCGCACTAACATCGGGTTTTGTGCCCCACTATATACAGTGTTATAGCCCTTTGTTTATATTTTTATATCGAAGTTTGTCCACAGCATAACTTCTAAACCGTTAAAGATATCTTAATCAATCTTGAAGTATACCTGCATCAATCACAGAAGGTATGCAGTGCACTAGAATTAGCTCTCGTGCCCCGCTATATACAGAGTTAATGCCCTTTGTTTAATTTTAATACCGAAGTTTGTCCGGAGCATGTGTTCCATGTTATTTCACATATGTTGACCAAACTTACCATATACATGTATCTTGTAAAGGCGGAATCTCTCGCACTGAAATCGGGACTTGTGCCCCACTATATATAGATTGTATATTTTAGATTGTACTATAATAATGCTTATTCGGTAAATTTTTACACTTTGCTATATTATGATATATACATATATAGACATGTGCTTTAAGTCACCCAACAGTTTTGCATGTATTTGTGCTTGCTCTTATCTATGTACTTTTAACTATTATGTTTAATTAATTCTCTCATACTTAGCAATAGTAGTTTTATATCTTTGTTACCTTGCTGTGATATTTTTCTTATGTTTTGTCGTAATAATAGCTCTCAGAGCTATTGTTTATGTTTTCATATATACGACTATAATTTTTTTTCTTGTATCTTGTATAGAGTTATAGCCCTTATTTGTTTATTTTTAACACCGAAGTTTGTCCACGGCATAAGTTCCTTGTTATTTCACCAACGCTGACCAAACTTGCTATAGTTATGTATCTTGGGAAGTAGGAGTGTTGCATTTTAAGTTCGGGTCTCGAGTCCCACTATATAAAGAGATACGACCCTTTGTCAATTTTGTATACCGAAGTTTGTCTATTGGCTAAAAAGGGGAGATATATGTTTTTGTTCACTTGAAACAAGTTTCTAGCTACACAGAGC